GATACATAAACTTCTCTACCTGTTCAAAGATATTACCATCTATATCGATATGAACAGTAGTATCGCCATTTTTGCAGCTGACCATATATTTTGTTTTGTCCGCGTTTATTTCGAGCCCTAATTCTTTAATTATAATAGTCTCTCAGTAAAAAAAAATATTTTTATCTTTGCAATTGATAACCAACGGATTGACAAGCGACCGCTAGAGGACGGTGAGGGAGGACAAAGACCGGACAAAGCCTACGGTTGGCTGCCCTTCCGGAAGTAATTCCGTTATTGCAAGGCCCGGTGCAATCTGAATTATGCAGTTGGCTGCACTGCCCGAGGCCCTTATCTTCCAGGTCAGCCTCGACCGCTCTGAATCACTACGACATTGTTTATATTTCTCCCTGTTATCTTACAGAGCTGAATGAATCGCTCGTGAATTGATTGAGTTATTTTTACTGAGTGAGTCTTGGAAATGAACTGCAGTTCATCTGAATGTAACATTTTTTTATCGTGTACGATGAATGAATCTTTCTGAATGATCCTAATTCCTACAATTCCTCCTTCGTCCTTATTTACTTTAACGATTGAGTAACTCCCGACTAATTAGCCTTTCGGAGACTCAAATTACTTCACTCTGTGCCGGCCTTAAAATAGGGCAACCGGAGCGCCGATTTGGAGGAACGTAGGCGAATCATCTCGCAACTTGTAAGAAATTTAAAAAAAGTTACAAATCGTATCAATATAATTAATTTTAACCTACCTGCGTCTGCTGAAACTGAAACGTCACAATCTCTGGTTCTATATTTATATAGTCCGCTCTGTCAACTTTTGGAATTCCCTCCCGATCAAAATTCGACATGCCTCTTCTCTATACACATCCGAAAACCTCCTATTCCAATTCCTGTTCTAAAAACAGTCAGATACCAGCTAACTATTAATACTATATATGTATTGTATAGCAATCATATAATCATAATACTTGGTAAGAGATAGTACATGCATTTCCTACTATCGACGTAGGAATTTCAATACATACATTTTTTTTTTTTTATTCAATAATAATTAACTGTTTATTTATATATATATATATATATATATATATATATATATATATATATATATATATATATATATATATATATATATATATATATTCAAGTAAAGTTTTTTTTTATGAAATGAACTCATTCTATCTCTTTTTCGTTCTTCATTTCTCAAAGTGTATGTTTATGTTGTTCAACCCATATATATGGTTTTGTTCATAGTTCAAGTGATTCGTTCATAGTTTTAAATGCTCTGTACATAGTTTTATCTATATTGTATATAGCTTGTGCACCTAAGGTTTTCTTTACTTTTTATTTTATTTTATCAATTTTATTTATTGTTTCAAACTTTTAGGCCAGTAATATTCTATTCTTTTGAACAATATTGTTATTCTAAAGGGACTTAGTCCCAGAATAAAGTTGTTTTTTTCTATCTATCTATATTCTTCAATCCAAAACCCTTACTACCTTTAAAACCCGCCTGTTCAATCATTTCTTATCCATCCATTCCCCATGAAATTGTAAATAGTTACTACTGTAAATATGTATATAAATTATCAGATCGGTCTTCATTATTTTTACTTCATGTTTATTTTCAATTTTTCATTTTTTTATTATTTACTGATTTAAATTAGGAAGTAACTTATAATTTCTTTTATTATTTTTTTTATTTTGACTATTCACTTACTCTATATTTTTGTTTATGTATCTCTGAGGCTCCTTAGCCCAATTTTTTGTCTTTCTGTATTATTTTAAAGGGACTCGTCCCAGAATAAATAAAGCATTATTATTATTATTATTATTATATAATTTATCACCTTTTACTGAACTCAATTTTTTCTTAACTCATGGGAAGTGCTCCTTGAATATCCTTCAATATTTAGTACAAGCTTTAGTAAAACCTTTAATTAAAAATAGGAAATATATAGGTTCATATTTTCATATCTATGGTTTTCAAACTGAAGATAAAAACGATAAATTTTTATCTACTAATGTTTGATTGGTTTGTAAATTTATTTTTTTCAATCAGTTTCATTTATGTTATTTATTTATTTATTAGTTACACATATTCCTGGCTCACAATAAATTTGCCATCTACCTCGGTATTCAGTAAATATGAATTCAAGCAGAAGAAATTATAGCACAAAAAAAAAAAAGAATTGTAATAACAAAACAAAAAGTCAATAATAAAAAAATAGTAAAATAACACATAATAACACAAACATAAAAAAAGATAATGCAGCGAGTAGCTCAATGCAATAAGTCTCTTAGCCTGCGCCTCAGTAGTCTTCTGGAGCATTACTGAGCTTCACAATAAATTTACTCATAATAAATATTGTCTATGTGACAGATTGTTATATTTCTGAATAAATAAATAAATATATTTATTTATTGTTTTCTGATAGAGTGGACATCCAAACTTATTTCTAAGAAATCTAAATCACAACTTTAAGTTTTATAATTTTTTTTTTTTTATTAACGGCTTTATCTTATCTGAAGTTTGCTCACGGGTGTTATTTCTGAGCAGTAGCTTCTAACGTGAACAAATTAGCTCTAGTGTGATAACAACTTCTTATTTGATAGTCTCAAATTTCAAATGACCTTTCCTTGAGGTCATTTTATTTGAGAACTGGTATAAAGTCGTTTAGGATCGAAATCCGTTGTGTTCAATTTTTAGGAAAAATAATTTTATTTTAAAAAATGCGCTCTCGAGCAATTTACACTGGCTTTAGTACCGGTGAAGCGGTTGAGATAGTGACGCAGGGATCTCCTGGAGTCCTGCTTTTTCCTCCATTGTTGGAGGGACAAGCCAGCCTCGGAGTACCCTCCCCCGATTATAAATAGTGTATATAAGTATGTATGTGTTTTTTTTTTTAAATTAATTTACTTACCTTTATTTTATTTTATATACTTTTTGATTATTATTTAGTTATTTTTTTCTGTTTATTTTATATTTTTTTGTTGATACAGTGTGAATGTTACTTACCTCCCTATAATCAATGTCCAAGTGACAGAATGTCATATTATTAAAAAAAAAAAAATGTTTTTTAAAAAAAGTGGAGGTACCAGTTTATGAGTATTGTTTCACTTTCGGGTGTAGACCAAGAAGATGTCATGATCACACTATACACGAAATTTAAAAGCAAAATCTACAATTTTTAACACAAAATTGAAATTTTCGGGTTATCTAAGGATCCAATGATATTGAAAATTGACATCTTTAAGGCTACTCCAAGACTTTTTTTTTTCTTTTACAGACCTTGTAAATCTTTTGCTGCTTTAAAAGCCTACTCCTTTTCTGCAGAAAGTTCTATTGCATCTCTATTGATTTGACCTATCTATCTGTTTTTTGGACTTCCACGTGGCCTGTTCTTTTGTGTAAAGGCTTCGTGATGGATTGCTCTAAAGTTCATGTCCCACCCATCTTAATCTCCGTGCCTTCGTATCATGCGATATTGATTAACCAGTTTCTGTAAGCAGTTCTTTATTTGTCCTTCTCCGTGAATTAATAATCTAGATCGCTCTGGGTTATCGTGCGATGGAATTTTCTCTCAAAAATTTTAATACTTTTTTTGTAGGGTGTTGGATAGCGTTCAAGTCTCGTAACCAATTATCATAAATGGATGTAAAATTTAAGCTAATAAACTCGGTGAGTTTTGATTGCAAAGAACTTAATTGTCCTTTCTGTTGATTATTATTTTATTCTTATAAAAAAATATGTTTTTCTAATCATGGACTAATAGTTTTTATCATTATTATCATATTCGAAACTCTATTGAAAGATTGAGTGAGAGATTAAGTAGAGAGGGAGGTTGGAGTTTATTGGCTCAAGATGGAAGCAATTTAATTAAGTGGCTGAAGGTAATGGCGGTAGAATCGACTTCAATACCAAGGCCACAATATATATATATATATATATATATATATATATATATATATATATATATATATATATATATATATATAATATATATATATATAAAGTGTATATATATATATATATATATATATATATATATATATATATATATATATACACATATACGCATTTATCACAGGCGGATCTAGAGGGAGGGGGGGCTTTCGGGCTGAAGCCCCTCCCTCCCAAAATGATAAAATGTAACCATGTTTTATGAAGAAAAATATTTAAAAAGTATCATTTGAAGTATTATTGTTCGTGTAATTACATTTAATAGAAATTCAAGAATCACATAAACAACACTTCATATTGGTAGTTAGTATCTTACTTTTTTTCCAAAGTTATATCTTTGTATCTTTGGAAAAAAAAAAAAACTTATGGGCTAAAGCCCTCCCCAAAATTAAATCCTGGATCCTCTAGTATTACATATAGCACTAATTTAGTGATCATTTAAAACATTTGTGATATGAATATTCTGATTGCGTGCTGTCAAAGGAAATAAAGCTATGTATTTACGCAGGAATTAAAATTAACCAGGAATACGCATTAAAAAAAATATCTCAGAATCGAAAATTTCCACGTTATAGGTATCTGGGATCGAATTTGTTCCATGTCTGTCATCAAATTGATGTAATGGGCATCACAATACTAACCTCCATTAATTGAGATTTGATTATTTTTTTTAGATTCATTTATTACTTATTTATATATTCATTTATACATGTATCTAGTTGTTTTTTTCCTCCAGAAGATAATTCACAATATGGGCCGAAATGTTATTATTCATCAATATTTTTTTTTTGTTTTTTTTACTATTGTCTAAATTAAAAATAATTAATGTTCATTTTATGTATAATAATTATAGTTCTTGCAGCGATTTCTAATTATTAACTATAAAATAGTTGAAATAACATTCCCCGCTACAAAGAGGACATTGTTCTATAATTACAAGCATCATTACACAATTATGTGAATATTACAGGAATCATGATATTTTAAATTGAAATTTGAGAGGGGTGGATGAGTGGATGGATGGGAGAAGAGAACACATGGATGGAATCCGCGTCCGGATTGATGGGGTTTCCAGGAAGGGAGGGAAATCTTCAATCCAATTTTCCGGAGGATATGAACTGCCTCTGAAATCTCATGAATTTGCGGAATCCCGTCTCTGCTGCCCACTGCCTCCCTAATAGACCTAAACGAATTATTCCCTCTGTAACCTCCTCGTCCAATCTCATTTTGTTTACTTTAGTATATATTTTCATTTCCCGATAAATTCTTTTACAGAAGTTTTTATCAGCCATCAACTTATTTTTATCAAAATAATAACGTCAAAACAACAAATAAACAATTATTTTATTTGAGTTAGTATTTGATTAAAAAATATCTGCATCGAAGTATTATTATAGCTTCCTTACCAATTCTACTCGATATCGAATTAATTGTATTTCTAGGTCAATGAGTTGTAGTTTGTTATTATAATTGTAAAGTACGGCTTACTTTTTTCAGATATGCATGTCAAAGCAATAAATGATCCAGGATTTAATTTGTTTGAGAGGAGCTTCATCTAAGAGTTATTATCTAACGTTCATTACTTGGAGAAAAAAGGAAAGAAACTAACTACCTATATGAAATGGTGTTTAAGTGATTCTTGAAGTCATATTAAATATGTAATCACACGAACAATAATATTTTTAGAGATCTTTCTGAAATATTTTTTTCATTTAGCTATATTTAGTAGCTTTATACGCAATTTAATTTTTAATATATATCATATTGCTATTGTGTCAGTATTTAAATTTGATTTTTGGGTTGAGGGTTCAGACCGAAAACACCTCCCCCCTCCCCCAAAGATCAGCTAGTGTGTCAAGGAAAATATATTTGAGCTTGCTTTAACAAACGTTGTGAATAAAATTTTTAAAAATTGATTCTGGGCCTATTCTGTATTAGTCTCAACTTGTTTCTTCAACTTTGAACCAATTTGGCTCACTTGAAATCATTGGCGGATCTCTGAGGGAATGGCTTTCGTACTGAAGCTCCCCACCCCCAAAATTGGAAACTATTATTAATGTCCATGTGACAGATCGTTGTAATACTCAATGAATAAATAGAAGAGAAAAAAAAGTTTTTTAGATATTCCCAAAAAAATAAATATAAATTTTCTGTCCTACCCTCTTCAACCGTGTCCTCCTTCTGAGAACCAGAGTGTTGAATCGTTAATAGAAGGACCAAGTAACGAGAAAGTTGAAGTAGCTATAGGAAAATTAAAATCTTATAAAGCAGCGGTAACCGATAATATTCCTACTGAACTAATTAAGGCATGCGGGGAACCTGGAGTTTCTAAAATACATCAGTTGGTTAAAAAGATCTTTGTGAACGAGAAATTACCTGAAGAATGGAAAGAATCTATTCTTATTCCGATTCACAAAAAGGGTCCGAGGAGGGATTGTAATAACTATCGAGGAATTTCAAATCAAATGGGCTTGTAAAGTTGTTGGGCTTAGTAAAGAGAGAATTCCTAAAAGGTTAACATTTGCTGTGTCGAATGGTAAGCGTCCGAGGGGTAGACCGAAGCGAAGGTGCGAAGATTGCATCTGCAAGCCGATCTGAAGGGACTGGGTTTGGGCGGCGAACGGTGGAGGGAGATGTGTAATAAGCGATTGGTGGTGTCGGCATCGAACCTTCGGGTTCGCTAAGCCTTTTATTATTATTATTCCCTCTTCCACTATCAAAACCCGATGCGAGATTCTGTGGGACTCCATAAGAATATCAACCCTTAATTTTATTTTGTATTACTATGCGATTACTGCTCTACGGAAGATTTTTTTTAAATATGTAACAATAACTATTTAGGAAGAGAAAAGAAAGAAACTAACTACCTATATGAAAAAGAATTTAAGCGGTTCTTTAAGTACTATTAAATGTAATTACACGAATAATAATAATTTTAGAGGTAATTATTAATATTTTTTTTCATAAGATATGGTTATATTTTACTATTTTGGAGGAAGGGGCTTATGTTCGAAACTCCCTCCCTTGAAGATTCGGCTGTGCGAACTGGTACGATTATCATAAAAATGTCTTGCTGGCAGCTGAAGTTGGTAAATAAAATTAGTATTGAAGTAGCTGCTACTAACTGAGCCTCCCCCCCCCCCCCATCACCACTCTCTCCCACCCTCAGGCACTTCCCGCTAAATTATCCCTAATGAAGCTTTTACCAGGGATCACTATTCATGAAGGGGCCGTTCAAAATATAGGAAAAGTTGCCGCTTCTTCCGTCTCGTTATAATTTGGTCCCAGGACAAGGAGTTAATGAAAGCGCATTTGCATCCTTTGAAAGGGGCTCCAATCGGAATTAGCATAATGGGATTATTTGAAAGGGGGGGGAGTGGCTACCCCCAGGGCTCTTCGGCACCTTGGCACAATGGAATAATAAATAATTAAAAGGACTTCTCAGGATTACTTGTCCTGTCTTGTGATTTGATGGGCACCGAATCGGCTTTTACAGTTCCTTGAATACTGGGTAGTATTTTGGCAGTGATTTGTATTTGCAACTACCTAAGCGAGAACTTATGATATCCATGATATCTATTGGTGCATTTAGACATTTCTCAAACTATGGGAAACCCGATAATCTTCATTATAATAATGTACATTAAGCCCAACTCTTTTTTTATATCTCTTGATAACGACACAGGTAGAAAACATTAAAAACAAGAATCAAAAACTATAGCATAGGGAAAACTATGTAAGTATTTTAGAAATGGCTACACATATATTAGGTACCATAATTACTCGAATACGAATCAAGTATATCACCAGATCGCTAGCAGTATCCTCAGCTGCCGTGAAGTGGTAAAAATACCAAGATGCACGTCTATAAGTCTGTATTCCTTCCTATTCTCACCTACTGCGGAGAAAGTTGGACTATGTTGGACAAACATTATAATCGCATAACAGCAGCGGAAATGCGATTCCTACGTAGATCGGTGGGCAAAACTAGGAGGGGTCGCATTAGAAATGAAACTATCAGAGAACAACTGGAAGTGCCTGAACTCAAAACCACATTGGAGAACAGGCAATTAAGGTGGTTTGGCATGTCTGCTGCATGAACGAGGACATGGACCCTATAAAGATATTAGAGGCTCGACCCACAGGGAAGAGGCCACGAGGGCGTCCCAATGTCTCATATGAGGAGTTCATGGAGAGGATCGGAGGTAGAAGAGGCAAATCCTTCAACCAAATGAAGCGGTTAAGCAGAGACCTGGAAGGGTGGCTGCGTTGGATAGAGGCTCCTGGACGCTAGAAATGGCATTGTGAGGAAGACAAAGAAGAAGAAATGGCTACATAGTTGACTGTTGAAATTATAAATGTGCTGAGAAAATGTTTAAAATAAACAAAAAATGTACTTATACCAAAAATATTTTTTTTAACTATTTATTCAAGATATTTACAACTGTATAACAATATAAATACATCAAATAAATATGTACACAAGAATATAATCAAATGAAAACGCTTGTTGAGAAACTACCCACAGGTAGCACTCTAATAATATGCCTACATTAGGAGATCACGGGGCCATGTTTTATTCAAACGACTCGGAGGGTTACCAGAAATTGAAGAGGAAGCTAATTTGGAAACGAGAGGATTCGGATGGTTATGAAGTTTATAATAAGTATCTAGATTGGGCCAAATCTGAAACATAAGAAACATTAAGATCATAATGGATTATTTTATTTGTGACAAAGTAAGGATCATTGAGGATTTTACGAAGGATTTTAGATTGTAAGGATTGGATACGAGAGAAATTTGATGGTTTAGTGGAGCCCCATAGCCCCATATCAAAAGTAAAAATTAATAAACCAAATACTTAATGTAAATAAAACAAAAACAATAATAATTCTTCTCTTATACTTTTACATTTATAAATTTGTTGATGTTATTCTTTACTCTTATTATTATTATCTCATTTATTATTCTTTTCATTTACCTACAACTTTTTTATTTATGAAATTCCTGGAAATCTTACATTTTAAATTTGGAGATCGGTAAACGTTGTAAATTTAATGAGATATTAATAATGTTTTTCTCTTGAATCGTAGGATAATTGGGCTATGTAACCTGGTTATTTTGGAGATAGAGGTCGTGTCAATCGGCGCAGTATTCTGTAGGCTACCTGTTTTCTCTATTTTGTGATTAAATTACCTTACGATTTAAGTGGAAAGCAAATGGGTATTCATGAGTTTTTGGTATCTCGGACTTGATATTGCGGCACAACCTGTATGATAGAAAATCACAAAAATTGTAAATAACCAAATAAAGGTTAATTTTAAATATTTTTTTTGGCGGGAATTGGTGAATAGCCTTCCGCTTTATCGGGGAACTTGGTTATTTACACTCGTGAATATTAAAATAAAACCCCGGCACTGGATATAGACTTTTGGAGGGTGTTTAACTGTTGTTGAGAATTCGGGAATCTAATACCTTTTGTGACACTGAGTGAGAAGAAACAATAAGAATACATATATGTGAAATGTGGGACTTAGGAAATACACTTTGAATGAATTGTCTCACCTGATTTGTTATTCTTCAATTGGGAGGCATATAGGACAACTAAATAAAATGACTTTTCACTCCTGTATAATAAAACAATTTATTTTAACAACTGTAATAAATTAATGTATACAAGTCTTATAACTGTAGGCTTGATATTCTTAGTCTTCAATGTAGTAAGCCTCTCTCATCTCAGGTAGCGTCATCTCTCCTCCGTGTCCCTGCTACAAGTGCTTGGCGTCCTCTTCCAGCTGCTGCTACCTGATCGGACGTTTTTCCTTCTTTATCGATTGTTTATCGATATGAAGTTTTTCAATGAATAATTTGTCCACTGCAAAATTGAGTAGAATTCACAATGCAACCTCATATTCCTATATATTATATATTCCTTCTCATACCCTCGCACAATGTCACATAAAGGAGTAAATACCGGGGGGTGTCTACTACAAAATGTAATTGCTAAGACTTTCTTAGAGTTTACACCATGACAATAGCTGTGTCATTTAAGTTATCTGTCATTTGATGTAGAATTAAGTTCATACTCTAGGTACATAATTACTAATAAATAATATGTATTTTTATAGTTGATCTCTTCCATTTCGTCCTCTCTTAATCTTAAAATCTCTTGCCAACAGATGACGAGCAGGCGGCGGTGCAGGGGATGGTGACCGCGGAAGGCCTCTTCGATGGTACCATCACCACAGGAAGCCAGACCTACTACGTTGAGCCGGTGTCGAGGTACCGCCAGGACAATCCGGGGTACTCCTCTGTCGTCTACCGGACGGCGGATGTCATCCAGCCGAAGGCGCCCTGCGCGTCGGCCATCCTGGACCGCAAGAGGAGGCAGGCCGGAGTCTTCTACTTCGACACCGACGCCTACGAGATCCGGCGTACCAACAGGACCGACATCATAATCAAGAGGCCGTCCAAGCCCAAGGTATGTTAACGAAACATTATTTATTTCAATGAGTATTTAAAATAATGTATCTGTATTGATAATTATCGTTATCCGACCTCTATGAAGCCACCAAGCACTCAACTACTAGAATATCCATTGATAGAATTATGGTATCGGCAACCATTGAGAAGAGGATTCTTGGTTTTTTTTTAAGGACAAGTGGAGGAAGGTGATGACGTTTTTCGAGTTCTGAGAAAACTAAACTCAAATCATTTCATCAACTAAATGCAGAACTGTTTACTAACTTGTCATTTTTAAGGACTCGGGTACATCAAATATGGAATTTATATCTATCTATTTAAGATTGTGGGTTGATGGTTGACTGTAGTGAATAATGAAGAGAAGGATAGTTAGGGTGATCAGTCATAATAAAAATGGCAAAAATAAATAATAATATTTATTTTAACATTTGTCGACGTTTCGACCCGAATTTCAGGCCTTCATCAGGGCTGAGAAAAGAACCAGATAACAATAGGTATGAGAAACATAAACAATGTAGGGGAAAAAAAACTTAGAGTAAAATTAAGTAGATAAGTTAACATAAAAGTAAAATAAAGTATGTAGAATAATAACAATAACAAGAACTAAGAAATAAATAATAATAATGGCTAATGAAGTGCGGACTAATGAAGTAAACATAATCAAAATAAGGTGACATATGAACTAAAAATGTTACTCTTAGAATAAAATGTAAAACAGAGAGAAGGAATATGAAGTTACATATGAAATAAATATAAATAGAAAATTAAGATATTGTAAAGTCTATCAAAGTATACTGACTATGTATAAGATAATAAAGAGTTAAAAAGAAAGTAAAAATAAATGAGCAAATGTATCAATATATACAAAGTGGAGATGGTGATATGGAAAATAGAGTTACAGGAAGGAGGAAATTAGGAGAAAACTAAGATAAGATAGATAAACAACCTAATCGAAGCAATCGCTTTAAGAGAATGGAAGTATCGTAGCAAGAGAGGGAGGAGCTGTATTGTTGCGTCATATCTGACAGATGACTGAGAAATTTTTGAACTTAAGTACCGGAAGCATATATAATGGATGAAAGATATATTATGAATAATTAAATCGAAGTTTAATTGAAAGATGATGGAAATAATCTGGCGATAGTATAAAACAGAGAGATTATTTCTTTTTTATACTATGGAACTACACGATGACGATAAGATGACTACACCTAAGCATTAATTTATTATATTTAAAAAGGTCAATTATAACCTCTATCCCAGGGTTATTGCGTGGTTTGTAGGCGCCAACAACCATATTCTCAATCGGTCAGTTATCTATGCCTTTCCACTCTGACTTATGGACTTTTTTTATCAAAACCTAATTTGAAATCTTTCTCAATTCCTTTTTTTTTTATTTTAGGTTCTGCTTGGAGCTGGTCCTGAGGAAAACCTCTTCGACGAGGACTTCCGTGCCCACGTGTCCAAGAGGGCCATCATCGACCCTAAGAAGACGACCTGCATGCTGTACCTCCAGGCTGACCACCTCTTCTTCCAAAAGTACGGAACAGAGGAAGCTTGTATAGAGGTCATGACAAGACACGTGCAGAGGGTCAACTCGATCTATAGGACCACAGGTATGTACCTTCCTCTGTGTTTCACATACAATCCAATATATTCCTATTCTAACAATGCTAAAGTACCTATTGCCTCCCCTCCCTCTCGTAGGGCCTGCTTTCCCCTCATAACGAAATCGCTTTCCATCAAGCAAATTATTTTTTAGTTATTGATCCTTTTAATTTTTCACATATATTTCGAATGTTATTCAGTTAATCATATGTTCTCTGTCATATTCTCTTCATGTATAATATTATAATATTAGTTAGATAGGCAAGAAAAATATGGTTAAAGAAGGGAGATTTGAACAAAGAAACCATTGAAGCATAGTGGATAAGTGGGATAGAGTTCCAGAAGGCGGCATCTCTGGATAAGAAAGATTTTGTGAGGAGGATAGACGTCAGAAGGACGAGATCGGGTGCAACGGGATTTGATGGATTATTTTAATTGCAGCCTCTGTAGTATAATTAATATGTTTTAGAATCCGTAGAAAATACTTGACATTTAAAGTAGCCCAGACTCTTTTGTGACTTAACTTTTTGTAATCCGAATTTAAAAACAATGTCATTTTTTTTTTTTATCAGCCTTCATTTGCGTCACACTAATGATGTACTCGGATCTGTTTTAAATTAGCCTCAGACAAAGGCACTGAAATGGACAAGATTACCGCTAAACTCTTTAGGCTTTGGGCATTTTGAAAGGAAGTGTAAAAAATTCACGAACTGGACGAGTAAATCCTTTCATATTTTTTTATCTGGGAAATATTTTTCTCCTGGAAAAGAGAGTAAATTCCTAATATGAGGTTAAAAATATTACAAAAGCGAGGCCTTCGTGGAATTTCCGTTAAGTAGCAATTTAAACTCAGCAGTGAATTCGTCTTTTGATCGTCTGTTTTCGTTCCTGGCTACTTAAATTGATTGGTCCTGTTCCTTGATTTTTTTTATTATTTTTTTTATGACCTTTATTTCGTTTGGGAACAGAAATAGTCGGTTTACTGCAAAAAAAAACATTAAATAATATTTCAAGAGTTGAAAAATAAACAAAGTTTGCAGTCAATAATCATGTTTAATAAGTTAGCCAATTATTGATTTGTTTATTATTATTACTGGCTGCATTTCATCCTTACAATTTCAGTATGCAACATGGGTAAAACCCTGAGTTTTCATCACCCCACCTAGATTTCGGGACTCACTGCACTTATTAAAGAATTTTTTTTTAATTAATAATAGTCTTTATTGAGATATATTACAATCTGTCCCTTTCAAGGACAATAGTAATACTGATATATAGTAGCTCATTCATACCATACAATAAATAAAAATAATAAACAGCAATATAATAATACTAAAGTAAATGTATATAAACTAAAAGATACTAAACTAAACAAAAATAAACTAATCTAACAAAATAAACATAGAGAATATTAAGCTTAGAAATGATTTAGAGCTGATGAAAGGCTCATTTGACTCCAGAACCATGGGTTGCTAACCCTTTCCCTTGTGAGGCTCTGACCTTTTCTATAAGAGGCTGAGAAATTTTCTATAAAATAGCTACAAAATTAAGTCTATGTCAATAAATTTTATGTATATTATATGTGTTTAGTTATAACTAATACGTCTTTGTAGATTTCAACATGGATGGAAAACCAGACAATATAAGCTTTATGATAAAGAGGATAAAAGTGCATACCACAGACTCTCTCAACGACCCCGCTTATAGGTTTCCTGCAAATTATGGTGTTGAAAAGTTTCTCGAACTCTTTTCAGGTAATTTATTATTTATTTTACTAAATAAAATTGAAAAATTAGATATGTTTTCAGAAGTTAATCAAAAAATCCCTCATTGATAGCGTCACTAGTTTTGTACATATAAGTAACAATGCGTTATTCTTTATTTGCAGAAGAAGACTACGATGCTTTTTGTTTAGCATATATGTTCACTTATCGGGATTTCGAAATGGGGACTTTAGGCTTAGCCTGGACTGGTGATCTCAAGAATGCTGGCGGTGTCTGTGAAAAAAATGGAGTAAGTATTACAGTAGAGTAAGGGTACCAGTAATGAACATAGCTAAGGAATTGTTTGTCTTTTTTGGCTTATGCCGTCGTAATTATAATAGTTATAAACTTCTCCGTTGGACATTTAGAATCTCTAGGATCTCTTTTTTCTATTTAACTCTTTAAAATTGAAAAATATTCAGTTATGCAGGTCTTCATTTTAAAAAAAAAACACCTTTTTGCACTAGTGATGGACACCCCAAAATTCAATTGTTCTAGTAATTGACAGGAGTCGCTACTAGTAATAGACATACCTCAGAAAAATTCTAAAATCTTTATTTAACTATAAAGATAAGATAACATAAATGTTCAACTTAATCTTAGCGAAACTGTTAGTAGGAAAGTATGAACACACTGATCTCAAGAGCACTATAGAAACAACAATGATAGATATTTTTAATTTGTTTGGGAAACTTTGTTCAAACAGTTGTCAATAGAGGGCATTGTTCTTCAATCTAGAAAAAACTGGAACCTTTAAATCAACAAGGAAGCTTATTATTTACATTTAAAGTCCGATTCAAAAAATTAATTTTTTTTATATTCTTATTGTAAGTGTTTAATGTTAATAATTTCAGATCTGATATTTTTAATTAATGTCTCCTTGTAGGGAGTACTGAACCATTCATCATTGTCACATATTTTTTTTTTTCTGTTCTTAAAACTACCATAATAATACTAACTAGTTTGCCCGTGTGAATAATTTTCATATTTTGGTCAGAAACAAACAAATGAAAAAATTATATGGAAATGAGATAATGCAATTTATAATGAGATGGAATAATTGATTTTATTTTCCTTCATTTGTTACAATGGTTCGTTTAAATTAATGGACCATAATATGTGCACAGGTTATAATATCTTTGGTAATAATGGTCAAATTCTGATGATTTTTTCAGTTTGTAAGAAATTTAAGAATCTTTCAAATAATCATGGCTATAATTCCACCAAAAATACTATACTTTTTGAGTTTTGCACAAAAAAAATTTCTGGCTAAATTATTAGATTTAATGAAGATGTGGTACAGTTTTTTTTTCTTTTTTTTTTTTTTCTTACAAGAATACATTTATACATTTTATTTTCAGCATTATCGAGGAAGTATGAAAAGTTTAAATACAGGAATCGTTACTCTTCTCAATTATGGAAAACATGTACCACCAGCTGTTTCCCATGTGACGTTAGCCCATGAAATAGGACATAATTTTGGATCGCCTGTGAGTATAACGGATTATTATTATTTCTATGTTTATACTGTTTTTAAACATGTTTTGAAATTCAGAAGAATTTGTAAACTAGACCACTATACATTTGTTTTGTTTTGTTGGCTTTAATTGTAAAAAAATTATGTGTTTAGTCAGATAATATTAAGATTTCTTAAGTCCTGTATCTATACAACCTGTACCATAGGGGTAGACTTTCCATTCTGGTTGGGCGGTGGCCTCCCTCCCAAAAGAAGTCTCAGGAGCTTATGTCATAAATAGAAATTATTTATCAGCCCCTTGGTCCACTTCTCTCTCCAAAGACTGTGCCTATGGCCTGTACCATCATATTATCAACATATATAATAAAAGTAATATTAATGTAAATATTTTAGAACTGGATACTGTATTATTCTATTCTTTAGGAAGCAGAATTTGTCAGAATTATGATCTTTAAATGTCTGTATAAGCTGCAGGCTAATAAGAAATATTTTTTAACAATGTATAATTCAACACAGGATATGCTAAACTTTGTGGAGATGTTTATGAACGTTTCTTAATTATAATATCATCATATAAGAACCTTTCAATTGACATAATGGCTAACTCCAATTTCAACACTTTTGAGTAAAGTCATTTTAGTGATATTTCTAGGTGGAAAATTTATAATACAGTAAGTTGATTCCTCTACTCTGGAATCAACTTACTGTATTATAAATTTTCCATCTAGAAATATCACTAACATTAATAATCAAAAATATTAAAATTAGGGTTGGTCATTCTGTCGACTGGAAGCCTCATATAATCAGAATACAATTTCACTTTTTATCACTAAAAAGTAACTACCTTGTTAGTGTGTTGATTTTTAAGTTCATTAAAACCCTCAGAGAAAGTTTTCAGGAATTTATTATTCATTATTTTACTGTATAACATCATTTTATTAGAAAGACATAAAATATGTTATTAAATATTAAGTATGTTTATTATAGCATGATCCAGAGCAGTGCACGCCAGGTGGGGAAGATGGTAATTTTATCATGTTCGCACGAGCGACTTCAGGAGACAAGAAAAATAACAACAAATTTTCTCCATGTTCCTTGAACAGTATAAATCCCGTCCTAAATTCCAAGGCAAGGAGCTCTAAGGGCTGCTTCACAGGTATGCTACACAATTCATAGTTATTCATAGATCTTTATTTAAATGGATAGTCGAATCCAGCTTTGTATTTCCTTCATAGATATTATATTTTAAAACTCCTTTATTATGCACTTTAGGTCTCTAATTATTATAGTTATTTAAATTATCCCTAAAGCAGTGGTGCAACAAAATATGACATTAACCAATCTTGTTGAGTCACAAGCCATATTTAATAAAGTTTAATATTTTTTGTGCCAAGTTTAAATCTTCATAAACATATAATACATGATATCATAGGGATATTAGAATAGACAGAGGTTACATATCTCAACAACTGCTGAAAAAAATAAACATAATGCATCATTCCAAGAAAGTTCAATATGAACTGAAGGAAAAGGGACATAACATTTACGAAATTTACACTTGCCTACACCTAGACAGTGTTACATTTTTTTTTTAGATGATAAGTACATATTAGTCTTTTTTAGCTAGTGTGCAGATACAATAACATAAGACTTTGTGTTGAGACTTTTTGATTAGAATTTTTGGTATATTATTTTCAATAATGAACCATTGTAATTGGCTAAGAAAAAATAAAAGTAAATCTTCTCAAAATTTGAAGTTTTTAGTTTCATGACAAGTAGAATCCAAAAATCCAATAACAATTTTTTTTCTCTGCTGTTCTCTACAAGCCATCCACTGCTTTTGTTTGAGACTACTGGGCTAACTGTCCTGACATTTGATATTAAATTAAAAAATCACCCAAGAGCGATCCTCCCAATTTGACATTTCCCTCCATCCTTTCATTTCAAAAACATTTATCACTATAGATTGTAATGCTGAACGATTTTAATGAAACTTGCTCTAAGTCTTCTCTTTGAAGCTCTATAAAATTATTTATATATCATACGTACCCGAACAGAAGCTTGAAAAAATATTACGATGAATAATGAAATTAATTAGCAAATTTCTCAAAAACACTTTTGAAAAAAAAAATTCTTAATGAGACAATTTTTGTTTCTAATTTTTCTCAGAACTGTTTAGGAATGTAGTATGACACACATCATTTATTTGATATATAACTATTTGGAAAAAATAAACCATTGTTTTTTCTCATCAATTAAAATATTTCATAAAGTTAAATTAATATATGTTTTCAGAACCACAAGTGGCAATTTGTGGTAACGGAGTGGTGGAGGACGGAGAACAGTGTGACTGTGGCTGGGAAGAAGACTGCAAAGAGGATTGCTGCTACCCTCAGAGAAGACACCCGCCAATAGAGCAGCCCCCGTGCCATCTCACCCCGCACTCTATCTGCAGCCCCTCGCAGGTAACATCTTCTTAAATTATATTTATCTGTTGATTATTCTCAATGATTCAGTATATAAATACATCATATTAATGGGGATTTCTCCTTTAAGAAATGTTTCAAATCATTGATCAAAACTGTGTTTCATACACTATTTGAAACAATAAACTTGAATAATAAAAAATTTTAGTTTTGATTTTTTGTTGCATTAATCAAATACTCATATTAGCTTTTCTCACACTACCACGGCTAGGGTGTTGTGAGGTAAATAGTGTTCAAAATGACTGCAGTAATTATAACTGCAGTGATGAATATAAATGACTTTATATATCGATAGCCATAATGTGAAAGTTTGTAATTACAATTTAATTCAAAAACGCAGTTTTGGGATTTTCTGGTCAATCTTAGCATCACATATATTCAGAAATACAAACTAAGACCTTACTGAAAACATCTTTCTCTTAAGCATGCAATTAAAATTGAAGATATAATCTATAAAAGTAAAGATGGACTAATATAAAAAAATAAATTCTATTCTGTTTATGTGGGGCTTCGTCCCAAAAATCCATTTGAATCCAATAGTGGTATGAGTATATGAGATCAATGTGTTTATAATATAATTTCAAACATACCATTATGGTTCTTTAGGGCCCTTGCTGTACACCAGAATGCGGCCTCAAATTCGGCGACAAGTGTCGAGAAGACAACGGTTGCCGTGACTCTAGTTACTGCGATGGCAGGGGACCGCATTGCCCTCCGTCCATTAATAAACCCAACAAGACAATTTGTAATGAAGAATTTGTCTGCTTTATGGGAGTAAGTTCTATCTTAAAATAATATTTTTGTGTTATTATTATTATTACTTTATGTTTTAGTATTTATTCTAAAACAACTCTCTTGTTCAGGAATGCACTGGCTCTATTTGCCTGGCCTATGGACTTGAGTCTTGCCAATGCATACCTGGTCCAGAAGATTCTCCAACAAAGGCGTGTGAACTCTGTTGTAAGATACCTGGAGAGAACAATCCATGCTTGTAAGTTCTTTTATTAATATTTTCAATATAGATCTATTATTGTTATTTTATTTTACTATCCATTCTACCCTGCTTTTAAGACAATATGGGCGTTTGCAACAAAGAGATAATACAAATTTCTGCAAAATATGAATCTGTTTAAATTACAATATATAGCTGTGCACACAAACTCTTGTTTATTCTTCAGTTTGGCCAATGTCTTCTTCTCCTCTTCTGTACAGCAGCCTCGTTGGTATGGTTTCTTCTCTTCTAGCCAAAAAAAGTTCTCAAAGTGCGGGTAGTTTAGCCATAAGCTGATGAAACTCGCTCTCCGTCAGAATGTAAAACTCTATCTCCTCCAGGAGTTTGACCTTCAGTGCCTTATAAATGGTTTAAACTAAAACGATATGCTTAGCCGTTTCTTCAATTGTTGGATAGGTCATCGCTTTTGCCATTTTTAAAACTTTAGCTCTGAAACTCTCTCTCCTCTATGCACTATGAGAATCTGTGAAACCCAGTAGTACAGGAGAACCCATGTCTTTTGGAGGCACAAAAGTACTTTCTCTGTGTGGTTCTATTTGTAGTTTGCTCCCACTGCCACTGCTGTTTCCTTTTTCAAATGTAATTGTCCGAAAGATCCTCTTCTATCTTCTGGAGTCTTCACTTATCTTCTCTCTCGTAGATTTCCCAAGCCACCTTAATCTTGTCCTTCCAACAGGAGGAAGTCAAGAGGAACAATTATTAAAACCTGGACCGCATCATGGGTCTGTTCTGTATGATCTGGTTACTGGAAGTAATAACTAGATCTTCACCAACTTAAATACAAATAGTAGATTGAAACTTTTACTATTGAAAAAATATGGTTTTATCCTTTGTTTCTTGAAATCAACTCTCAACAATAACTAGATAAATTATTTTATATTTCTTCTCTGGTATTTATTCCTTAATTAGAATAAAAATAAATATTTTTATTTGTATATAAGTATTTACACTTGTATATACTTCATCATAATATTTGAAATCCATTCTACTACTATTTTATTTAAATTATTCAATTATATGCTTTTAGTCCACAAATATTGTTGTCATCTCTACAGAATCATATTCGGAGAGCTAAAAAAAACTAAACCTAAAGATGCAAATAGGTCTGATTTCAATTCAACAGTGTACACTTAAATTTTTAAAATATCAAAGTAATTTTTAATTGAATTGTAAATAATCTCAGAAATTTTCATTCTGTGCTCTAGAAACATTTAATGATTTAGAGCTTCTTTTCTTTTCTTTTTTTTTATTAAATAACTTCACATAATAATTACCCCAAATAATCTTTTTAAATGAATCCTGTTGTTTAGTTTTCTCGTTTATCTTTGAGTATGTTCCAACTCCATTAATTTTAGTTAGGTAACTTGGATCAGCCGTGAAACTTTCTGACATGTTTGTGAAACACTTGTGTTTACTGAAGTTTAAAACTTCACCACATCCATCAGCCCATCCTTGGTGAGAACTTTGAGTAGATTAACAAACAGCATTCTTTTATCGGAATCGGCCAGACTCTTGACTATTTAATGTAGTAATATCAATTTTATCTTGTTCTGAATATATATTGTGGTTTTATATTTAAAAAACTTGCAATATGATTTAAAGAAGAAAGCAAAAAAAAATTATACAATGATAAAATAAATGACAACAATATAAATATAATAGTCAACAAAATAGAGCAATTTTATTAAATAACTATAAGATTTAAATACCAAGATGAAATAAATTAATAATTTAAAATAATGCCAACTTTAATTTAATCGTAAAGGTTTATTGGATTATTATATTTTAAAAACAAATTTACCACTTGTTCTGCTCCTTATAGCAACCCTATAAAGTGTGATAGCTCTATGCGTATAGTACATATTTTTGGTTATACATACTATATTAAGTATATTTTCAGTGTATACATATTTATAAAATTACATTTTTTTTTTAATTTAGGTCTTCATTCATTTGGAACAGTGCTCCATATGACATTCCAGATATGTTTTCGAAACCAGGAACTCCTTGTAATGATTATAATGGTTATTGCGATGTTTTCCAGAAATGTCGAGAGGTAAAATTATATTTTATATCATATTATCTTCAAAACATCCTAAGATGGTAAATTGTAAAAATGTATAAAATATTTTCAGGTCGATCCCTCTGGTCCTCTGGCTACATTGAGAAGACTACTCTTGTCCGAACAAAGCATTGAATCGTTCAAGAAGTGGATTCTGGACCATTGGTATTACGCTCTACTCATTGTCAAAGGAGTCCTACTTATTTTGGTAATTCATATTTTCCTATTAGTGGTATTTTGATGAATAATTTTCATAATAATTAAAATAGTAGGTTGTTACATAAGTCTTAGTTTTATTTAAATTTTATTATAATATACAGCATCATAAAATTGTTGTTCAAAATTATTTTTCTTTATGATTAAATAAGATATACATAATTTTTGGCAAATGTAGTAATAGAAAAGGAAATATCTTGATATAGAGAACTAGTGCAAATAGGTTTCAGATTCAAATAGAAATTAATAGAGAAGTCTTTACAACATTGGATATTGATCAGGCAAAATTTTCTATTCACAACAGTTCACTTAGTTTATATTAAACATATCTAATATTGAGAGCATAATTATATATAATAGCTGCTTGGCCTTAACTACAGGTGATGGAGTATTGATAGGGTATTTATTTATGCAATGTGTAATTTTAATCTGCATTACTACCACTTCATGAAAATATAGGAATACTTAATGCCAGCAATGAATTAATGCAATAAGACTTTTCTAACTATCTATAAGTATATTAATGCTTTGCATATAGTGATTATTTATATTCTTACCCCTCCTACGTTGTAGTGATGTATCTACTATATGCTTCATGCTATAGTATAGTAGTATAGTGCTTAATTTAATAGTAATATTTATTTTTCCTTACCTATATATGAAATATATAGTAAGGAAAAGTACTGCGATCATTAAAATTATGAATCCGAATTCTCAACAGAAATACATGTTTCAAGGATCAAATAACCAAGTCTCACAAAAAGATATGCGTGTGTATGTGTTTATGTGAAAAGTATAAATCAAAAATGAAAAATCCTATGAAACTGAAATTACATATTTTATGTAGGTATACACCTATGTAAATAACCTGTTAAAAGTTTAAATGTAAATAATATGTTTTGGCGGGAATAGTTAATAGCCTTCCGTTTTTATATCGGCGAACTAGGTTATTTACACTCGTGATTATTAATACAAAACTCCAGCACTGGATATAGACTTTTGAGGGTGTTTAACTGTTGTTGGGAATTCGGGAATCTAATACCTTTTGTGACACTGAATGAGAAGAAACAATAAGAACATATATATATATATATATATATAATGTGGGACTTAGTAAATACATTTTAAATTAATTGACTCACCTGTTTTGTTATTCTTCATTCCTGAGGCATATAGGACAACTAAATAAATAAATGGCTTTTCACTCCTGTATAATAAAACCATTTATTTTACAACTGTAGGCTTGATTTCTTAGTCTTCAATGTAGTATCTCTCTCTTCTGACAACCTCCTTTCTTCCTGTCCAGGCCTAGCCTCCTCTCGCCTCCGTTTCCTAGCCTCAAGTGCTCTTCTCGGCGTCCTTCTGCCAGCTGTTGCTCGCTACCTGCTCTGACCTTTTTCCAGCATCCTTCTTCATCGATTGTTTATCAATATGAGACTTTTCCATGAATAATTTGTCCACTGCACAATTGACTACAATTCACAATGCAACCTCACATTCCTATATATTATATAATCCTTCTCATTCCCTCACACAATGTCACATGAAGGAGTAAATACTGGGGGCTATCTACTACACCTAGGATGTTGTAGCAACTTTTTCGTCAATATTTATTAACAGAAATTAGTAGTTTATATACAGAATTTTCACACATTTTTAGAATTTTCTCAAAAATGGCTCAAACAATTTTGATTTTACTCATCTTGTCAATGTAACATTAAATGCTTTTTAATATCATTTAAGTATTAACCCTTTAACGATAGTGGACTCATATATGAGTCAAAAGGGAATCTGGCCCAGATGATAATGGACTAGTGTTGTTAATAAGCTCGGTGAGAAGTCTTGAGCCGGAAAGGTTCGAGCTTTCCCGACTTGGCCAAGGATCGATTCCTAAGAGATCGCCAGTAAAAGGCTCAACAAGTTGTGACTCAAACCTTACTTGTTTTATACCATATGTTTGTTAATGGACTTTTTAAACTGTTTTACGATTTTTATAATAGAGTAAACTGTTCTACATGATGTTTGTTAGTAGTATTACATGTTTGGCGGTACCTTCAATTATAGGTTTAAATGAAACAAAGTCAATTGTTCCCCCCTTTTATTGAGATTCCCCTCCCAAAAAAAAATTAAAAGAAAAAAAAGTATCCCCCTCCTACCCAAACATACCATTCTTTTAAAAAAATTGGAAGGGGATTCTTTTAAAAAACTACAATGGACTCATATATGAGTCAAGAGCCTTTTTCTTCGTAAATGACAAGGTACTTAGTGATGAATTCTGTCTTCAAACTACCTCATAGCCTTTCTATCAATAATATAAAAAAATGGATAAAAAACAAAATCAAAAAGTTTGGAATGATGCCCTAAATAAAAAGGCTAAAGTGGTGAGTAGAAGTGATGAAAAATATACCGTCCCAGGGGTGCAGAGAACTCTCAGCTAGTGCCATCTTCAAGCCCACTCCTCCCTTCCCGCTCATCGTCTCTAAAAGGTTAACCTCATTGAAATTGTTCGACAGCGCTTAAATGCTGAATTTTAAAAATTTCTTTCTCTAAACTACCTTTCATTTTTTTTTTTGAGCAGATCAAAACATTATATAGATTGCATTAGTTAATTATAAAAATATTCCAAAATTCAGAAGAAAATTTTTATTTTTTTGTGTACATGTTCCTTATTTAAACGGGTTACGAAATCAATTTATTATTTTCCATTATTCATTAAATATATTTTTAGATTTTTAATTATACATATTTACATGTACAGTGTAAATATAGGCTAGTATACAGCGAGAGAGAGAGAGGATTAAGATAAAGCACAGAGAGAGGCAGAACCCTGTACAGTTTTAAGTCCAGTTCTAAAAGTGCACTTACGAGGTCGTCAGTCGAATTGTATCGCCCTCTTCTTCCGATACTAATAATTTTTTTACATCATTCAACAAGTGCCAGGTCAGATAACATTTTATTATACATATCTGTCTCTCCCTCTCTCGCAATAACAGACTGATTGATGTGTTTATTTATTTTTTGTTATTTTGTAAATAAAGATTGATTATTTTCCTTTTTTTTTCTTTTTCTTTTTTAAATAGTTTTAAGTAAGCCAGTTGGTAGAGTTTTTTGTTAATTTTTTCCTTAAAAATTAGGATTGGTTATATTCCTTTTTTTAACAATTTTAAGTAATAGAGTTGTCGATGTTATTAATTTTTGTATGTTCTTTTATGAATATTGAGTATATCAATTTTCATATATGCAATATTTATATCTTTTTTAAAAGTTTTATTAACTTTCTTTGTGATATAATAATGATAATCTATATAATTGTAATAACCAGCAATACAGTAATTTGTATTATATATTCTATGTGATATAATTTATAATAATCAGATCTTTTTGCTTGGTAAATGTGTACATTTTTGCAGTATTATTGATGTTTATATATTTGTTTGCATGTGTATGTATTGGATTGATTTCGTGTTATAAACTATCTATAATATAAATATATCCTATCCACATAAACATAAATCTGGGTTTATGTACTGCACCAGAATATTCCAATCACTGAGTTTTCCGTGCATTACGATTTTGTTTCTTAGAAATAATTAAGTTTCTAATTTTTAGTAGTGGTACAAAATGGATAAATATTAAGTATGAAATAATTTGATAATTAATTAAAAGAGAAAATGATAGAAATATTTTTCAATTCAAAAAGCTAAAGTTTTTAGAAAAATGGATATCTAATATCTAATGTCATATAAGCTAATGGTAGAAGATAGTAGTTAATGTAGAGGTATCCACACAACTTATGGTAAATGCTTAATGTGTTACGGTGCTTGATAGTTAGCATGAATCCTGAGTGAAAGACACTTCTGTGCTAATCTGCTAAAGCGTTAGTTGGTGTTGTAAGTTCCATTCATGATAACTTTGGTTTCACTTGTTGGCTAAAGTGTTTAAGAGTTTATTTTTGTTTTATTTGAAAACTTTTTATTAGTCTAAATTGTATTTTAGAAATTCCCTATTTTTATAAATTTAATAAAAAATTTAAAAAATATATTCTCTTGGAACTTCTTGGCATTTTCCATAATTATATAATAAAGATTCATGTTCTCATTTGACCAAATTTTTCCAGATTCATTCTGCAGTCTTTTTCTACCTTTCCTTTTCCCTAGAGCAAACGTAATAAACAAAACGTGTGAACTCTTTATAACTTTACATTTATATTTACAAAATTATCACTATTTTTAGCAAAGCTCAGACCATGTTGCTAGTGCTAGCACACAAATCTTAAATAAGCTTCTCGACTTTAACACATCTAAGAGGTTTACAATACTTGGCGCTGGTTACATTAATATCCTGTGTGAAATTACCATTTTCATAGAAACTAAATAGAATTTCGATAGAAATTATATGAAAAACTTAATTTATTTATCAGGTTGATAAACCAAAAATATATACTGCTCGAAATTATCAATTTTGTTATTAGTTATCTTAAGTTTGTATTTATAATTAAAATAATATGTTTAAAGCTTATTAATTTTTTAAGAAATTAATTTCTACAGAAAATGGGGTGGTAAGTGAAAGTTGTGTGATCCGTAACAATAGATTTTTTTTTTTAAAGATATGTTTAATTATTAATAATTACAAAATATCTATTGCTCATGTAATTTTCTCCAATATAATCAACATTAAATATAAAATGTGGTTTGAAGCAAATTAATTATTAGGAAAAAAATTACAATAAGAGCTACGATGCTATTATTATTCTATTATGCTCTCTATTATTAAATTATATCTTTCCTTAAAATAGTCTGTATTACCTTTTAGGTTTTGAGTACGAGGCTCTTCGGTAAAACGTCAAATCTGAAACTGAAAGGTATGACTATCATCCATAGCTCCACAACCGAGACAGTCAGATTACCTCCTGAGGGGGGTGAAGGAGTCACAGTACACCCCGCTGTGAGGAGCAAGGTGCCATTAAAGAGAAGAGTACGAGAGACTAGGAGGCGTAAGGGAGGGTCTCCAAGAAAACAGATCACCAAAGGAAACCACAAGAAAAGAGTGAAAGGAGAGGTAATTTTTTTATTTGTTACACAACACAAAGCTTATATTACTTGATTTTGTGTAAATATTAAAAATATTTGAGTAATTTTATTTTTCTATTTCTGAAAGATACTGTTTAGGTTTGTTGATTGCCTCTTGATAATCAAATTGTAATGCATATATTCAGCATTTGACTCTAACCCAAACTAACTATTTTGTTGCATACATTTTGTACTCCTTTAACTTCCTTATGTTCAATATGACAGCATAAATAACTATCTATCATAGCTATTCTTGAATCCAAAACCAAAAGATGAGCCCTTAATATTAAATTTAATGTTATAAAACTGAAAATTCTTTAATTTAAGAAATGTTAAGTCAAGGGATTGTGGTCAGCAATCACACTTCATGTTTGTGTAACATTAATTTTTTGCCTAATTTTAACATACAATCTATGTCTTCTTCAGGGCTAAAAAGAATGAGGTACAAAAATTACTATTAATTGTTACAAGATAAAAAAAATTAATAAATAAAATGGGAGTTGATGTTAAATAGATATCAAATACAAGTTAAAGTTCCATTTTAGAGGTTGATAAATGACAAATAGTAAATTTGTGTAGTGAATTTGTATAAACAGAACAAAATAAAAGACAATATAAATGAAATTTTAAATGAATTGAAATGAATATTAAAACTGATAAAAATATAATCAATGATAAAACTACAATAATGAATGGTAAACAAGTGAATGAAATATAATTGGAAATATATAAGTGAAGCTAGACCAAAAATAGAGAACGGGATGGCTGATCACGCTGGGGCCCAGAGTGCCTGGTTTTGAACATTGTGAATTTATACCGACCTGGGTCGGTTAATATTTATTTCTCAGCGTCTCCGGGAAATGAATTTTGAAATTCTCACTCTGATAAGTACAGGACGGCAACCTTAAGATAGCCATGAGGGGTTGGCGAAAAAAACCTACGACAAGGCCCACTTGCCGGACTAGTTCCCTCTATCAATAGCAGTACCAGTAAAAGTAGGCTAAAAACATGTTACACTTTAGGAGTGTAGTGTATATTGCACAATGAAGATATATAATTTTTATACTATGAATTATTGAACTAACCATTCCTTAATCATTTCTGTACTACCATTAAATTCTTTATATTTAGTTATTATTATTATGATTATTATTAATTAAAAATCAATGTTTTAAATAATTTAATTTGAGTGAATATTGCAAAATAAATACAATAGTAATGACTAATTTTTTTTTCAGCAGGTAATAGACTACAGTGGCAGTCAGGAAACTACTGCGAAGACCCCAGAAGAGGATCCTTTGAGCAAAGTTAGAGCTTGGCTTCTTAACTCACACATAGACCTAACAGGTGTGCGGAAGTCCAAGTCATCGCCAGTCGGCTTTCCGACGACCGGGACAACTGCTACAACCCCTACTGCTGCTGCAGTGACTCCTACTACAGGAGTCACCCCAACAGCTGGAGCCAAATCGCTGGCTACCAGTCCCATCAAGAGAACTGTGCCACCTGGCAAAGAGCAAGTCAAGCTACATGTCATGTATCGACCTCCATTTAAACTCAGCGTCAAACTACGGAAGCCGACTCAAGTGGCTACAACTGTTGTAAAAGAACTGAAGGTATAAATCAATTGATATATATAACATACTTTTTTCCAAATGAAAATATATGGTTATGTGGTTAATCTGTGTAAAAAGATGTAAAATGCCTTCATTAGGTCACAGGATCAAATTAATCCAACATGTTGGAAATTTGTTACCAAACTAGAAATCATATTCTTCAAAACATTTTAATTATCCCACCATTTTTGTTGTTGTTGTGTGATTCTGTATTTCATTATATTCTTTTTATTTTAAATATGTTGGGGTAGAACCATGACCAAGTTTTAAAATTGATTGAAGTAATAAAGGATAGGCCAAGGCTGTACATCTTTCATATCTCACATGTAAAATTTTGTTTACATTATTATGAAAATCAAAATTTTTTATTGACTGTCTGATATTCACTATTCATTTTAAATTAATTTTTAAATGTTCTTTTATTTCAGGTAAGAGCACCACGTGCAGCAATTGTAGTCCAAGAAAGAAAACGAAGAAAACGTTCTAAAAAGAAAGAAGGAGAAACATCAGTGAAACCTACCGATGTTGAAAGGTTGGTTTCTGTAGAGCAACCTGTGTATGCCAACATTAATCCAGGTGGCAATTTGGCACCAGGGCAAGACCTGCTGAGGATGTCGTCAGTGGAAGCCAAATCGACAACACAAACACCATTGTCGCCAGAGAAGTGCCAGGGCAGCAGTAGTCAGAAATCGACGGAACAGAATGTACTTCTAGAGGGTGCGCAGCCTCAAGCACCAACTGCACCAGCGGAAGGAGTTCATGTCGTCCCTTCTGACATGGAAGTATTGTTGTCAGAGAGCGAGTATCTCTTCTGCAACACCTTATAATATTAAATAGCCTCTCATGTGAAAGCCATGTGAAGAATGTGTAAAAATTATTTCTAAAGAGAAAAAAATTCATAAGCTGAATCCTTAGTATGCGTGATTACTAAATTTTTGAATCATATAATTAATATAGGTTTTCCTTCTATGAACATACATTCATGAGTCATAAAACAGATATTTTCAAAACATAAATGTTTACAGTTAACATTAGGCATTATATGATATTTAAAAAAAATTGACAATCCTTTAAAGGATTAAGATCAGTATTATTGAAATATTTTTATAGTTTACATAACCCTATTGACATTAATCTGTATCGCTAAATGAGTATATAATCTTAAATCTTAAATCTTTTATTTCTTTTTTTGAATAAAGTTGATAAAAACATCTCAGGACTTCAACTTCAAATATTTCCCAAGTCATTTGATGATTTTTTACCTCAAAGGAAAAATAATTCACAATAATCTCCATCGTAAATATATGTCTAAGTGAGTGAGGTTGATAAGTAACATTTTATTGAAAGTCAGAAGAGTAACATTGCTTTGCATCTTTATCAACTCAGTTCTGAGCCAACGACTAAATTTATGAATGGAAAGTTAGTTTCCGGTTGCAGTCACTGTGATTTTATATTAAAAATTAAAAATGTATTTATTTTTTGTCAGCGTTTCGGACTAAGTTAAAAAAAAATTATTTGTGTTTTTCACTGCGACATTAACCCACAACTTCCCAACCATATTTTCTACTGTCAACTATTTCTCTACTGTTATTAAAATTATGGGAGTGGATGGAATAAATATTAAAAATATATCATTTTGCTAATTGAAAACAATATAGCAAACTTAAAGGAAATAACCAAAATTTTAAAAGAAAACAATATTTTCAACAAAATATAATATTAATTAAAAAACAGAAGTAAAAACTAAAAGATTAAGGACACCAATAAACCACAATGTAGTGTCCAAAAAACAATATAACCTAACCTATATCTTTTGTACTTTTATCCTTTACAATAATTAATTTTTTTCAGAAATGTTGCTTATTAACTTATTCTACTTGACTTTTAAATTTTATTCAACATATAAGGGCTATTTATTTTTATGAAAATTTCTGATATTAGCTGTTTCTGATTATTTTTTCCATTTTAATTTTGTTCATGAAAGTAGTAAAATTGTTTTTCCATTAATAAAGTATCTAAAATTTTGATCAAGGCACCCATGGCTTTCATTTCCTCTCAGAAATACCATACCATCCTTGACTGCTGTGATTAACGTTTTAATAATTATTAATTAAACAGAATTTGCCAATGATAATCTGTCATTTTGAATTATAATATGTACATATCTTTTTATTGCATGTATGAAGTGCAAATTACCACCGCATTAGAGGAATATCATCGTCGAGGCCTATTCGTGAAACCGTAAATATATTTACAATTTAATAAAGTATATGTATCAAATTCAGTTCCAAGTACGAGAGTAAATATCAGTTATGTAAGCCATAAATCTATATACTTAAATTATTTTTAAAATTTTTTGATTGAGCAATAGCATGACTTAATTTTATTTGTTTTTACACTTATTTATATAAAAAAGTTATTTTTCAAACAAATAAAGTTTAGTTATGACTAATTTAATGATATTAATAGACAGTGTAGACCATATTGATTATATTTTTTCTTTAAATATAATGCTGTCATATTTTTTTTTATGGAGAAATATAATTGATAACCTACTAATTAATTATCAATACAGTTGGCATTTAGTATCAATTTTTTTTTAATGTTCACAATTAAGTGAATATTGGCAAATCTTTATTGACCTTAATATTTGATGTTTTCTTCACAGATTTTACTGGTAGAATTTATTTCGAATTATACAGCTAGAGTTGCTAAACTTTTAAAGTCCACTACAGAATTAATTTTTAATTGCTAATATTTATCAAATAATATTTTATTACGTTTGTACATTTATTTTGCAGATTTAAGACGAATCATCTAAGAATTACTTATTCAATTTATTCCTATGTTTGTAGCATATGAATAAAACTGACTAGAGTGATATTATAAAACATAAATATGTTTGTGATTGTTAATAAATTTTTCTATTTGCCACAAAAATATAATATCGGCTTCCTGTTTTTGTTATTGGTAGTTTCAACAAGATTAATTAATTAAAAATATTTCTTAATTACAATCTCATAGTATAGAGCCTCCTATCTTTTCAATGCCTAAAGTTATCAATCGCTTTAAATTAAAATTAAATTTTTAAATACAATATAAAGTAAAGAAGCACAAAAAATTTAAGGCCAACTGTATTCAGATATACTGTTTTATTGTCATAATGTAAACAATTCAATATATTAATGGAAAAATGTAAATGATATTAATTAGTGAAGTTCTTAGGCAAATTAAAAAAAAATTATGTTTTTTTGATAATCATTTAATATTAACTTCAGTACTTAAGAGCCTCATCTTAAAATAGTCACTTAAATTAGGTATAAGAACTTATAATAAATTCTATTGACATGTATTAATACAATGAAGAAATATAAATGGTGAATTATCTGCAACGCACTATACTTAATCCTGTTAACCTCTGACATTTATTTTATCATCAATTGTGTGTGTTGTATTCTCACCATATTTCAAATCCTCAATGATTCTGGAACCTCATTTATCATCAATTGCTCAATATTTTCGTGCTGTATATTCGTTGAGCAATTTATAAATTATCATAAAAATAAAGTATGTTTTACGAATCTTCAAGAGACAGGGATGCCTCGTAAATAAATTATTCTTGTATCATATTCGAATATTTTATATTTTAAATAATATCAAGTGATGTAAATATGAAATAGATTTGAATGGCTGAAACCTTTATTTAACCAAGCTTTTTATGAGGATATTGTATGTTGTAAGATTTACTGTTAAATATATAAGTTTTTACCATGTGATATTAAAAAAAAAATTCCTAGTTCTACTCTTCGCTGTTTAATGTTAAGTGTATTTAGATATGTGTTCTTTTAAGTTATTATGTCCGCTGATTTTATCAATGGTCGTGTTGTAAAACTAATAAAATTTATTGTTACGACCAATGAGGTTAAGTCATGTTTAAGTATACATTGCTTTAAGATTGGTCAATTTTTAAAAATTTAATTTATTAATAATTTCTAATTATTATCATTATTTTATTTTTAAATTGATTTTTTTTATATTTAAAGTAATTTTTTATTAAAGCTGAAAACATTATTACGTGAAAGTGTTAGACTTGATATTTTAGAAATATAGTGATTTTGGTTTAATGTGAAATTTTATGATATAACAAATAAAAAGGTGTTTGCTTGAAAATGAAAAAAAATATTTATTTTTTTATTTTTTAAGCCGATATTAAATTGGCTTACATACAAAATAAAAACTCAGTTTAAGATAACAATATTTTTATTATTAAACTTATGTTTCTCTTGGAAAAATTAAATTAAATACCTTCATAATAATCCAAAAATATATAAAACTGTCCAGGAGATGGGGGACAGATCTATGTTAGCATAAAAAATATTTAAAAACTATTGAATATAGAATAAAATCAATATTTTTTTTATCATATTTAGTATTAATCTTGATTTATCTTCCTCTTTATAAATACACATTAATTTAATCACAGCTGTTTATTTTTTTGTTTTTTTAGTGAAAATGTTTTTTGGTAATCAAAAACTTCAAAACTAGATTGTTTGTTAGTTGTTTGAAAAATGTATTGTGCCATGATAAGCTGGGTTATTTTATCTATTCGCCTCATAACATGTTTAAATTATTATAAACATATTAAATTATCTTAAAAATAATTCTGAAAAAAATTGTTAGACATTAATTTTGACTCAAAGACTTAGCACACTTAACCTCATTGGTTGGTACCAATGTGATATTAATAACTTCCTTCATTTAAAGTAAAAATAACTAATTATACTTTCTTTTAATATCAACTATGTAGAATATATCACAAATAATTTTGTCAAAACTCTTAGTCAAGTTATTAAAATGAACATTAGAGATTTATTTCCCTTAAATAGTTATATATTACTCCTTGCCCTTTGATGAATATATAAATATAATTAACATAGTAGATCGTTATTTGTGCCAAATCTTGGTATTTATTATGGGATAGTAAGTGATCGCAATTCAGTCTATTATTTTTTATATAAGAAAACACTGAGAATCGTCGCAGAATATACGAGTATTTGCGCTTTATTTATTCCATAATATTGTTACTAACATTACTAACTCGGATTAGATAAAATATTATTTGTAAAACCTTTTTAAATATATATAAGTATTTAATTATTTAAATTAGTCATTTGAAAAAACAAATGTTTGTTCAGTGTTTAAATGGTATGTTTGTATTGTATCTTTTTTTTTTAAATTTATATAAGTTAAGAATATATTGTGAAGAGTACCAAGTTTTGTCCAGTGAGGCAATTGCCACAAATTTTAAATTTTTTCATAATTATATAAATGTGAAATATTCATAAGTCCTAACAGTTTCTTTAAATAAATTATCTTTGTAAAAATTTGTTTTATTTATTTTTTGTCTCCTAAATCTTGCCAAACATATTTTTAATCAGAACTACATCAGACAAACTTGATTCATATGGATTTTCAGTTCATGTCAAATAAGTTAAAAATTGTAATACCCTTGTGAGAACTCTATCCTTAGATGTTAAACCTTCTCCCTAATACAGTATAAGCCATATTATGAAAGCATGTTTACCTATATAAACAACATAATATTAGTGAATTAGCGAAGCTGAATATTTTATAATGATTATTATTTTGTAATGATAATTTACTTAATAAGTGATTACTTATTGTCCTATTATAAAATATTGCTTCAGTTTAACATCTAACCAATAAGATTTGGCAGTGGTGCCTAGAAAGGGGTTTCATGACACAAATTGTGCAATTAAAATTTTTGAGGGAGGCACATTTTGATGGGATTTTGAATTTCTGAAGGGCGGATACACATTTCGATGGGATGATGAATTTTTGAAATGAAAACAACTTCTATGATCTGTTGAGAAGATATCTACTAAACCCTAAACTGAAGATACAAGGTAGCTAGTTCTTTGAAGTGGAGAATTCTGTGGAAAGAGGATGCCCTCTAGGCTCTGTCCTTGGTCCAACCCTTTGGGACTTGGTATTCGACGAGCTGCTGAGAGTGCTGGATGAGGAGTGGTTCCCCATCTGGAGCTATGTAGACAATTGGCAGTTGTAGTGGCATCGAACAGCAGAGCCAGATTTAAAGAAGCTGAAAGGTAAGCGAGCGAATATAGTAGGATAGAATGGTGCTGGAGAAAGAAGATGAAAACAGCGGTCGTCAAGACTCAGTCTATTTCATTGAAGTGTAAAACTGACAGGACCCATCCTATTATTCTCAATATACAGAAAGAAACAGTACAGTGAAGTTGTTATCTATCTTGGGGTAAGGACTAGCAAAAAGTTTAATTTTACTCCACATTTGGACTAATTGAGAAGTAGCGTGGCTCTCGCCCTTAATGGACTCAGTCGCGTCAGGAGCGCTTTTTGGGGTATTAGATACCCAGTCACTTCAGCGATTCATAAAGGAGTATCTTGCTTTTCCTGCATGGAGTCAGACTATCTCGCACCAACAGATGAAAAGGTTGGCGATGGTTCAGCTGTGATGGCTCTGCTGTGAGTCAGTACATCGTTCAAGACTGTGTACCACACAGGAGGATCTACTGGGGGTGCTTTCGGGCTGCGTAAAGACTACTTCCAGTTCCAGAAGATGAAGAGAGAAGGCTTGGTGGATCTGCCAGCGAATCTCGGGGTGAGGATCTGTGAAGTCCCAAGCAGATGGATTTCGACTTCGAAGTTCGATTTCCAAAATTTTCATTTGGACAATTCATAATCCCTTCGACATGTGTCCCCTCAATAATTCACTGTAATACACTATAATAATATTAACTATAACACTATCTATAGTTCTGGTGACTATAAATAGTTAATATTCTTCTCTTAGGCAAAAATTAATTTCAAATTGCACTATCGATAGTAAAAACTATCGACTATCGCCCTACCTCATCGTGTTACAGTTTTACAGACATTTACGTCACAATAAAGAACAATATCCTAGTGAAGTATTTTTATTATCGAACCAGAACAAACAGAGTTAGAAAGAATAACAAACTACGAGATAAATTCAACTGATCGAACTTGCACTGCTTAAAGTTCAAATTTATTGTAGATCCCTTCCTCTTTGTAGAGCACTAAGAATCTTTTCGATTTCAATTGATTTAGGTGAATAGTTGTATCATCAATTAATCATGATAACAGGTGTTCCAAACATATTAGGTTAGTGACCATAATAAATGAATAACCTTACTAAAGATTCTCTTAAAGAATGCTTTGCTTTTGTCAAAGAGTTTCAATAAATAAGTATAACAATTATAAAAGCTATTTTTTGAAGTGTGAAAGTAAATGTAATACAAATAGTGAATATATTTACAGGTTAACCAACACGTGATTAGAGTCACAAATAGAAAAACACAAAAGTGTTAATAATAGTTAAAGATAATTAATAGTTGATAGTCGTCCCAATGTCTGTGGTTTTGGTTGGACCTTACGACTCTCGTAGCTACGTCATAGGCAGTTACATCCTCTATGTCACTCAGAAACAATGCGAGTCCTTCTTCTACCAATTGATACCAATGAAAACGGAAAGATGGAAGGTAGGCCACAATCAAAAGAAACATTAAAAATGTCGGTAAATCTCTCAATTCGGATTCATTAATTTGAAGTGTATGGACATGAACAATCCATACAATTCACAGCATTATTCATAACCCCCCCCCAATTTAACAAATCATTTGCCAAACAGTATCGTTCACATACTGGAAGATAATTCTTAAGCATTGTTCACACGATGATAGGTTTGTCCTAACGCTGTACGATCTCATTTTCTAGTTCGTCTCGAAACTCGAACCATTTTTTCTAGTGTGAAATGTCCACACGATTTGAGTACCTCCTCTAATAACTAAAATAAATTAAAAATGGATCCTGTGCAGGAAAGGACACTTACAGGGGTGCCCATCCCCCCCAAGATCGACGAGGCAAGAACCCCGTTGGAATGTGACCCCCTCTTATTAGTCTTTGACGTTGAGTTAAAGAGTGGAAAGAGATAAAGATAGCAAAAAAAAAAAATCCAACAAATTGTAACGATTCTTTTAAATATTTGCACTAAAATATCTTAAAATTTAAATACCTAGAAGAATTCAGAAACCAATTTGAAGGAGTCAATATAAATATTTTATTTAATCAAGTGTAAAAATATGAAATGATAAATTAAAATGCGATTTTCTTTTGCATTCAATATAATTAATAACTCCTTGTTAGTGTTTTCACTTCTATCTACTAGCGGATCCAGGATTTAATTTTGGGGAAGCTTCATCCCCAAAGCTTTTTTTTTTCATATATATAATGATTATAATTTTGAAAAAAAAAAAAGAAAGAAACTAACTACCTATTTGTGGTGTTTAACTGATTCTTGAAGTCCTATTAAATGTAATTACACAAACAATAATACTTTAAGAGATAGCTTTTAATATTTTTTTCTATAAAAAATGGTCATATTTTACAATTTTGGGGGAGGCTTCAGCACGAAAGCCCCCTCCCCCCCGTAAATCTGCCTGTGCTTCTATCGTGTGGTCTTAAGCACATACCATAGCTTTTTTTTTTTTTTTGTGAAGTTTCAGTTGGAAGGAACTTCCAAAAAACAAGGAGGAAAACGAACGGAACAGGCAGTAATTGTTTATGATTTTTTCTTATTATATTTTTGCTTGAGCTGTTTTTAAAGAGAGAAGAACAATAAAATTTGTTTATAGTGTGGGTCGACTTTGTGAGGAATGGGCACACGTAGCAGGGGAATCTGCGGGGAGGAGGATTTCCGGCTGAAGCCCCCTCCCCAAAGTGGTAAAATATAACCATGTTTAATGAAAAAAAAATGATCTCTATAAGTATTATTGTTGCTATAATTACATTTAATAGGACTTAAAGAATCACTTAAACACTATTGCATATAGGTAGTTAGTTTCTTCCGAAGTACTTATCCTAATTGATACATAAAAAAAAAAAAAAAATCTTTCAGGATGAAGCCCCCTAAAATTAAATCCTGGATCCGTTAGTGGCACACATGCAATAATTGACCAACGATCAGAATGTTAAACGCTGGTTTAACAAGCTCAATCAAAGCTTTCTTCTCTCTTTCAAAGATTTTGAACTCCAGAAATAATTCTATAGATATAAAATTACCAGTAAAAATAACGATATTTCGACGGTTTCAAAACATCTCGACTACATTCCTCTTTAGGAGATCAATTAAGGTGTAACAATAAGAATCTAATAATAATTATAATGGAAAAAAAATTGAAAAGTATTAAAAATATTAAATTTAACGATAATATAGTTGTAAAATTGACGGTATTTATGATTATTTGTCCAAGACAAGTTTAGTTCAACACTGGGATAACGTTAAAAATACAAATCGTTACCTTACTTGAGTAGGTTCCACTTCCTTTATAGTTGTAACTAATGTTTATATTCTGTTATTTACAAAATAAAGTTATAAATAGTTTCTAATTTTACAATCATCTTATTTTTTCTCCTCGTCTTCACTCAAAGGACTGGTTGAGGAAGATATGCAAAGAAGAGAATTGGAATTTCGAAGATGTGAGAAGGGAGAAAGTTCTTTCCTGGAGGGAACAAAGCTATTCTGGAGGGCCAAAGGTACTTCTTGGTGGCCTTCCTTCTCTTCTGGAATATATGAAGGACAAATATGGAGTCTCCAGGGATCTGACAACTGAGCAAGTTTCTCAACTGATTGAGCTATCGACAGAGGTAAGTTGTTAAATAATATTTTCCTAATCACAGACAACGTTTTTCTTTTAAGTATGAATTGGAATAAACATAATTCAACTTGTATTACCAACTTTATCTGAATTCCCTTATCTTCAATTTATTTTAAGATTTTGAATTCCTACAAGCTTAGTAATCATATTATGGTACTTCTTTGCAAGTATCACTCCACTTTGATGATGGGTGGGTGCAAGATCTTATGGTCGCATTAGCAAATGATATCACATTATATTGGTTATTTAAATGGTACCACTGTTGAAGTGTTGCTGCTCTTTCTATGGCACAAGATCTCATGATCACACTATAAATGGTTGAGTGTATTGAAAACATTGTATCCACTGTTGTTAAAAATTCCTGTTTTTAGAGAAATTCTTGGGACGCAAGATTAAGGCTAACAATTTTCATCAATCGAAGCTTGATCTGAGCACAGTTTAATCTATTTTTTAATAATATAAGTAAAACAGACAGAATGCCAGTAGTTACCTACAATATTATGAATTATTTTGTATATATGTGATCAGGAAGGATTTTTAAGTTCGTCCTGAGGAAAAATCTGATTGACTGAAAGGGAAATTAAAAAAAAAAAAATAAGGTAGGCCTTAAGACAAAAGGCTTTTAAAAGGAACAGTTAGTTATATGAGAAGGAATAAGCAGGTTTTTAAGTTGGGATCTCGTGTTGAACAAATAGTCAGAGCAACAAGGAGTGAGCAAATCGAGAATGTAAGAAGTTTTTTTGTTGTAAAGGTTTGGAAGAGTAATACACCTACAAAATATTGCTGTTAAAAAAATGGATAGAGCCACTTCAATATATCTTGTAAAACACACTGATTAGTTTTAATTAACAAATTTAAATATTGGTTGAACCATTTTTTCAAAACATCGTTACCAAGTGGTCAAGTTATACTCATTACGCTTCTTTTGGCTTATTCCTTGTGTAAGAACAGATTTTTTTTTTTAAATACGTACTAAACAATTTTTTGTTTTTGTAGCACTGGAAAGAGATGGAAGAGGAAGAAGCGAAAAATAAAGGATCTGGTGGGAATATATCGATCATTGGAGCTGGATCAAATGAAGCGATTTCATTCCTCCTGTATGCACTCATGACAACCAAAACTCCAGTGATCAGGGTGAGAAGTTTTTATTTAATATTACATTTTCTTATTTTTCTTTTTTTATTAGGAAGCTTCTGTTTATATATTTTTCTAAGGTTAAGGCAAATATACTTCCATTTTTCTTCAGTCTTTTTTAATCACATTTATTACATCTGACGTTTCGGGACAATTTTCCCATCCTCAGAGAATTCCTTATGTTTACTTGATTTTGTGATGTGGCACCAGTTATCAAAAATACAAAAACTGTCATATCTATTTTATTTTTTGCTTTTTGGTGTTACACATTCATTTTCTGTTCATTATCTCACCAACCAAAATCTGGCCACCTCTAGTTCTATTACCTTAACTCCATTCTGTGGTGCCACATCACAAAATCAAGTAAACGTAAGGAATTATATTAGAATGGGAAAATTGTCCCGAAACGTCAGATGTAATAAATGTGATTAAAAAAGACTAAAGAAAAATGAAAGTATATTTGCCTTAACCTTAGATTAATATTACATGTAATATATATCAGAGGTTCCCATCCTAGAGGTTGTGGGCGCCATTGTGCTGCCTATGCCTAACAGAAGCTTTAGCAGCCATCCATCACCTTGACTACAGTTTTACTGTAGTAAAAGTTTTCTATTAAATTTGAATATTTATTTTAATAGATATCTAATAATTAAGTAATTATGAATGCTCATTTTGAATGTTGTTATTTATTTTATATTTTTATAAATTATTAATAAATTAAATTCAAAATTTAATGGATGTCAGTTACTGGAGTCTCCTATTAGGCCTTTTGCCATTAGCAGGCCTGTACTCAGGTAAATTCAAAGATATATACTTAATATAACAAATATTGAAGATGGGATCATCCGCTACTCTCTCGTTAAATCTAAAAAAATTGCTAATGATGTGGATTATATATAAAGAAAAAATAGGTTTTCCTATTGCCAAAAGAAGGCCCTTGACACTGTCATCCAGCATTTACCGATAAATCAAAGTTGGAAAATTTTGGTTAAAATCTATTTTGAAATGAAGAATATAAAATTTGATCACTTTATTTTGCATAATTAGATTCCTTGTTTTCATCCCTGCCAGCTACAGATACAACAAATCTATTCTTTAAATTTACATATTTTTTTATTTGGTAAGGTGAGGAGTAGTTTTGTTAGATGAATGCAAGAAAAATACAATAACATCAATATGTTTATTAATGTTATTCTATTTTTATATTATTTATTTTTAGTACAACCTTAAGCATCTGTGGACTCTCATTGTTATAGCGTGACTCGTTTTAACTTAATACTTAATACTTTTAACTTAATAAGATAGAATGCAGGTTTAGCCAGCCTCTGAATCTTTATTATCAAGTGATAGTATTATAACTTGTTTGTTTTCCCACTCTATAGATCAAATATTGAAGGAGTTAAATACATAGGTGAAGAACTTATAAATTAAAATTTTGTTATTTTTTTGCCATACAAAAATTGTCATATCAAGTGTAATGTTTTTTTATTTCTTTAATCTGCATTTTAGGGCAGGTTTGTCACAAAGTAGGAATCTATTGTGAAGTTTGATGAAGTGAAATAGTTCTGATATCCATATGGCACCTTAGATATTATAATTTTTTTTTTCTCTTATTTTTGGTTCATATACTTTAAGAAAGTTTTGATGGAAAAATTTATTGTTAAAAACTTTAATATTCTAGGAGATGAATATTATAGTAATTTGAATGGTTTCAAAATTTCTTAAAAAAAAAAAAATTATCGAGATCACTGGGAAAATGTTGATTGATAAAGCTATTTTTTATTTTCAGACTGGTATCAAAATAAAACTTTTTGAAGCTACTGATGAACGAGAAGAGCAGCTTAAAAAGAATTTCGATAGGATGAGCACTGTTGAAAGCAACATAAATATTTGCATTGTGGATGATTTAATAGATGTATTAAAAAACTGCGATGTCCTTATTTTTGTTGGTGATAAATTTAGGCATGTATTGAATTTTTTAAATACATTTTTATTTTTACTTTATGTACTTAAATAAGAAATAGAAGTAAGGATTATGCTATACTTAGTTTATTAAACTAATGTTAGTAGTTTTAATTAATGATGAATACAGTTTAGATCCAGAGGTTTATCTTGATTCTTTCCCCTTTCCTCAACTTCTTTGGTTTAAATTCTGTTACGGACTCAATTTGTATAATAACAACTTGTTTAAGGTGCCTCTTGTAGGCTGATATACATCAACTTTCTTCTTACGGGTAGTTGTTGGTTTTGATTTAAAGAAAATATTTTGATAGGGCTTAAGAATTAAATTTACTTTAGAAGATTTTTAGCTTTTCATTAATAGTATTTTTTTAGATTGAATTAGAATTTCTCTAAAACCTTTTCGCCCATTCTTTTCCATCTCCTCTACCATCAATCTATATCTGGCCAAGCTTTTTTTATTAATTATGCTTCTTTGATCATTTCAAAAATGTTTTTTTTACATCCATTTTTTTTTTTTTCCCGAATGTCTTTATGTCTCATACGAAAGAGCAACAGTTTTTCTGACATAGTATTGATAAATTGCTAGAAAGATAAAAAAATGTATAGTAATAAACAATATAATATTTTTTATGCATTAAATGTTATTTTCTATTTGATAATTTTGTTTTTACTTTCATTTACTATATATATTACTATATATATATATATATATATATATATATATATATATATATATATATATATATATATATAATATATATATATATATATATATATAGTAAGGAAACTATTCCGATCATGAAAATTTTAGAATCTTAGTTTTCAACGGAAATACATGTTTTCATAAATTCTATAATTTGTATTATTTAATATTTAATTGTATAGATTACAGCAGTATAAAAATTAAAATTTGTATATATACTGGTACTAAACAAATAACAAGGTACGTTTTGTCTATCGGGCCATCCTGAAACCTCACTTCTTATCTATCTTATCTAACGTCACGTCACATAACCTCCCTCTTCTTATCCCGCCAAACCTTTGAGTTATTGCATTGTTTAGTTTTCAGTTATTCCCTTATTACGTTCACTTATTAACTTCTTTACTTTTGGCCCGTTTGTGTTTATTTTTCATTATTTTTAGTTTTTGGCCTGCTTGTGTTTATTTTACATTTTTTTTTAGTTTGTGGCCCCTTTGTGTTTATTTTTCATTTTTTTTTCCGTTTATTTTCGTCATATTATGGATCTTCTTAGAATATGGGATTTGCCGTCTCCAGAAGAACAGGCAATTCAATATTTTCAAAATGTTGGGGTACTTGCCGACGTGAAATTGTGTGAACAAGGTCATCGAATGAAGTTAACTAGGAAGGCAAAATAGAGATGCTTTCGTAGGACTTGTGACACAAAACTTTCAATAAGGAAAGGAACATGGTTGGAGGGCTCGAGGATTTCGTTTTTAACAGCTTTAAAATTGATTTATGGGTGGTCCTATAGCTTGACAATGATGAAGTGGGGCAAAGAGCAGCTGAAACTATCCTACGGAGCTATGGTAACGTGGAGCAAATGTCTAAGAGAGGTTTGTGCCCATGACATGTTATACAGGCCAAGAAAAAAAAATTGGAGTACCTGGCAAAGTGGTTTAAGTTGACGAAAGTCTTTTTTCTAAACGAAAAAATCATGTGGGGAGAGTTTTACCTCAGCAGTGGATGTTTGGTGGAGTTTTCCGAGAAACAGATGAATGTTTTATCGTCAAAATAATTGACAGAAAGGCAACAACTTTATTACAAGAAAAGAAAATATAGAAGAGGGAACGACCATTTATTCGGACTGTTGGAAAGGACACAACACCTGACAACTGAATGAAGCAAACTATGACCATTTCCAAGTGAATCACCGGTATAATTTTGTCGATCCATCAACTGGGTTCGTTCATACTCAACACATAGAACGATTATGGGGTTCAGCGAAGTGGAGAAATAAAGTACATAGAGGAACTGCCAGACAACACCTCGATTCATATTTGTGCGAATGTTTGTGGCGGCGGGCTCACAGAGAAGAGGACCCGTTCCTCCCTATTTTAAATAGCATAAAACAATTATGCCTTCCAAAATAAATAAGACAAAAGGAAGTGAATAATTAAGTGAAAATAATTTGTACATATATTGTTTATAGTGTTGATATTTTTTCTTTTCTATGTAAAAATATTGTTTTCTGTTCTTTTAAGTGAGTTTTTTTATTATTTCATTTTGATGTTTTATATGTAAATATCTTCTTAAAGTGTTTTTTTATTATTTCATTAATATATGTGTCGTCAAATAAAAGTATTTTTTTTTGTTATTACATTTGTTTTTGTATCTGTTTACACTTTCAATAATACGAATTTAATACAATAATATGAAGATATGAAGTAGGAGAAGGCTTATCACTGCGTTGATATGAAGTAGGAGAAGGCTTATCACTGCGTTATGGGAGTTATCAGCGTTCAGGTTATAAACATTGGCAGATAGCAGTCAGTGGCGGCCTCCTAGACAAAAAGTACCAATAACAATACTCACAATGTAATATAAAGATATCTAGTGGCTTTCTTTATCAGTGGCACTCTTGTCACACTAAAAATAATTCATGGCACTTAATTGTTTATTATATTCAAATAAATAATAGAAATATACAGTGATGGAAAAAAGTATTTGCACAACATGTTTTTATGAATAAATTAGTTCAAGGAAACAAAAAGCTTCTCTTTCCTTTGCAAAAATGAAAAGTAAATTTATTAAAACCTGAAAAACCTTTTTACAAAAAAATAAAAACACTTCATAATCAAACAAAATAATTAAAACAATAAAAGTGCTTGGAAAAAAGTATTTGCACACTTCCACATTTACAAGTTTATTTTAAATTTTAATATTTTGTAAATATGCCATTTGCGTCAATAATTGCTTGTAGACGTCTGGGCATTGAATGCACTAGGTTTTTAATTAAATCTACGTTTATTTGTTCCCATTCTTGAACAAGAAGTTGTTTAAGGTGATGTCCACTAGTGACATGGTGTTTTTTTACATTTTGGTCAAGGGTGTGCCATAAATTTTCAAAGATAATTATATCTGGAGACTGAGGAGTGTGGAGCTGTCTTGGAACATTCAATATTAACCACTCCTTTGTTCTCCTCGCTGTATGTTTTGGATCGTTGTCCTGCTGGAAATAGTACTGATCCTGGATTCTCATTTTTTCGGCACTAACACGCAAATTACGGCGCAAATTACATCGCAAAATGTTCGCATAGCCTTCCGCATTTAAAATGCCTTCGATGCTCACAAGATTTCCCACGCCATGGTAGGAAACACACCACCAAACCATAACATGTCCTCCACCATGCTTTACAGTTGTTAAAACATTTTGCTTCTTCAGGGCTTCATTATGATGTTGCCATATCATCCTTCGACCATCTGAACCAAACAAATTAAATTTGCTTTCGTCAGAAAATATGTCATTTTCCCAAAAGCTTAAGGGTTTCTGTACGTACTCTCTAGCAAAAGCAAGGCGCTTTTTGCTATTCGTTTCACTGATGTATGGCTTTTTTCTTAGAACTCTACCACGGAGCCCTTCCGAATTCATGGCATATCTAATTGTTCTGCTAGTAATCTGAACTCCAGACGTTGATTGGACCATGGTAGCCAGCTCCCGAGAACTTATCAGAGGATTTTTAAGAGCTTCTTTTCTGATTTTCCTCTTCAGCCTGGGAGTTAACTTTTTTGGACACCCTTTACGCTCACTGTTTTCGGTTGAACCACCGTCTTCATACCTTTTTATGACGTATCTGACTGTAGAAAAATTCAACCCTAAGAAATCGGCAATTTGGCGATATGTTTTTTGCTGACTCCTCAGTAAAACAATTTTTTCGCGAGTTGCGGCACACAGTTCACTTGTCTTTGGCATGATAATTGTCTATTGACTAAAGGAAACTGATTGAAAGACTAGAGAATACTGGTAATACACGATTAGAGATAAATTAGTAAAGAAACCTATGACCTATGGACACAGGAGGATTAATGCCAAAGTAAACAGAGCTTGTGAGTCATGGTGTGCAAATACTTTTTTCCAAACACTTTGTAGTAGATATCCCCCTGTATTTACTCCTTTAGATGACAATGTGTGAGGGAATGAGAAGGAATATATAATATATAGGAATGTGAGGTAGCACTGTGAATTTTGGTTCCTTGAACTCATTTATTCATAAAAACATGATGTGCAAATACTTTTTTCCATCACTGTTCAGTAGTAAAGGGAAATAACTAGTGTTAAACAAAATAAATGTAATACATTAGACGGCTATGTAAAACATATGATAATTGTTTTAAATAATGTTTCATTCTGTCTATAATTTTAATTTTTACTTCTCTTAGCCTGAAGATTTATTTCTGCTAAAAAGAGGTTGGTAAGTGAAAGTTGTGTGATGCGTGCACCGCACGAGATTTTTATATTTATACATCTGGTAGATCTGAACTATGTTACTAACCACATCACTCTGTTTAGGACTACAGGAATGGATATTGAAAAATTCCTATATTTGGAAAAAGCTCTGTATGGCTCTTACGGGTTTCTCTGTAATTACCACATGGAAGAACAAACCAAAGTAATTTTTGCATGCATGGAAAATGCTGCGTTTAACGCAACTTGTTTTCTGGCGGAAGCTCGAGCTGTTGATAAAAAAAAAGTTGTTGCGCTCACTTCGTATCTTGGCACAGAATTAAAATTGTACATCAGCAAGGTAATAATTTCTTAATTGATTATTTATCTAGTTCACTCTCTTTCAAAATACAAACACAAAATTTTCTTGTTGGTTCTAAAATACAAGGTCTAAACTTGAATATTTTATGGCGAATCTTATAAGAATGATTCTATTGAAGTGTGTTATGTCTACGTCATATGGCTGTCCACTTCACTGGTCCATTGCTTTCCATCCATATCCAAAATGCATTAAGCCAAACATAATTATTAATATTTTCTTTTTAAGTAGAATTCTTATGAAAATAATTAAGGGAGGCCAATCCAAGCCTATCCTGTTACAGATTTAAGCTTCAATAGTGTAAATAAACTTCCGTTTTTATTGGGGTCTTAGTTATTTACATCCATGAATTTTAATTTTAAAACAAAACGCCGGCTCTGGATAAACTTTTTTTGAGTTTACTGCTTTTGAGAATTCGCGAATCTAATTCTTTTATGACATTGAGTGACTAGAAATAACAAGAATATATATAAAATATTGGAATGAGCAAATACACTTTAAATGAATTGACTCACCTGGTTTGTCGATCTTCAATTGTCAGATGTTGAGGCTTTATAGGACAACTAAATAAAAGAGAACATCCACTTCTGGATAACAGCTGATTTATTTTAACAAACTTTGAATAATAAAATAATTAAAAGTCTTATTACAGTATGCTTGATATTCTTCTTAAGCTTCAGTAGAGTGGGCTTCTTTTACGCTATCATTACCTTCCATCCTCACGTCCTAGCCTCAAGTGTCGTCTTTCTCTTCTTCCCTCCAGCTGTTGCCACCTACCAGAAACTATTCCTTTCTTTGTTCTTCTGCTCAAATCAGTCCAATTTGTAGTGCACTTATTTTATCCCTACATATTTATTATCACTCCCTCACTTAAAAGAGTAGTTAGTGGTCATTTACTACAATGGACTTTCTTTTAAAAGTTTATTATCTGTAGTCCTGTAGGAGGCTGATAAAAATTATGATCAATAATCTACCTTTTAATGAAAAACAGCAGCGCTGTGAGAAAAATGCATTTTTTTATTTCTCAATTCTTGGGAGAAAGTGGCTGGATCCCAAGAGACCTCCCTAGAGTGCAATCCGTTGCATGCTTTTGAATGCTTACAGGGCATGATTTCATGCAGATGCACCTCCACTGCATTGGTATAAAAGATAACCAGACCTGTCCTTTGTGCTTTTTGGATAATATGACTGGAGAACATCTCAGACACATGTCCTGTATTACAGGACATAAGATGTGCTTTTAGTGAAACAGGCAATTCTTTTGTTAGGAGAGCGAAACTATATTGGACTGCAAGATTACGCATTGCTGAACAAGCAAGCATTATTCAGATTAGGAAAAAAAAAAAAAAAAAAAAAAAACTTCAACTTAATTCTTATTTTACAAATGTATTTCTTCTATTTTTGTTCTCGTTTTTTAAGGTTTTCGCAGGTTTAGCACATGCATTACTCCAATGGGCCACTCCGCCGCCTAAGTCAATACATTACTTCAATTGTTATTGCAAAATCAATTAAAATTGAATCCGAAATGCTAAGTAATATTCTAATTAGGTGATAGATTTTTTGAATGTCACGCTATTGACTCTCTTTCTATGATCCAGAACCTTCAGGTCGGCCCTCACATCATTTTTGGTCATAGAACCTACGTCCTCCAGAACCTTTTCATTGCGAGTGATAAGAAGATAATCCTTACATTCCTTCCAACATGATCTTGCTCTTTGATAGGTTTATGATCAAGCCTCTCCTCTTTAGCTCTTCATTCCATCCCTCCGTAAATCCCGCCAATCAGGATTGTCATTCAAAATTTTGTTCCATGATATTAATAAAAAAAAAAAACTAAATCAAAATGTATACCTAGATATATTTGAACTTTGTAAACTTGTTCATGTATTTTATTTTATTTTTTTGTACAAATTTGTCATTTTATTTATTTACTTTTTTTCTTATGAAGACTTGGACAGACGTCCTATGAAAGTTCTCATTAATCTAACAATTATTTTAACACAATCTTTAGTATTCAAACTTCGGTTACTGTTCATTGCATAAAAGTTACATTTTTATTTTATTTTTTTAAATTATTATATTGAATATTTAATAGTTGAACGCATTCAGTTCTAAGTGAAACTCCTAGCTGAATACACCTCCCTGAAGAAGACATGCAAAGTCGGGTCAAAACGTCGGCTTTCAATAAAATAGTTTTACCACTATTTAGCGTATTTATGACTGCCATCCCGGACTATCTCCTTCCTTTAAAAATTATTATAGTGTATCATATTTTTATTTATAAAAAAATAATATTTTTTTTTTTTCAAGATGGCAGGATTCCCAGTAGAGTCGCTCGAACAAATACCAGTTTGGGGTATGGCAGACACTTGCCATCTTGTTGATGCGGACATGGGTAGCTTGATCTTCAGAGTCCCCGATCGTTTCAATCCGAACTACCCCAACATAAAGTCTTTGGCTCATCACATCGAGGATGATAAAATAAAATTGCAGTTATACAAGATGTGGAAAGTACAACAGGATAAATGTGTCGCTGAATGGAGGTGGTCGCAAATAAAGAAAAATTTGAAAATAGAAGAGACAAAGGCTGATATTCGCAACAAGCGTTTAGATGTGCTCAATTCTCTAGCTAGTTGTTACAGGGAAATGGAGAAGAGAATGGGACGAATACCGTACTGGACTCTTTGGGATAAGTCGATGGCTCAAGTTCAGGAAGGAGAAGATTATTACTCTCCTGAGAATATGTATAGGAGGTTCAGGAAGGTAAATATTTTGATGTTATAATTACATAATTTTAACAATAGTTTGTTTATTTTTATATACTTTATATATTATATATGTACAATATATATATATTGTAATTGCACGGCACTATTTTAGGTATGTGTTCACTAACACAAAATAAACAAAAAAGTTCATATTAACATATAACCACCATTTCTATGTGCCTTGCCATAAGTTAAAAGCATGTCTGTTTGTTCTGAAAAAGTGAATAAATTTATGGTGTCTCCCATGATTATCATAAATTGAACTGTGTCACAGTATTCACTCACACTAAAACACACAAAACTAGAAAAACAGATGAGCAGCTACTGTCATTGCTTATCGTTCATTTGTTTATCAGGTAATTAAAACCTGTTATTTAGTATTAAACTTTGTACAGTCAGTCTTAATGTAGTAAATAAATAATAAATCTTTAACCTTTAATATCTGATTAATAAATGAGTTTGAGATATATGTTAATATGAACTTTTTTGTTTGTTTTGTGTTGGTGAATACATACCTAAAATAGTGCTGTGCAATTATGAAACACCCTGTATAAAGGTTTAAAAAATAATTTAATTTAAAAAAAAATCTGACCACAGAAATAATTTGATCCATCCTAAATAAATGTACTTTCATATTTACTTTGTAAATAATCTTTCGTTTTCACGGCTGTCTTGGTTATTTACATCCTTACATTAAGTCTATCTTAAAACTAAACTAAACCTCAGGCTCTGAATTCAACTTTTTGAGGGTGTTAACTGCAGTCGGGAATTAATTCTTAAATGACATTGTCCAATAAGAATAATGAGTAATCATGAAATTTATGTCTGGGTGAATATACCTAGAATGAATCTTACTCACCTGGCTTTGTTGATCTTCTTGTGTGATGATTTGTCCTTAGCTGATTATGTAAAAGATGTTTGAGGTATATGAAAATCTAAATAAAATGAAAACATTCACTCCTGATCAAACAAATAATTTATTCTATCGAACATTATCTGGTAATGAATAATTGATAGTTCTCTAGCATCTCTTGGTAGTACAATGGATTGATCTTCGTCTTTTATTCTTGAGAGCGACGCTCCAATCGGATGGTAGGCCTCTCACATGGTGTTAGGTCAACCTCTCTCACTCAGGTCCTTAGGGGGGATGAATATAAATCATTCATTTATATTTATAAATAGTATATTCTCTGTAACAATTGTTTAACAAATTATTGTACAACGATCATTATTAGTAACAATCATGTACGCTGCTGCCAGACATTGTTCCAAACTTCTTTGCTGTTTTTTAACCAATTGTCTATATGCGCACATTTCATAATCTCCTAATACAACAACCTGTTCACTTTATAATTGATTTAAATTCATTGTGCACTTAATCAATCTCTTTGCATGTATTATTCTTTCAATCATGAGTAGGCTATGGAAGAAGGTGGTGAGAGAGGAAATGGTATGCAATGTCAGCATTACTGTCACGACGGTCAGACTGAGATGTTAAATACTGTGATATTTTCAAGTATAGCTTTTAATTTATCAATGTAATTTCTATCATGCATTCCAAAGATGAATGGATACAGGTTTGATGGGATTCATTTAAAGACTTTTTAAAGAAGCGATAAAGTGAGATATTAGATTTATAAGGAGTGATATCAGTGAGATAAGAAGGGATTTGCATTCGGCAAGGTAGGATGTCAACAAATTAGTTAGATCAGTGGCATTCGATGATCGAAAATTTCATTAAATTCACATACAACAACATATTCGCTTTACTCGTACACTTTTCATTTCAATCCATTCCTATTCTTTCATTCAGTATCACTTAAAATACTCGGTCGCATCCCTTCTGGATGTGTACCTTCCTATCATATGTAATAATGTAAAAAATATATAAGGTAAAAACTCTATATACAAAACAAACTAAACTATATACAAAACCATTAATACTATGACAAGAAACTTAAAGTTATTTAGACCAGTATACACTTTTCCGAAAAAAATAAAGAATTGAAAAATAAAAATATATCAAATTCTCTATTAAAATCCGCTCGAATGGTTAGCAAGTATCTGACTGTTTTTGTGATAGGAATTGGAATAGAAGGGTTTTGGATGTGGATATAGAGGGAGAATGCCGAATTTTGATAGGTAGAGAATTCCAGAAATTGACAGCGCGAGCTATAAAGGAGTTTTGAAATGAGGCAGATCTGTGAGAAGGGATGTAGAGGTCAGAAGATCGAGATCTTGTTGAAAGGGAATGGACTGAGGACTTGAATTGGAGAAGGTTGTAGGCATAAGAAGTACGATGGTTGTTGATGATTTGATAAAGGAACGTAGCTAGGAAATATTGTCTTCTAAAGGAGGGGAAGAGCCACCTTAACTCAGTGTAGTGGTGAGACACATGGGAGTACCTCGGGGCACCAATAACAAATCTTACGAAGCTATTCATTAATCTTGTCAGTCTTATCACGGAGCTCCACCGAGAGGCCATCATACACCACACAGCTGTAGTCAAAGTAGGGGAAGATGAGAGAGGAAATTAGGAGTCTATGGATATGTTGAGGTAGGAGATGGCGGAAGCGACGAAATAGTTTCAGGGTAGAAATTGTCCAACAGGAAATGTAAGAAATGTGGTTGTTCCAGAAGAAGAGGGTTTGATCTATGAAAAATCCTAAATTTTTAACATAGGAGTAGAATAAAAATAATGAGTAAACTTATTGATTAAAATAACGAGAAAATAGTAATTTGATAAGACAATGAGTTGATAAACTATTCATTGAATAGAAACTTCAGAGCTGTTTATAAGTTGCATCAGTGCAATGGCAATGGTTTCAATGAAACAACTTTCAAAATAGTTTTAAGTACAGTAGAGCTGTTGCAGGGAGTTGTATCTGTTTCAGAGAGCAGTTTCTCTATCTGTAGCAAGAAGCTGTTTAATGAAACAGATTTCTGTATCTGTTTAAATTAAACAGCTTCTTCTGTATCTGTTTCTGAAAGCTGTGTAAATTAAACAGATTCAGTGTTTCCCTCGTTTTCCGTCGATATCGCCGTCTCCACCTACTAAATCTAAAAGTGAGATGTTTGGGTAAGATCCTAAACTCATCGATGGCTTCCTTTTGCTCAGTTTGGAGATCTATTCGATTCCATCGATGAGTTCAGCGCTGATTTTAAGAATCTGCCTCTTCCTAATGGAAGGTAATCCTTGTATCTGTTTAATCTGGAGAGAAACAGTTTACTATATCTGTTTAAAGAAAGAAACTGCACTGGACGAAATCTACACCAAATACACCTATTTTAAATACCGATTGACATAAATTTTGCTAACAACCTACCAAGGATTTTAAGTAAATATGCACGCATATTTACTTTCTGTTGTAGATTTTTTTAATTTAAATTATTTTTTATCATAACATATTTGGCTTTTCAAGTATTGACAATTTGTTTTCATCAAATATGATCCCGGCCTTAATTTGATCTGAAACAAAAAATTAAATAAACAAGATTGAATTATGTTAAATATTATTTTTTCTAAAAGGATTTTGAACTCAAATAGTTTCATTCAAACATCCACCAGATCTTACTGAATAATTTCTCATCAGACTTAAAAATTGGTCCAGTCATCTGCTCAAAAAACATTTGATACCTTTTAACTAACAGATTAAACACATTGTATTTAATAATTTGTCAATGCTTTGAACCCAAATAGTTTCAAAACACACAGAATCTTACTGAATAATTTCAACCATCAAACTTAAAAGTCAGCCTATCCATTTGCTCAAGAAATCAGTACATACCCAAAAGTAATTAACCCTAACACATAACCCTACTTATCTTATTCTATAAATTTTTCTTTATATATACATATTTTTCTTTATCTGTGTATCTTTTATATTATTTATTTATGTTAAATTAGTTTTGGTCCATTTATTTTTGTTACGTTTATTTCTCTATTTATGAAGTTTCTTTATTTCTTTATTTTTTTTTAAGTTTATTTATTTATATTTTATATTGCCGCAGGAGCTAGCTTTTGCGCACAGTTAGTGGGGACTGACGCTCCTCCGGCATCCCAAGTCCAGTACACTGCGCGAAACACACATGACAGTACACAATTCACTCACACTGACACAAGGTCACTAACAGAACACCCCCTAGGATCACCTTCCCTAGGAAGCCGCCCGGATGGGAGAGCACGTCAGGACGCTCTGAGGAGGCAGCCCCCCCACCTGACTCGGGGGCATTGGGCCGATAACCCGTTCCCCTCAAATTACTTTTATTATGAATGCTCCAAAAAGATTAGCCGGACCGATAAATAGAAAACGACACAACGCTCGTCAATGGGACTACACTTTGGCTTCATGGAACATTTTAACTCTACATAGACCTGGAGCTACACAAACGCTCCTAAACATTTTAAACACATATTCAATAGACATAGCGGCCATCCAAGAGATCAGGTGGACTGGATAAGGCAGCCTTAAGAAAGGCCAGCACACCATTTATTACAGTTGTCATGACCAATTTCACTCGTTTGGGACTGGATTCATTGTGGGAAGAAGAGTGACCCAGCAAGTTATAGACTTCAAGCCTATCAGCCCCAGACTCTGTGTCTTGCGAATCGAGGGAAATTTTCACGTCAGCATCATCTGTGTACAGGTGCCTACAGAAGTCTCCGAAGATGAAATGAAGGACGAATTCTATGAGGAACTGGAGAAATCCTTTGATGACTGCCCTGCTCATAATATGAAAATAGTGATTGGAGACTGCAATGCTCAAATTGGAAAAGAGAAAGCATTTAGGCCTACTATAGGAAGAAATAGCCTTCATGAGAACTCTAACGACAATGGAAAAAGGGTGGTGAACTTCGCAGCCTCTAAGGGTTTGGTTGTGAGAAGTACCTATTTCCCGCACAAGTTAGTGCATCTAGAAACATGGAGGAAATTCTGACTGAACGGATCCACTACAAGCTCTCAGATCGATCATGTACTCGTCAGCGCCAGATATAAATCCTCATTACTTGATATTCGCACAAAACGAGGGGCTAACATTGACTCGGACCACTACCTTATAATTGCAAAAATAAAGTATCGGATATCAACAGTGAAGTACCAGCCTTGACATTCTCTGAAGAGGTACAATATTGAAAAGTTAAAGGACAGTGACACAAGCATTAGATTTTCACACCAACTGGACATCAGATTAAGGAACTCTGTCCCAGAATCAAACCTCGAGTCACAATGGAACTCATGCCACACTGTTCTTATGGAAGTAGCAAACGAGGTTGTAGGGGATAAGACCAAGCTGAGATATAACCCGTGGTTCGATGACGAATGTGGTGCAGTGACCAAGAGAAAAAACATTGCATACAATAAAATGATGCAAAGAAAGCACACACGAAGCTCTGTCGAGGAATACAGAGCAACGAGAAGGCGCGAGAGGCATGTTCATAGGAGGAAGAAAAGACGATGGGAGAATAAGAGTCTACAGGAGATAGAATAGGCTTTCATCTCCAAAAATACTAGAGAATTCTTCCAGGTTGTTAATAAAGGAAGAAAGCCCTTCAGCGCCCGTACCACAGGATGCAGAGCAAACTATGGTTCTTTAGTAACTGACAAACAAGGTATTTCGGACAGTTGGGGTGAATACTTTTCGACTCTTCTTAACAGAAATGGCACAAATGTCTCAGAGGCAAATGATCCAATTGCAGGTGGTGAAGACGTAGAACCCCCAGACGAGGAAGAAATCAATGAAGCCATAGAAGGACTAAAAAGCAATAGAGCCCCTGGCATTGATAACATCCCTGCAGAGTTCTATAAACATGGTAGTCAAGAGCTCATAAAACTCCTCCAGTAAATGTTTCATGCCGTTTGGGTTGATGAAGAGCTTCCAAGTGATTGGAAAAAATCCATTATATGCCCAGTGTACAAAAAAGGGGATGTCTATCAATGTAATAATTACAGGGGCATATGCCTTCTACCCACTGCCTATAAAATTTTTTCAAGGATTTTTTATAGAAGAATAATTTCTTATGCCGAGGCTGAAATTGGAAAATACCAGGCAGGATTCATTTAGGGTAAATCAACCATCGATCAAATATTCACCTTGCGAATCCTTCTGGAGAAAACCAAAGAATATCAAATTGTTACACATCACATCTTCATCGATTTCAAGCAAGCATATGACTCCATAAATCGTGAGGAAGCATACAAAGCAATGGTAGAAATGAATGTACCTAAAAAACTTGTAAGGTTTGTTAGAATGACAATGAAGGTTAATGAATGTTTCGTACGAGTACAAGATGACTTGTCAAAGGGGTTTAGAACATCGACAGGTGTAAGGCAGGGAGACGCTCTGGCATGTCTGGTATTCAACTTTACCCTCAAAAAAGTCATAAGGGATTCTGGTATACTTGGATATGCGGATGATATCGATATAGTGGGAAGATCGTTTGCGGCAGTACAAGAAGCTTTTAAAAGCCTGGAAGAGTCGGCAGCCAAAATCGGTCTTATTATTAACGCGTCCAAAACAAAATATATATCCACCCTATCCTCACGTCTAACAAGGGAAAACCAAGCATGGCTGGAACAGCATGGAATCGAGAATGTTGATGAATTCGTATATCTTGGTTCATTGATAAATGCTCGAAACAACATTGATTGTGAAATAGACAGGAGGATCGCAGTGGCTAATCGGTGCTATTTCTCCCTCCAGAGACATCTTCGCAGTAGAATGTTGTCAAGACAGGCCAAAATAAGAATATATAGAACTCTTATTAAACCAGTGCTCACATATGGCTGTGAGAGTTGGACCTTAACTAAAGCTGTTGAGAAATCCCTGCTCAGATTTGAAAGGAGGATTATACGACGCATATTTGGAGGTGTCTAGGAAATACCACAGAATTGGAGGAGAACAAATTTAGAAATAAATACATTATTTAATGACCTGGATGTGAGCCAATTCATTGTATTGGCAAGACTACGCTGGGCAGGACATGTCGCACGTATGGATATGGATGCACCCCCATAGAGAGCTATGAATGAGCCTGTGTTTGGAAACAGACGAGTAGGAAGACCATGTTTGCGCTGACAGGACTGTGTGGCTGCCGATGCATGTAGACTACTTCGTGTCAGAAATTGGAAGGCTGCAGCAACTAATCGGGAGAACTGGAGATCCATGCTGGAGCAGGCCAAGTCTCAAATAATTGGGATGTAGTGCCATTTAGTAGTAGTACTTTATTTATATATTTAGGTTTGTTTTTTTTTTAAATTAGTTATATATAAATATATATGTTTAGTGTAATTTTTTATTTTTAGTCTTGTTAATTTAAAATTTCTTATCTTTTTCTTTATTTTTTTTATCCTACCAAATTAATATTTCAATATTGCTATTATTTTATTAATTAGGCACTGATGATCTAGATTTTTTGTGCCTAGAATATAAAAATAACCAACCAAATGCATAATCCTCCTTGAAAGTTATGTGTTTGATCTTGGTTCTATGTTTATGATAAGCATAATTATAATATATACAGTAACTTGAGTTACAAAGTTTGCATTTTTTAGGAAGCATATTTCAATTTTTCTTATTTTAGGGCTTATATCAAGTCGTTCAAGATAAACGATATTTTGAAAATGAAGAGAAAAAAACATCAAAGAAAATAGATGATGAATACAGAAAGTTATCAGAAAAAGCTGAAACCCTGGTAGATTACGTAGATCCATTAAAAATAGGATTTGTAGATACTGAATCTATAAGAAAATTTCTTGAGGAAGAATTGTTAAAGAAGGAACTGAAATTGATTGAAGATGATGAGGTGGATGAATTGTTCAATGAGACCAAATTACCTGAAGAAGTAAGGGACATTGAAATCTTAAGAAGGGAAGTATACAATAAACGCAATGAATTGAAAAAAAAAATTCGTGCTTATTGGAAAAAACACATGGAAGAAGAAATCGCTAGGCTCGAGAAGGAATTAATGAGGAAAAGTGTTATTACCAAAGAAGAGGAAGTTTTAGAGGAGGATTGGATGGTAGAAGAAAATATGAACGAAAGTTCCAGTATCAAAGAAGCTACCATACCAGAAACCGTTTCAAAGGATGAATACGGAACAATGTACCTAGGAGAAGAAACATTTGAAGAAATGATGCCTAAAGAAATAACATTGCCTGAAAGGCAAATATTAAACAAAATGATAAAAGATTATTTTAGGGCAAAGATGAAACTTGAACGTAAAGTAAAACAAGATTTAGAAAAAGATTCAGAACCTGCTGAAAGCTACAGTTATGAGGAGATTGACGATTATGAAATTAGAGAACTTGGATTCATTACAAAATCGATGCGAAACTTATGGAATTTCATTGGTGTTTGTAAGGTTAGTACACTAGTTATCATTACATTAAATAATAATTTATTTTCATTCTAGACGAAATGAAGTTTGATTTTCTTTTAATTTATATGGCCCATTTTCACGGCTTCCCAAACTTTTATGTCAATGGGTACTAATTCTATTGCGACAACAAAAATGAAATTAATTAATGCATTAAAATTTTTGTCATTATTTAAACTACCAATTTAACCTTAAGTATTCAAAATATACTTTTATTTATTTTTGGAGTGAAATCGATTCGGATGAAGCTTTTTATTTTTATTTTTTCTATTTATCGAATATTATGTTTATGTGAATTATTCGTGTTTCTGTTATTTCGAAAAAATAACATGAAAAAAAGTTTCTCCACTTAACACATGGTATATTCTGAATTTACGTCCTGCTTCGTCCACGTAACGTTGTACAATCTAATTATTTGTTTTATATATATATATATATATATATATATATATATATATATATATATATTATATATATATATATATATATATATATATATATATATATATATATATATATATATATATATATATATGTATAAATTTCATATTGGGACTCTAGAGAAGTTGTTTTTTTTTTTATTTTATTTTTATTGTAATTTGGGCCATAGAAATAGTTTTTTTTTTTATGATCAAGCATGGAAATTTTTCATTAATATTGTCAAAATTGTTTGTTCAGCTGGTCTTTATTTTATGCTAGAAGTTTGTTATTTTTTTTTTACCTATCTAACAAGTGTAAAATTGATTCATTTTGTTTTTATGTTTTCGATATTAGATTTCATAAATGTTTGAAGATACAGTCCACTTTCTTTCTTTTTTTTTTTCTTTTATTAAATCACAATTAAATAGTTAGGCTTCATTCGAAGTTTGACATAAACTAAGAGGGAGCTAACACATCCGATCGCCAGGAAACTTTGGAAAGTTGTTGCATACATTCACACAAAGGTTTCTGGCAGAGTACTTTTCAATTCTACGATCAATTTTATATGCGATTCCTTTTAGAAATCAGTTTTTCATCGATTTCAATATATTTTATTATTTAATAAATAATTTTCTTTAACTTTACTTTTGAATAAGGCTGGGACTTTTGTCGTAAGGTTTCTTTTATGAGCTAGGTTTTTTTTCCACTTTAATTTTTATAACTCTTTATTTAATCAAGTTGTTGATAATAAAAAGTGGACCATCAAATACTTAGGAGGAAGGGGGGTATGCGAAATCTTTTGAAGGAGGGGGAAGGTAGCTCTAATGCACACGAAACGAACGCTATGGTGCGCTTTGCTACCTTTGATATTTGAAAATCTTTAACGTTGAAACGGTATTGTAAAATAATGTCAACAGCATATGTTGCTTTTACATCTAACTGATAGTGCGTTTTTAATAAATATATATAGTTTTATCTTATATTTTCTAATGGTAGATATATAAAACCATGCACGTATTTGAATGCAACATTAAGCTGAAATTTCAAGGCAATCAGTGAAGAACTTTCCAAGATTTAAAATCTTGAACAAACGAACATTTTATATTTTTATTTACCATTTTTTTTTTTTTTTTTGGCTTTAAGCACGTCGACCCCTTTGGGTCCATTGTGCGCCAATATTCGCTAGGTCGTCTTATTCAAAACGTTAGTCCTGTCGCTTCCGCGTATCTCAGTAGGCTGGTTGGGTTAACCGACTCAAATCTACTGGGGAGATCCATCTGTTCCTCCCCAAATAACGCCAGTCTCAGCCTTATAAACTTGTCACATCTGCATATGATGTGAAAAGCTGTTTCATTCTCCTCCTGACAGAATCTGCATATCGGATTCGTCATTACTCGGAGATTGAACATATGATTATTTAACTTACAGTGACCTGTGTAGATCGCTGTGAGTTTTTTGAGAGCTGCTCTGTCCATGTTCAGTAGCTGTTCACTCCTTTTTTTACATGGGCCTTTAAGGAACAGCTTCGAGTGTCTCTGTTTCTTGTCGGTCCAGTAATTCCTAAATTTGTTCCCATAGATCTCCCTGATCCTGCCCTTGGCAGTACTAAGGCTGATTCCACAGACAGGCTCGGGAGTTATAGGAATAGTATCTGAGCCCAACCTGGCTTGCTCATCAGCCATTTCGTTGCCCGGTATGCCAGAATGGCCTGGCACCCACTCCACTGCAACTCTGTTGTGCTCAGTTAGCTCGTTAAGTGCTCTATTGCATTCCTTAACGACCTTTGAATAAACATAATAATTGTCAAGAGCACCTATTGCTGCCTGACTGTCAGTAAAGATGGTGATCCTTTTCTCAGTCACATTGGTTTGCAGTAGGTTTTGTACACAATGGCAGATTGCCAGTATCTCGGATTGAAACACTGAAGCATACCTGCCAAGTGGTATAGAAATTTTTTCTTTTATATCTTTGCGATAGATGCCTGCTCCAGAGCCGAAGGCTGTTAGAGAGCCATCTGTGTAGCAATTTATTCCACTATTTGGTTTATGAATTCTGCTGCTATCTATCTCAACCTTATATTTCCGGTCCTGATGTTCTCGGATTAGAGTGTCAGAGTGCATAGCTAGCACTCTTTCACTTCCAATCCTGTTCAGCAGTGTTGTGTGTCCTCCCTGACAGGGGACTGTTGAGCAGTAAGTTGACTTGCTTATCCTGTACAGTGTGACTGTTGCCCGAGCCTCCACCTCCAGCTGCAGCGGGGGCATGCCAAGCATCACCTCCATAGCAGCCGTCGGTGTCGTGCTCATTGCGCCTGTTATCATTATACAAGCAAGCCTTTGGATCTTTCCTAATAAGGATACATTGGCTACAGTCTTTGCTTTGTGCCACCATAGCAAAGCTGAGTAAAGTATGATAGGTCTGACTGTTGTTGTGTACAGCCAGTATACCATTTTTGGTTTTAGCCCCCAATTCTTTCCTATCGCTCTTTTACAGGCCCATAGGCATTTGAGGGCTTTACTTGTCACGTTTTGAACGTGTTTAGTCCATGTCAGTTTATGGTCCAAAGTGACTCCAAGGTGCTTTACTTCCTTACTCAGTGTCACTTGTATACCATTGATTTCCGGCATTTTAATAGCCACCTTCTTCTTCTTGGTGAAGATACACACATTGATTTTCCTAGGGTTGATGCTTAGTCCTTTAATCCTGCACCAATTCCTAAGAATATTGAACACTGTACTGAGGATATCAGAGAGGACACTCTGATGCCTCCCTCCTATGAGGATGGCAATATCGTCAGCATATCCCTGAGCATAAATGCCTGCAGTGTTTAAGGCTTCCAATAATGAGTCAGCCACAAAACACCACAGTAATGGAGAGAGCACACCTCCCTGAGGACATCCCCCACAGGGTTTAATCCACAGTTCCTTGTGCCCTATTTCTGATTTTAGAACTCTGTCCTCCAGCATTCTCCCAATCCATCTGGAGGTCATAGCGTCTATATCTTTTTTCCTTAGCGCATCATTTATGATGTTATAGGGAGTTCTATCAAAGGCACCCTCGATATCAACGAAGACGCCTATCATGATTTCACTCTGTTCTAAGGATTTCTCAATTCTTGTTACCAAGTTGTGAAGCGCCACCTCACAGGATTTTCCTGGTTGGTAGGCATATTGCTTTGAATGTATTGGACTAGTAGCCAATATGTGTTCCCTAATATGTCTGTCCAGTATCTTTTCCAATGTCTTCATTAAGAAAGATGACAGACATATTGGCCTAAATGCCTTGGGATCTTCATAAGATTCCTTTCCTGGTTTAGGAATGTATCGCACTTTGGATATCCTCCACTTACATGGTAGATATCCCAGTGCTAGGCTACCTCTTAGAAGTTCCAGAAGGTATGGCCTTATTTCTGGGAGACCCTTCTGCAGCAGTGCTGGAAAGATCTCATCCATTCCAGCAGACTTGAAAGGAGAGAACGAATTCACTGCCCATTTTATTTACCATAAAATAACCCCAAAGTTGAACATTAAACAATGCATTCAATTTAAAAATTATTAATAATAAAATTAAACATGAAAATCTTCGTATCAAAGACGGATCTCTGTCATTTTCAGAAAATGGAGAAAAAGTCTATTTTTATTTTATAGATTCATTTCAAACTGTTTCTGATGATTTTATTTAAAAATATTCAAGCCGAATCATGAAAAAAAAATCATTAGAATTTGTTTAAATTGAAGCTTAATTTATTAATTAATGTTACAGACAATTTTTTTTTCTCAACTTCTTAAAATGGCAGATGTCCTTTGATATTATGCCACTCATATGTTCTTTCTTTTCCATACTGAACCACAGCAACACGTGTCCATGTAAAGCTAGTATCATATAAAAATCTCAATGACTGTTATTGAGTTATCACATGATTGGCGTACAATCCTACCAATTTAACAATAATTATATTAAAATTTATTGTAATTTGCTGTTATTTATGATTGATTGATTCTTCAAGGTCACTAAAATTTAATTTTGAAAATAATTTATGATTGTTTCAACTTCGAAGAACGATAAATATATTTAACGTTGTATTGTAATATTGTTGTTTGTGATGTCGCTATTAGATATAACATGTTGTTATTATCTTACTCTTGATCTTTAATTTTTTAAGAATCCTGCTACAAACAAACAGTATACTTTAAGGTTAAAAATTAAGGCCTTATAAGGTATGAAATAATTCAACAATCCCAAAATGAAGAATATTCTGTTTTATTAATTTTTTTTTTCTAAATTGTCACTATTTCAAAAAATAATCTTAAAGTTGTAATCAAATTTCAAAGATTCGATAATAATACTAATTTTCACAGAATGCAGTTCGGAAAAAAATAGGTCAAGACCCTTATATTGCACAAGTGCATGAATTGATCAGAGTTTTGAAAATTTGGTTTTTTGATCCTTATATGACAAGTGAAACTGTATTTTTGGGGATCGCAAGTGATTATGGTAACATATATATTTGCACATAAATGCTAGCTTATTTAGTTGGTGTGAAGTTTATTCCTAATAAAATTAAAATAGAATACAATATCAATAAGAAGTAATAAAATTATTCACTGGAGAAATTATTTATATATTGAAGTATGGAATACAATTTTGATTATATTTAAAACAAATTTTGTTTAGGTTCAAAAGGAACTGTTTGTTTCTAAGAAAAATATAACCTTAATTTTAAGTAAATTAAGAACAATTAGTACACATTAACGAGAACTCTTGCATTAGTTATATTTCCTTCTTCCTATACAAATACATCTGAAGTATGAGCAATTATAAGAAAACATTTCTGTTTATGTAAACGGTATATTATTAACTGTTATATTTGTGGAACTTTACTCATCGATTATTTAACAGAATATAGAAATTCATTGTAACATCTCTCATTTTTAATATATCAGCGATACTTCCAAAAAAAATAATAAGGTTTTTAAATAATAAACAAAATTATAAGAATATTAATTTATTAAACTAAACTTTATAATTATTTTACCTCAACTAAACACTGTTTGATTTTAAAATAAAGTCAAGTGTGGATTGGCGAGCTAACCTTTTTTCTATAGATACTGTTTCCTTCTTTGTTTCACTAAATTCATTTGACTTCAAAAATGGTGACACTTTCTTCTACTCAACTCAAGCTCCCTGGAAGATCATCTTGTAATTCCACACAACTAGCCTCTCTGCCAAACAACAACTTCCAAGATGGTAATACTATTACTGGATTTAACCCACTGGAGCCAGGATCACTTCTCCTATCCTCTCTTCACTGCAACCAAACAACAACTGCTTGCCAAAACAAAATCCTTTGTCCCATCCCCTCTTTGCGCTTTTCATTTTTGGGGAAACTACAGAGCAGCTATTTTCTTTTCCCTGAAATAGTGGAACTAGATTAGCTTGACTTGTAACTATTACATTAATTCATTAAACTATTTTTAACAACTTTCAATTAAGGTGTGTATTACAATGTGTATATATATATATATATATATATATATATATATATATATATATATATATATATATATATATATATATATATTATATATATATATATATATTTTTTTTTTCTGAATAATTTCTGAGCTCCACAGATCAAAAATAAAGAACAAACAGCCGTTGATGACTCTAGGTTTTCACGCCTCAAAGCCCAAACAAAAAATTGTGAAACTACGTACTTTATAATGATTAATTTAAATAGTAACAGTTTACATGATAAGTAACAGTTTTAGTTTAACATTTAATCAATGATACTCAGCTATCTATCAATTTATATTAACCCAGCATTGTACTTTTTCTACCCTTTCCATATTAACCCTATAGGATAATGTATAAATTTATCATCTATTTTTTTGTTTCTCCCGTTCCTCCCCTTTTCCGCTACATTGTGTTTTCCATGGCCAGAGAGGGTGGGGAATTAATGCCAGAGTTAAAATCTCATTGAGATTTGAACTTGTATTCTTTGGCTTATCAGGTTGCCGAACAACGCATATTTTGTGTATGTGTTAGCCCAAATGGATATGGTGTTCTTTACCCCCGGGGTACAGATATTTTCAACTTAATTCTATTAATTTACAAATTTTTGTTACTTAAATAATTAAATGTTAATTAATACTAGTGCTAGAATTTTACAGGCCATAACTACCTCATAGAGACTGCAATTCCCCAGCTATGGTCTATACTATCATAGATTTAAACACTTTTTTTTTTTATTTTGTGGTATTTTATTTAAGATACCATTTTAAGACCTTCACAATTCATTTCATCAGTTTATTGGGGGTTGACTCAGTAGCATCAGAGGAGTTTGGAATCCATAACACTGGGTTAGTTTTTAGTTTATAGATGGATGAATCTTGTTACTTAAATGTTAAACTGGAGGGATATTTTTCAGTTATTTCAAAATAGTCAATATAAATTAACTTCACCTATTTTGTGTGTTTTCAATAGACTTTCTTGATAATAATATATTCTTTATAGGAGAAGAAATGTTTTTCTGTTATCAGTTTTACTTGAAATATCAATAAGAAGAAGTGTAGATATCTAATGCAAGAGTTCTTGTATGGATAAAACAAAATAAATGCTAAAATAGCGGCAATTTTGATAATATCGATATAGAAAGGAATGTGTTTGAACACATACAGAATTTTAGGTATCTAGGGTCTACAATAACTAGAAAAAACTAAATTGAAGAGGATCTTAAGGTTAGGTTGAAGGCAGGAAATACTTGTTATTTTCTTTGTTAAAACTGCTTAGTTCGCGCATCCTGTACTTAAAAATTAGAATTTACTAAACTATTATACTTCGTACAGTTCTTTATGGATGCGAAACGTGGCCGCTTACATGAAGAGATGAACAAAGTCTTACGGTTTTTTAAAATAAAGTATTGCCCAGAATATTCGGAATGAAGGAGGATGAGTCAAACAGAGTATTTAGGCAGTTACACAACACTGAATTGCATGAACTGTATCCGGTTAATATAATTGAGATGAATAAAATGGCCATGTAAAATTGTTGGGCTTAGTAAGGAAAAAATCTATAAAAATTAATGAATATTTAATAGTTGACCATTGCATTATAAAGGAAGGAGATGGTCCGGGGTTGCGGTCATAAAAATTTACATAAAAATTGCAGTAAAAAAATTTTTATGACCGCAACCCCGGACCATCTCCTTCCTTTATAAAAATTAATATGCGCTGTAGCGACTGGCAAGCATCTGAGAGGTAGAGCAAAGCAAAGGTGAGAAGATTGCATTGAGTCTGATCTGGCAGGGTTGGGTTAGGATGGTGCCCGGTGGACATCGATTGGTGGTATCGCCATAGTTCGCTAAGCCTTATTATTATTTATTATTCATACATATTTGCTTATAATACCTTCAATACATATCCCTCCTCAATCCTACAAGTATTGGAAGCCTTCTTCTGTCAGTTCATTCAGGAGGCGTGCCAATTTCTCTTCCACAGCTGCAACGGACTCAAATCTTGATCCTTTTGATGCACAAACCACCTTAGAAAACAGGTAGAATTTGCACTGTGCAAGATCCAGCAAATATGTTGGATGGTCTAACATTGAGATTCTGTACTTGGCTAGAAACTTCTTCACAGAAAATTCGGAATGAGCCGGCGAATTGTCTTCGTGAAAAACCTATGACTTGTCCAATCATGCTTTGGGTAATTTTTTCCCTTTCTATTTCACGAATTTCAGGAGGGACGTGAATGCAGTAATGTGGATATAGTTTAACCTTTAGGAACCTAGTGAAGATTCACAAGCCCATAAATATAAAAATAACAACTTATATATGGGGTCTTCAACGAGTTAATTGTTCTTATAATTTTCCCATTTATTTAGGTAATATTGTTTCGAGCTAATTTTCAACCTATCAAAATTCTATGACATTTTTAACATATTTCCATATTATATAGTTCTATTATTGTTTAATTTTAGTCCAATAATATAAAAACAACAATTTAGTAAAATGCATGTCAATTCAAACAACCTGAAACTCAGTAGTCCTTCCTCCTGTTGTTCAAAATGGACAGTCCATTTTAAAGAGTATGCACATGCAATAATTGACATGTATTTTATTAAATGTGAAGAACAATTTTGGTTTTATATTATCGGATTAAAAATAAACAGGAATAAAATTATAGATAGATAGAAGATAGATAGAAAGTAATCTTTATTCTGGGACGAGGTCCCTTATGAATAACAGTTATGAACAAAAAAAATAAAAACCACATCTGGCCATAAATTACAATAATCAATATTAAAGAAAATATACAGTATCTCAGTAAAAGTATATTAAAAGAAGTAATAATACCACCATTTTGAAAAAACAAAAAAAACAAAAAAAAACATCATTTAAATGGAAAAACAAAACAAAATAATATAAGCATGGGCTGATTTTTTAAATTAAAACTCAATCAATTTTAATAATGATTCACCTCAGTCAAAATCTGTTTCGCAATATTTCTTTCATTGTATAATGTCATTTTGGGATGTAAGAAGGAATTGGTTGGTAGAGATTATATTTAAATGAGGACAAGGAAGAGGCATGGCGGATATCAGATGGAAAAGAATTCCAGAAGGTAGTGGATCGGGCAATAAAGGAATATTCAAATGTCTTAGTTCTATGGGAAGGTATATAAAGGTCGGAAACACGGGATCGTGTTTTCTGGGAGTGGATATCGGGTTTGAACTGCAGGAGACAGTAGATGTAGGAAGGGTGTCGGGTGTTGATCGTTTGAGAAAAGGAAAGATCCAAGGAAATATTGTCTGCGTAAAGAAGGGAAAAGCCACTTTAACTCATCGTAAAGGTGGGACACATGAGACCACCTCGATGTACCGAAGACAAATCTTAAGCAGGTATTAATTAGTCGCTTCAATCTATCCTCGAGTACCGTCGGGATGCCTCTGTACATCACACAGCCGTAGTCAAAGTGGGGGAAAATAAGAAAGGATATAAGGAGCTTGCAGATGGATTGTGGGAGCAGGTGGCGGGAGTGATGAAATAGCTTAAGGGTACCTATTGACTTATGGGAGATGAGGGCGATATGGGGTTTCCAGGAGAGGTTTTCGTCTATGGTGATTCCTAAGTTTTTTACAGAGAAGCTGAATGTTACAGGATGGTCGTTGATGACTAAAGGAGGAAGGAAGGAGATGGATTTAAGAATAGGACTGGAACTAATAATAATGGCCTGAGTTTTCATCGCGTTCAGCTTTAAATTATTCAGACTTGCCCAGGCACAGTATATAATATGAGAATATGTTAGAAATATCATAGATTTTTTATAGCTTCAAAATGAGCCAATTGTCTGGAAACATTGTTATGACGTAAATAAATGAAAAAATTATAAGGACATTTCAATCCCATGAAGATACCGTATGTAGGGTGTTCCATAAGTATTTTTGAAATGGAAACTTCTTTAGGTGCGTTTTGCACTTTTTTTTTATGTTGAGTGAATTAGATTGAGCTGTCAGATTTCTGATGTGTAACACTTGGATAAAGTCGGCTGTACTCGACTAATTAAAGTATTTTCGCATATGGATTAAAATATCTCAAAAACTTAAAACCGGACCTGCATATTGTTAACAAGGAAAATGTTCATCATTTCATCCTCTTTGTAATGAGCTATTATTCAAAATTGTATCTTAATGCGATGCCATGTTAGAGAAGGGAAAGGAGGAAAATAGTGTTGAAAACCAAATTATAACTAGTTTTATTGAAGATATGGATTAAAATATCTCAGAAACTAAAAATCGGACCTGCATACTGTTAGCGAGGTAATAGGAAGCAATAACTAAAAGAACTAATAACTACTTAATAATTGAACTGATAATTACTTCACTGCAAACTAGATAAAATTTACTTCAAGTAAAAATAGATTTTTATTGTCAAAACCATTTAAAAATGATTTTTAAGCTGCTAAACTAAGCGATGTATTTTTTTTTAAATCATAAATTCACGATTTTTTTTTTTTATCATTATCTAACTATTCTACTAATATACCAATTTTAGAAAAACTTCCTCGTTTAATAATTATTAAATCAATATTAATTAAGTTGAGGTTTATTAGATAAAAACTTGAATCTCAAGTTGTGTAAAGAAATTATGTGCTTTTCTATCCAGTCACCTAAAAGTACCTGTGTTTTCAGCAAATATGGCTGTAATTAAGTTTTGCAAAGTTTTTATTTCTTATTTTTTCATGATCTGGGGTATATTTTAATAAACATAATTGCCTCAATACACTTTTTATTTATAAAAATAATGCATTTTCAAATATTTTTCATGAAACTGTTTTTTGCTCCCAGATGAATTGATCTGTATTTATAAATGACAAAATCCATGTTTCTAGCTCTAATATTTACTTTTTCATGAAAATAATTGAAGCAATCAGCAGGTTTCTTTATTTTAAATGTAAACTTTAGGACTAGAAATATTAAGGTTGTCACTTATAAATACGAATAAATTCTTATAACAGAGATTTTGGATAAAATACAATTTCATAATCTATCTTGTTACTTGATAGCCACACCTCTTATACTAGTAGGTTATGAATCATCATTAATTGAAAGCCTGTAATTCAAATGATCTTGTTTTACAGATGTATATCCTTTTCTGACTGACACAGTAATGTCCCAGCCTGCTTACTGTGATGAGAACTTCAGATGGCAGCCTTTGAAAGAAGCGAAACACTTGTGGCCGAAGGCTCCTCACGAGAAGGTTCCTGACAATGCTGAAACAGAGGTTCCTTTCTTTAAGCCTCCGAGGGAGGGTCTCCCATTCTCCATCGAATATGTTTCAGGAATAAGCTTGGAATGTTTGATGCATTTTGAAATTCCTCCAGCATCTTATTTTCTAAGTATACAGTACAACGTGTAATCATATCTGAATATATATATATATTAATTTATAAATTGTTTATTTAGGAGTTTAATCAAAAATTTTCATTGATTACTAACTAGGACAAACAAAAGATGATAAAAAAAATATATCCATATAAGCACTTAATTATAAATCTAATTACTATTCTATTCAGATGAATTTTATTAACCTTCTTTATAATTGAATTTTGTGAATCATATTAATTATTTGATGAAGAGTTACATAGTAAATTTATGTTGTTTTATGAGGAAACTTCTTTCATTTTTTAAATCAATTTTCATTTGTTATTTTTCATCATCGACGTTTTGGGCCTTTAGTCCAAGATCATGGACAATTTTACCTAATTATTTCAACATATGAATCAAAATATTGTTATAAAATCATCATATAATTTTTCCCCACTTTGACTATTGTTGTATGGTATATGGGGGCGTCTCTGGGGATCTCGAGGCGAAACTAAAATGTTCGATAAATTGCTTTGTATGACTCATCTTCGGGATCCCAAGGGACGCCGCTGTTTCCCGTTTTCATCAGTTAAAATGGATTTTTTTTTTTTTTTTTTTGGTTCTTCCCTTCCTCGCCGTTAAGGCTATACGGGATTTTCCCGGGCCAGGGGGTGTGGGCGGGGATTTAAAAGACTCCCCTGGCACCGGGACGCGAACTCGTGACTATTTTTATATCTTTAATTCATATGTCAGGTTGCCAGGCAACGGCGGTGCAGTTCACACGCTTTAGCCCATTCGGCTACCCCGCCCGCCCAGTTAAAATGTCTTTATCCTTCCTACCGTCATAAGTATTTCCTGGCATCCTTTCTCTTTCAAGTCATCCAATCCTACCTCCTTCATACATCTCCAAGCTCCTTCAATTCAAATCGTTTGTTCATTCCCGCAATAACCAAAAACTCAGAACGTATGCTCAACTCCTGGGGGAGAAAAGTATTAAGAAGAATACGGAGTGGAATTGCTGAGAATGGAATTTGGAAAAGAAGAAAGAATGAGGAGCTACAGGAATTTCATGGAGAACCTGATATTGTGGCATTGATAAAAAGAGCCAGGATAAGATGGTTAGGTCACGTGGAAAGAAAGCCCGAACAAAGAATGCCTAAGAAGCTGCATAAGAAGCCGGATGGCAAAAGAAGTAGAGAAAGCTCTCGGATCACATGGCTGGAGGATGTGGAGGACGATCTGAGGCAGCTGGGTATTTGAAGTTGAAGGGAAGTAGCGCAAGACCGTGGAGATTAACTGGCTGTAGTGGAGGAGGTCCGGGTTCTTGTAGGACCGTAGCGCCATTATAATAATAATATATATTAGTATACCTTCACATTTATATTTTCCTTATCATTATAAAATGTTGATCCTAAATAAAAAAATCTGGTGCGCGCAATGCACAACTTTCAATTACCCCTCAACTTTGAATTGCATTTTTAACCAAACTAAAACAAAAAGATTACAGCTTACAAATCTTAAATAACAAAAGTCCTATTTATTATATACTGGTTGATTATGGGTTGTACGATCTGTTGATTATGTATTGTACGATCCATTGATTATAGATTGTATGATCTGTTGATTATAGATTGTAGGACTATTATTAAACTATTATTTTCCATTGCAAAGTTTACTAAAATGGAATAGAGAGATTTGCATTGTCTGTCATATACAGGTCATAAGTTGGCACACTAATTGGAACTGGATTCTGTTAGAATATCACAAAGGGAAAATTCATCAAATTATTCACTAATTTAATTTTCTAAAAGGTTACATGATGATTTTTCGGAATAAACTGACGATAGTTATCTAATTATTTAAATATAATATCAGATCTAGAGTTATTAAACTACAGTAAATTTATTTAAGGTCATAAACATATGCTTTATACATCCATGAAATGATTTGATACTTCACTTCTTCTTTCAGAAAAATACAATGAAATATTTTTTGAACCATGGCATTGCCTGGATTAAGTGGATTTTTAAAACTTTTTTCATAATTAAAAATATTTTAATAGCTTACGTTTAGTTAGTACTTGAATTAAACATGTGATTAACGTTAAATAATATTAGTTTTCAAAATGACTATAATTTTTTCACCATTCTCCATTAACATCTACAACTTTCTGTATTAGATATTGTTTTTGCTAAAATTCTCCGCTTTCCAACAATTTCTGACTACTATTTCCGGAGATTCATTTTCGACCTGGATAAGCATTTTTACTTTTTTCTTCTTTATTCAATTATCAAATTCTTTCAAAAGTTATATTTAGTATTTTTTTTGTAACTTTTAATCATGTGAGATGATTAATTATTTAGAATAAACCATATTAAACACACTTTAGAGGGAGCCAAATATGAACATTCAACATTTGTAAAGTGACCCCCTGTATATTTGTGTAAAAGCCCTGTAATGTGACATAAATGGGGATAAGACCTAATTGTTATTAAAGATCACTTAAGTATACAATAATACACCGAGTTTAATCAAAATCGTTAGAGCCGTTTTTGAGAAAATTGTAAGAATGTGTTTCAGCGTTGATATAAAGTGGCATGTCCGATTAGCTTATTTTAAGAAATAAGTTGCTGTCATATCTAAGGCATATGCCTATCTTAAATATGTAATATCAGTTTGTTGCTACTTGTCGTTTTTGAGCTAGACTGCTAACATACACATATACAGACACACAGACCATTTTTTGGTTATTTGGACTCAGGGTACCTCAAAACGTATATTTACGTTGAAAACTCAGAGCCGAAAATTTTCACGATTGCAATACTTTCCCTTACTATATATTACATATGTACGTAAGTGTAAGTAAAAATGTTGAGAGTCCATTCCAAAAACAAAAAACGGCTTTGGTCCGTCTTTATGGCCAGTTATTCTATAACTAACGTTTATGGCAACTATATTATTTCCAAATTGAAAAAATATCCATGATCTTGGTGTAAGAGCTCGAAATATCGAGCATAACAATTAAAATTTAATTTAAAAAACTAAAGAGGGTTATCCTTCAGTACATTTGTTGTATTTTCAGTATTTTATTTATTAATTAATCTTAAAATAAAGTTAATTAATTTAATATTAATTGTACACTCAAAATATGACACTAGTGTTTTAATAATTTATTTTACTTTCCAGCTCAAAGAAAGCTGCAAGAGTATGCTAACCATAAAGAATTTTTCGATCTTGTGTTCACTACAAGAGAGGCAGATAAAGCTCAGCTAAAGGATTTGTTTAGTAATTCAATTAATTTTTTTTGTTATTTATTTTCATTAAGCTGTAAAATTGGTATATAATTGAAGGAACTAGTAGATAATGGTGATAAATGAAGTGTTTACAATTTTTAAGAAATTGAATTTCAAGTTTAACACAATTTCTAACGGTTGTTTGAATGGTGATAAAATCTTATAATTTTGTTGATAAAAACTTAAAATATTAGATCTATATTTAACTTTTACTTTATCAGCTTTCCATCTTGATGCAGTGAAATAGATCTGATGAATTAGGATTTATTGAATACTTAATAGTTGACTATTGTGTTATTAAGGAAGGAGATTGTATGGGATGGCGGTCATAAATAGGCTAAATAGTGGCAAAACAGGGCTAGAATGGACAAGATACAAAAAGATATAGAGAATTGTGGAAGTTACGTAATTATTAGACAAAAAATTATAAACAGTGTGAATAAACTTATTAAAATTATAAACAGTAAGTACATTAAAATATAAACAGAGTTAGCTAAGTAACAAGATCCTAAACTGAAGTAAATAGATTGTTAACAATTGTTGTAGTATGATATATAAAATAATATATGCAATTGTGAATATACTCCTATAGATCTACAGGAGAGGTTGGAAGAAAAGGAAAAAGGATATAATATGAAATAACGGACGTAAAGGGATGTGGAGAAAGAAAAGAAAACAAAAAATAAATAAGTAAATAAAATTAGAAGAATAAAAATAAAGACTTACAGGTGTGTTCAGCAAGGATTTTCACTTAGAACTGGAAAAAAGAGTAAGTATTGGGGAAATTTGACCTGATTGGGGAGTGGTGAGGGGATAAGTAGTAAAAGTAAAACAAAACCTGGAAAATTACAGTATTTAAAATCTGAAGATATGGATGGATACAAGGGAAAATACTATATCTATGAAATATTAAATTATAAATATATACATATACATATAAAATAGAATTTAGAAATTATAGATAGGAGTACATTGTGAATAAAAACAAAAATGAAAGAAGTAAAACGTACAAAGAAGTAAAATATAAATATAGAAATAAGAGACCATACATTGCAGAACTAATTTAGGAGTATAGGGAAGAAACAAATATGAATAATTATAATTATACTTAGTTGTACATATGGAAATTACATTTAAATGTTAGATAATATTGAGACATAATGGTTAGTACAATGAATACAAAGTAAATGATGATCATCCATTTTTACTTTGTATTTGTTGTACTTTTTACAGTCTCAATATTATCTAATATTGATTAAGTACTCAGATTTTCCACTTCTAAGTGAAACTCCTTGCTGAACACACCTGTAAGTCTCTATGTTTATTCTTCCAATTTTATTTACTTATTTATTTTTTTGTTTTCTTTTCTTTCTCCACGTCCCTTTATGTCCATTATTTCATGTTATATCCTTTTTCTTTTCCTATCAACCTCTCCTGTAGATCTGTAGGAGTATATTCACAATTGCATGTATTATCCATTATACTACAACAATTGTTACCATCTATTTACTTCAGTTTAGGATCTTGTTACTTAGCTTACTTTGTTTATATTTTAATGTACTTACTATTTATAATTTTAATAAGTTTATTCACACTGTTTATAATTTTTTGTCTAATAATTACATAACTTCCACAATTCTCTATATCTTTTTGTATCTTGTACGTTCTAGCCCTGAAGAAGACCTGCAATGTCGGTTCGAAACGTTGGCTTTTAATAAAATAGTTTTGCCACTATTTAGTCTATTTATGACCTCCACCCCAGACCATCTGGTTCCTTATGAATTAAGATTTAGTTTGTATATCAAAGGGACAGCTGAAGAATTTTAGGTTCAAAAATGTGTTAAAGTATTATTATTTTATAAAATAATTCAAATCTTGAAAAGTTTTAATTGAAGTATAACTTGGATTAAATATTTAGTTTCAAAATTAATTTTTTTTTTTAAATCTTTTTTTCATATTCCTCTGTGTAGGGTTGCCTGAAAGGGGGTTTCTTGGGCGCAAGTTGCGCATTGAAAATTTTTGGAGGCATATTTTGATGGGTTTTGGAATTTTTGAGAGGGGAAAATTTCTATAGGGTTATGAATTTTTGGACTAAAGGACAAGGAGGAAACATGGATCTGATCGTAAGTGTAATTGTATATGATCTACAATTTTACTAATTCTACCTTAGCTTTCTCTGTTTTTATGAAAAGGTGAGCAATAAATTATCTTGGGAGGGCGGAGGGGGGTAGGTTCTTGTGCCATCGACCTTGGGAGGGGGGGAGGAGAATGGGCACCACTGCCCCTGTGATGTTTTTATAAATACATCTATATTTCTATTTAACATGCCTTAATTGTCCAAGTTCACACTTCCTCTTCAACTTCCTTCCTACTCAGGATTTCATTGGATTCCTTTGAAGAATTTTTTTTTAGGTTTTGAATTTGGTTGTGTTACAAGTTCTGTTAAAACATTCTTGAATGTGTTAATTTCAGTGAATATTATTTTAACCTTTTTTTTTTGTGTTCTTCTACCACATGTATAAATATGAATCTAGAATTTCTGTATAGAAAATGCAAGTCTATTACATAAAAATAATGAAAAAAATTGTATTAAAAATATTGTCCATTGCTACTAGCTCTCTAATTTTTTATAGATAGGCAATTTATGTATTTTTTTTTATCTCATATCCAGGACGATTGGGACAAGAAGTTGAGTCTTCAGTTGAGGATTTTGCTGTTGAAGAGGAAGAAGAAGAAGAAGCTAAAGAAGAAGAGGAAATGGAAGTTGAAATGGACACTCATTTTGAAACTGAATTAAACGCTGAAGAAGCTGAGGAATTAGAAGAAGAGGATCTCGGATTGGGAGAACAATTACTTGAAGAAGACATTAAACCTTTGAGAAAATCCATACTAAAATCACACCAAGTGAATTTCGACTTGCCAACTGATGCCCAAATAGAAGAACTTGATAAATTAGGCACAGAAGAATTCGAATCAAACTTAGAAGGAGAGCAATTGGATCATGAAGGGGCAGAGGATTTAAGATCTGTTAATGAAGAGTTCCAAGATGAATATGATGAGGATGATCCTTTTAATTTCTTGAGAGGATATGGAGATGATTTAACTGAAGACACATTTCTAGCTATATTTGAAAAACAAAAAGATCCCAATAAAGAACCTGTAGAAAGTGAAATGAAACCTCCGAAACGGATGAAATCATTGTGGCAGTGTTATCTCGAAAAGATAGGTTTTTATAATTTGGAGGTTCCACAAATATTGGTAGAAGTAAAAGAAAATGAGCTGGCGAATGATGACGATGTTCAAAACATGGAATCAAGTAAGTTTTTTTTTTCCACAAATTTCTTTATCTTTTATAATTCTGATATCTAGTGTGTCTACACTTACAACTGTTATTAACAGTTTAGGTGCCAAGGCCAGTACAACATTTTTTGGAAATTCTCTAATATTGGTCTTTTTTCGTTTTTTCAAAAGTGTTTTTTGCGTGTTATTTTACTTTTGTACGTTTTTATTTTATTTTTTTTTAGCGACCATATGGAATGTTCCGGATGTTGTATAGTAGTGTTCAAATAGTTCAGAAAGTTAAATAAATGGGATTCTATGGGGGAACCTGGGGTAAATCTATTATATAAAAAAGTTTTTAGTTTTCATATATTATTTTATTTTAGTATTAGGAGAGTAAGAGGTTACAGGAGCTCCTATTAGCTCTATAATTAGCACTAATTACCCACCTGTTCATTTAATTACATATGAGCTCCTGTTATCTTATGCGTTCCTAATACAAAATTTATATTTTAGACCAAAAATTTGTATGAGAAATGGTATTTATTCATCTGGAGGTGGTAGTTTCATTTTACCCAGGTGACAGCAGTTATTTTTTGATCTAGTCATTTCCCCATGAATTCAATACATTAATTATTATATTATTTATATTATGTTGTGATATAATTATAATTATTTTAAAATAGAAAACAAAGTACAATACAACGTTCAATGAAAATAAAAAGAATTTAAAAGTTTAAATAAATTAAAAAATTGTCTGAACTGTGGTTTTGTTCAGTTTATTTTATGTTGACAAAAAATAATGCAATCTGAACTACAGATTATATTTATAAGTTATACAATTTGAGCAACTTTGAACATAATTTGAGTAGTACAGTTAAATGAACAGTTATATAATTTGTTAAATGGGGGTTGGGCCGCTGTTAACCAGACAGAGGATATTCCCCTATTACTTTAATAAATAATAATAATAATAAATAATATTTCAAAATCATACCAATTACATTATGTCAAATGTTTATTTTAATACTTGTCTAATTTAGTTTTTTTTTTTTTTTTTTATTTGTAGAAACTTTAATTACCTTTCTATTTTATTCCCCTCCTCCCTCCCCCCACAATATAGACCAGCTGAGGATCATATATCATTATTTCTTGGATTTCCTTTTAGCCTAAACTTTCCTATATATTTTTCACTCATTTCCTTTTTCCGTTCTTCTGTCCTTTCCTTCCTTCCTTTCTCCTCTTTTCTACTCAAAGAACCTTCATCTTATTCATTATTTTTCTGAATTTATTCCTATCTAGGTATTCCTCTTCTTTTATCCCAAATCTTACTATTTTTCCTGTATCTGTTCAGTAAATCTTTTGATATTTTTCAGTCCCATCACTTTGTCAAATGTCTGTTTGTTTATCATATCTTTAATCATTTTCTTCTTGTGACCAAAGAATTTCAATCTCTCTTTCCTCATTGAGGTTTCTAGATCTTTGACATCTTCCTACAATTCTTGATAATTACTTGATTATTTGACAATGCTATAAGATAAGATTCAGTAACAAAAAGAATCTGAAAATATTTGGAACAACAAATGTAAACAAAAATACTGAAATTAAAATTAATAAATATTAGTTGTAGCTTAATAATTACCAATCTTACTGATTAGAGATAGAACTGAGCAAAAGTGATATGGCACGATGTGGATTTGGGTTGGAGGTGGATGTGCTGATAATCATTTAATGGCTATTTAACAGAATATATTTAAATAAAAGTTTCTAAGCTAAATGGAACTGTTAAAATAAATTAATAAGTAAGATAAGCATTTAAAAATACATAAGTAGGTAAGAAAAGACAAAAACGTAATACATTATATTTAATCTAACTAATATATTATAACTAATACATCACAAATAGATAATCTTAGATATTTATTTAATATACATGTGTACCTAGCCCTTATAAAGTGGGTACTCTTAATTAAATAATCAATTAAGGGGGAAAACCTGGCAGTTGAGCGTGATCTCAGTCAAATCACCTCCTTATACAACAGTTGATAAAGAAGTACTACTTTTTCTAAATATAATTGAACTGAAGACCTTCATGGGTTGTGGTGGTATAAATTTTTATATATATAAACACAATGGAAGATTGTATTAATCGATTTGTAAATCTAAAATAATGAAACTTCATTTTTTCCTGATTACTGAGTATCTTTTAATTTAAAACTTTATATTTATTTATGTATTTCAAATTTTAGAGAAGGAAGAAAAACCAGATAATCCTTTTGAAGTAGAACATAAAGAAAATGAAAACTCAGAGGAAATCTCAAAAGAAGAATATTCTGAAGAGATGTCAGAAGAAATGAGTAGGCAAAAATCACAAGAGAAAACAGAACAGCATCCTGCATGTAAATTATTTTAATACCTTTTTTTACTTAAATTAATATTATTTCCTTATTTTAAACATATTATTACTTATTATTGTATATAAGGACATCCTGTTTTTCGTTTATAAACACTTAACTGTAAAATATTGGGTTGGCAAATATTTTCAGTTTTTCAGGGTGTAATAAAACTCAATGTATTATAGACATAAAATTTATTTTAATTTACAATATATTGACCATTATTTAATATGACTTTTTTCCCATCTTTCTACTAACTGCACAATGCCATGTTCATAGAATGTCTGGAGTTTATTGTCAAAAACTGATCCAAGTGGTTTTTGATGTCCTCTTCGTTTTGGAATTTATTTCCATTCATGGAGTTCTGCAGAGACCGGAATAAGTGGTAGTCACTTGGAGTCAGGTCTGGTGAATAGGGAAGGTGGGGCAAAAGGTCCCATCCAAGGCTCAATAATTTTTTGCGAGTGACCAATGAGGTGTGGGGCCTAGCGTTGTCTTGGTGGAACACAACCCCCTTCCAATCATTCATAACTCTTCAAGTAGTTCTCCAAATTCGATGTTACTATATCTGTTGGAAAGCTGAATTATTTTTCTTAAAAGCCGTATGAATGGTTTTTTGATTTAATGCCTACTTAAGGAATAAATAAACAAAAACTCCTTATAGGTTTTTATTTTTTATCCACATTTGTTGTTTGTTTATGAAAGTCCTGTTGGTGTCATTTTGTATGTATGTATACTGTATGCCCTGAATTCCTGCTAAATTTCTTGTAGATAGCTAAAGTCGTATAGAAGTTATAACATTTCTTGTGATTTTCGAAAAAAAAAATCATGTGAGGGTCCCAAACAACATTAAGCCTGGAAACATAGCTGAGCTTGTGTTTTCGACGCTTGTGTGCGACACATTTAGGGCCATAGCAATGTCTCGTACTGATTGGGTGAGATTATGATCAACGATAGCCTTAACATTGCTCGTTTCAATTTCATGTGGGCGACCAGACCATTGAGCTTCAATGATGTCAAAATTTCCTGAATGAAATTTGGCAAACCGGTGGCAACAGATGCGTTCGGTTAAGGCATCATCTCCATAAACACTGCAAATTTTTCTATGAGATTCTGCAGCATGACTAAATTTTTTAAAATAATACAACAAAACATACCGATAATGAATGATATTTTCTTCCACATTCACAGTGCAATAGCAAACACAGTACTAAACTTGTTTCAACAAGAGTTAACAGATACAGTTGTTGACATATTACAAACGGGATAAACAATTCATCAGATAAGAAGTGTATCATAGTGACATAAAAATAAACAGAAAAACTGAAAGGATTTATTTGCCTAATACTTGATTGATTCACACCCAGTCTTTTGCAAAATAGTCCGTGTTGTCTTGAATTTTTTTTAAGCTATTGAAATGTGTAAATAACCTAACAAAAGTTTAATTGTAAATAATTTGTTTTCGGCGGGAATTGGTGAATGGTTTTCTGATTTTATATTGGGGAACTAGGTTATTTACACTCGTGATTATTAAAACAAAACTCTGGCACTGAATATAGACTTTTTGAGGGTATTTAACTGTTGTTGGGAATTCGGGAATCTAATACCTTTTGTGACACTGAGTAACAAGAAACAATAAGAACATATATATATATATATATATATATATATATATATATATATATATATAATGTGGGACTGAGTAAATACACTTTGAATGAATTGACTCGCCTTGTTTATTATTCTTCAGTTGTCAGGCCTATAGGACACTAAATAAAAGGACTATTCACTCCTGTCTAACAAAACAATTTATTTTAACACCTGATAATAAATGAATATATTAAAGTCTTATAACTGTAGGCTTGATATTCTTAGTCTTCAATGTCCTGCCTCTCTCTGATGACAACCTCGTTTCTTCCTGTCCCAGCCTTAAGTCCTCTCGCCTCCGTGTCTCAGCATCTAGTGCCTTCTCTCCTCTTCTCGGCGTCCTTCTGCCAGCTGCTGCTACCTGACCAGATCTTTTTCCTTCTTCATCGATTGTTTATCGATATGAGACTTTTCAAAGAACAATTTGTCCACTGCACAATTGAGTACAATTTACAGTGCAACCTCACATTCTTATATATTACATATTCCTTCTCATACCCTCACACAATGTCACATAAAGAGGTAAATAGAGGGGGATGTCTACTACAAATGGTTGATCTGACTTGTAGAAAAAAAGTGATATATATTTCCAATGTGTTAAGAGATTATTATTAATATAATTAATGTTGGCAAATCCTAATTTTATATTTTTGTTGAAATTGTATTGGGATATCGTTAAAAATTCCACTGAAACAACAAAATATTGATCATCTCACAAATGCTGCCAAGAAGTAATGAGTACCTAGAAAATATTTATTGAAAGAAGAAAAGTCACAACAAAACAAGAGAATACTTATCATCTCATATCTTATTATATAAAAGGACAGAATGTTTTTAATTTGTAACCAGTAAACAATGACATTTCTAAAGTAATCTTTATCAAATTATAATGTCATCTTTATTGTTCCCTAAAGGTTTAGCTATGATTGATTTTTGTGTCTTATAAGCTACTGTGAACTATGTTGTGGGTTTTTCTTCCGTTTGAATATTTGTTATAGACATAAGAAAAGGTTTAAATTGCTTTTGAGATATATTGGTGTTACGCATCGTGATGGTTCTGACAATAATGCCATTTGAATTCAAACCTTTGTTATTTCCGGTGGGATGTTTATTTGCAATGACCATCACTAAAGCTTTAGAACAATCATCGTAAAGGTTTGAAACTTAATGAAGCTTGGCTACATAATGGCTGTTCGATAACCAGAATTAAAACACACATTATTTAGTTTTTTCAGTGACATCACAATGAGCTGTATTCATACTACATATTATTATTATCATCATATTATATTGAAGGCGCCATGCAAAATAATTTAAATATTTGAATATATATATATATATATATTGGAAGGGAAAAAGTGAAATGCCATATCTGTTATATGTTGATACTATTAAACTGAAAGGTACTATATCGCTGGTACTGCCCACTTCAGCGGCTGCTATTTCATACTGTCAATCGCTAATGCTTGTCTATTTTGCTGAAACTGCTCACCGTTGTGGCAAAATCATCTCAATTTAGCATCCTAGTTTTATATATAAATTTTAGCCTTAAATTTAATGGTTTTTATTTGTATCGGAAGGATAGCAATAGATTTGATGGTGGAGTTTTGATCTTATCTAATTAATAAATGCCATTTTTTCTGGTAGTTAAAGTTGAATTAAAAGGTTAGGTTATGTCTGTACTATGAAATGTTAACAATTATCCATATATTAATTCCTACCTTCTAAAAAATTATTGTTTCCTGTAATATTATGAATATAAAATATAAGCATTCATGGTAATAATAAGATGAGAAAGCATTATTTTATGATCTAAGGATTTATCTCCGATTTTAAATTTATTACTAATTATTAGTTTGATAAGTAACAGTAATTATTACATAATTGGTAAGTAATAAATATATATTTGTAATGAAATCACAGCAGGCAATATTTTACCGTTTTATCTATAGGTAATCAGTAAATATGTACTTTAATTAAAAAATACAAATTGATTTTTCAATGTTTGGATTTGAATATTTAATGTCATTTGGATCTAGATATATTCTCTGTAAAATACTTTTGGTGGAATATATAAATAAATAATCTTGTTACTTCAACCTTTAAAAAATGATTTACTCTAGTTTTGTTTAAATTTTATAAATATTTCATTTAATTTTGCCAAACTTGATGAAAAAAAAAAAAGGAAATGGAACATATCATAGTGAATTTTATCATCAAAACAATGTTCCGATATGATAACCTAACATATAACCGCTGTGCTGCCAACAGTTTCACTGCTTCAGAAGCTGTCAGATAGGAGATTTGACGTCATACCTAGACTGCCGAGCAGTGCCAACAAAATAAGTTCCTTTCTATTCCACTAAAGCAGTGCTTAACCGCCAGCAGTTGCTGCCATGTACAGTACCAGCGAAATAGTACTTAAAGGTATTTAATGACAGGGCAAACTGAATGAAAAAGTGAATATATATTAATTATAATTAATTAAAAGTGAATACATATTATCAAGTTGGCAGATAATTTATAATCTGGGGATTAATTACAAATGATTTACATATTTTGTCTTTAGATTTATATTGTATAATATAATAAAGGATTATCGAATCCGAAAATTCAATCGTAATAACACCAGTCGCTGTCTCCATACTTCATCTACTGACGACTGTCCAAATTCTACTACGTGAGATCAGTTGTAAAGCGATTCTACCCTCTTCACTTCGTTTTACCACTCGGATACTTACCAATCGCCACAGCACATTTAATCTTTTAGTTACTAAGCCCATCTTACTAGCCAGAATGTAATCATCTCAATTCTATTTACCAGGCAAAGTTTAAGAAATTTGTAGTTGTGTGACCATCTAAACTCGTTCCTTATTTGGTCTTAATATTTAATACTGTATTTTCTAAAACCTTAAGATGCTGCACATCCATTAAAGTATACGGCTATGTTTTGCAACCATAAAGAAACTTCGGAAATATAATTGTTGCGTAAATTTGATTTTTAAATTTCAGGACAGAAAGGGCGTGCTAAGTGTTTTGCATCATAAGAATAACAAGCATTTCTCCCCCCTCTCCCCTTCAACGTAGCCTTTCATCTTAATTATTTTTCCTAGTCATTGTAGACCCTAATAGTCTGTGGCACAAACTCTTTTATTATTAACATTCTTCTAAAATTTCATGAATGGCTTCAACTGATCTTAACCTACAACTTTTTTGTTTACTAAAATTATCGGAAATAAGGCGTTTTCAATCTGGAGATTGGTATATTGTGTCTAGATAATGAGGTATTAAATACTCATGAATACCCATTTGCTTTCCACTTGAATTATAAGATAATTTGATCACAAAATTAAGAAGAAAAAAAGGTGATCTATAAAAATATTCAGGTCAATATTTTTTCAGTCCACATTTTTCTCGATTTTTTAATCAAATTATCTTAAGATTCAAGAGGTGAATATTCATGAGTTTTTAGTACCTCCTTAAATTAATTAATGAGGAAACGCCACATTTATGGACATCACAGCTCTTTTTGGTCGGAGGATGAAGTCCTCTTTATTTTAAATTTATATTGTTACCAAAAAAATATCTATTGCTACAATTTCTTATTAATGTTATTCATTAGACTGAAATGTTATTTTTCAGACTTAATGAGAGGAATAGGATTCATAGAAGATATGGAGCATGATTTCTGTCCTCGTATGTCCATTTTTTATTTTTTTAACTAACTTTATCCGGCCAGGCGCTGCTGTGGCTCAGTATGGCAAAATGGAAAAGAAATAAAATAAAAAAGACAAATGAGTGGCTTAATATTAAAGGACATCTGCCGTTTTTAAAAAGTTGATGAAAAAAATTTGTTTACAACATTAATTAATTAAGCTTCAATTTAAACTAATTCTAATGATTTTTTTTTTCCAGATTCAACTTGAATATCCTTAAATAAAATCATCAGAAACAGTTTGAATTGAACCCATAAATAAAAATGGACTTGTTCTCTGCTTTCTGAAAATGACAGAAATCCGTCTTTGATACGAAGCCACTCATTATTTACACGTTTAATTTTATTATTAATATTTTTTAAATTTAATGTTCAACTTTGATTGGCTATTTTATGGGTAGGATGATATCATCAACATAAAAATGTTGTTGCCTTGAAATTATGGCTTAAATCTGCATTCAAATACACGCGTATTAAAACTATATATATTTATTAAAAACCCAGAATCAGTTGGATGTAAAAGTAACACATGCTGTTCAAAATATTTTAAGATACCGTTTCAATGTTAAAGATTTTCAAATATAAAATGTTTGCAATGTATTGCGATTGTGCTATATCGCTTACCATAGCGTTCGTTTTGTGTGCTCTAAGAGCTGCCTTCCACCTCCTTCAAAAGATTTCACATACTCCTCCTAAGATATCTGATTGCCCGCTGTTTCTTAACAACTTGATTAAATATGGAGTTATAAAAACTGTAGTGGAAAAATAAACCTTGCTCGTAAAAGAAACCTTACGGTAAACGTCACAGCCTTTTTCAAATGTGATGTTAAAAAAAATAATTTATTAAAAAATAAAATCAAATTGATGAAAAACTGATTTCTAAAAGGAATCTAAAACATAAACGGTGATAATTATTACTCAAGGGTTCAATATTTTTAAATAATAGCATATCAAATATTTGAGATGTATCATACTACTTCCCAAATACATTGGGGGAAAATATAAATTTGAATTTAAAGGGGTTATATCAGTATTGATCTACATAAAGAGAATCATATCACTTCTTCAAATGATAATCTTAATTACTTCAGTAATTATAAAATTTTCGATTAATCAATATTTAAAAAAAGGGGGGAATGGCCTTTTCCGAAGAAATAGTAGTAAATGTTTAAAACTCTATATCTCTGCAACGAATCATCCAATTTCGATGATTTTTTTTTTATTTTGTAGGGAATTCAGGGAGCTTTCAAATAAATATGGGTATTATCAATCAAAAATTGTATACTTTCTTAGTTATTGACAAATAAAATTTTGAATTCATCGTAACATTTTTTGCAGCTTGTTTTTGGGAAAGTATGTTATACACATAAATTAAAAGGGTTTCAAGGGAAAGATTTTTGCCAAATTTTATTAAAATTGTTCCAGCTGTTTTGGCACGACAGTCTATAGCGATATTTTTCTTACATATATATAATTATCGTAGGATGGATGTACTATGCCAGAAACCTTCGCAAGAGTGTACACAACAACTTCCCAAAGTTTCATAGCTATCAGATGAATGGTTTAGTTAATGTATAAAAGACAAACAGACATTCATTCATTTTTATAAATATATAGATTCAATGAATCATCTATTGTTATATTTTAAAATGATCATTTTATTTCTCTGCAAGATTTAAAATAAGCTGAGATAATTATTGATCAGTTATATTTTCAATTGTACTCTTATACTACCCTCTCTACTCTATACTCAAGCATACCTAGTTCTGCCATAAATACTGTTACAAAAGTTGAACTTTCTTTACATCCTTGGGTATTATTTAGATAATCCTTAGCTCTATCAGGTTATTATCTTTACATGTCAGGATAATAATCCCAAATAGCTTGTATTTTTCTTTCGCTCAGTTAACATGGAGTGGGGTGATGAAGTAAACCAAATAGCTGTGATCGCCTTACACGAAGTTGGAAAATGTAGGTCAGAGATTTTCAACTCTTTGAAACCTTTGGGTATCTTACTGCACTATAAATAGATATAATGAGACCCTTTCTGTATGTGACAGACCTCAACTGGGCCGGGCCCCGCACTGTGAGAACGGCAAATGCAGTGATAGAAATGGCTGCTCAAATCAGAAGAAATCCCATTCGAAGATAACAAATCATGCCTTGGAAAATGGAAATCCCTGTCAGATCAATGTCTTACCTAATAAAAAGTGACCTTAGGATGGGTGCATTGCAAAGAATGACAGGACAAAGGCTAACCACTTCTCTAAAAAAAAACATTATAGTGGATAGATGCAATATGCTCCTTGGCCATTACACCAATGGTCTTCATCGAAAGATTTTGTTTAGCAATAAAAAAATTTTTACAATTAAAGAAAAATTTAATCGCCAAAACGATCCTTTGTAAGCACACAGCTCTAAAGAAGCTCAGGAAGTCATTGCAAGAGTGAAAAGAGGTTATCACCCTTTCTCAGTGATGGTTTGGTGGGGAATTCGCTTTGATGGCAACACAAAGCTCCATTTTTGTGAAAAAGGAGTTAAAACACCCGCTAAAAACTATCAGAACAATACTTTAGAACCTGTTGCCAAGCCTCTAAATGATACTCTGTTTGCTGGAAATGATTAGGTTTTCCAGCAGGATTCCGCTCCAGCTCACAAGGCCAGGTCAACTCAGCAGTGGCTGCAAAAGAACATGCCAGAGTTCATGTCTGCCTCGGATTGGCCCGCAGGAAACTCTGATCTCAACCCACTAGATTATCGGCTTTGTACCAAACTGGAGAGGATGGCATGCCACAGAGCACACCTTAACTTGGAAAGCCTCAAACAATCTCTGGTTCAAGCAGTTGAGCGCTTTCCTTAAGAAGTGTTGTGTGCTGCTATTGATGACTGGCCATGGAGATTAAATGCCTGTGTTAATGCCTTAAGGATGTTTTAAGTAATTTCTTTTTCCTTTTACTGTCTATAGATACATATTTTATTTTCTAATAAAGTTTTTGAAAAAATTAATTTTTCAGTGAAATCTGTATATATTTCCTTGTAACAATATTTTTGATAGGACTAGATATATCAATTGTTGTCAATTGTTTGATATCAATACATAAAGCTTGTTATTATTTATTAATATTCTTAATTTTGTTTTAGAACAAGTCACTGAAATGCCTTTATATGACCATTTTAATGCAAGAATCGGAGTTGATATTGCTGATAAGAGCATAAATGAAGGACATTGTGAAAAAGTTGGATGTAAATTAAAATATTCAACATATATTTCTTAAATAAAATTTGATGTCTTGAATCTCACAGATTAATTATTTTGTATTTTAGTTCCGATTGAACCGAAAGGAAGGTCTCAGATAAATATGGATCAGGAATTGATGAAGATCGATGTTGGATCAGGAATGAAACGTATGTAAACATTATTCATCTATATATGTATTTCATTTACTTTTATACTTTATACTTTATTTCATATATTTTAGTCATTCCTTTATACAATGTATTAATAAATAATGAATACTTAATAGTTGACTGTTGTATTATTAAGGAAGGAGATGGTCCGGGGTGCCAGTCATAAATAGACTAAATAGTGGCAACACTATTTTATTAAAATCCCACGTTTCGACCCGACTTTGCAGGTTCAATAAATTTCAAATTATATAATCAAGTAATTAAATTACTGATATATTTCAATAAAGATATTTTAATATATCAGTGACTGTTCAGATCCAATAATTTTGTATTCCTATAAATTCATTAGGTTATTAATTTTTTTTTATGTTTCTTTACAGATCTTGTAGCTCTTTGAACCAGTTTTTTTCCGCTTTGCCCATCTGGAGCTATTTTTTTCTAGTTATTAGCTTATTATAATTAGAAATAGTAATTCCCCTTGATTTCTTCCAAGGACAGCTATATCATCTACATATCCAAGGATGTACGGTTATTAAATTCTTTAGCAAAAAAACAAATTAGGAACATTATTTTTAGAGCTAGATATTCAGCAGTAAGTAAATTTTAGCAAAGATGTTAAAAAACTATTTTGACATGAAATGATTTTTGAAATAAGTACGTTAAAACAAACAAACTTTGCTGTTATATATATATTTTTATTTTTTAGCTGCAGACAATCCACCATCTGTTCACGTCTCTGTAACACTTCATGAACCTAAAGGTAAATTAATTAATTATCTTTCTAATTATCTATGATAAGGTGTTCATTTTAATTTCTTTCAGAGGGAACAATTAGTCGGAGAAAAAGTAAAATAGCGGATAAAAGCTGTGAAAGTTGTAAATTTTTATTTAAAAATTAGAATTTTTCCTAAATTCTATTATCTGTTTTAAAACAAACAGTCTTGGTAATAGAAATTCCATCACCTATTTCTTTTGATTCTTATGCTAATAATGTTGAATGTTTGTGTTTTTATGAGATCAGAATTTTTTTACCATTGATTGTCTCTATATTATTTTACAACTTTATTAGAAGAGTAGCTTTCGGTGTTCGCGCACCATATTCATCTCTTTTTCTATTTTTGTTTATTTAAAACCATGAAAGATTAGAATAGTGTTCTTGCTCTTCGTCTCATGTCAACTTGACTTCTCCGAGAATAGGACTCCTCTTTGTCGGATACTATCTTACTGCTTGTGGTTTTGTTTCTCTACTTAGTAAGGTTACACGAAAACTTAGACAGTGTTTCTCAGTTCAGTTTTAACTAATACCAGGATAAAAGCTATAATTATGATCTGTTAGAGGGATCTGAAAGTAATGTCGTTTTCTTACTTAAATTCAAACACATAAATTTCACACGAATTTTTATTTTTAATCATTGATGGAATCACTCTCACTATCAACAATCTTTTGCCTAGTGTGCAAATTTTCAATGCAGGATCAGTAAAAATCAATTAGTTTTTGAGAAAAATATATAGAAATGGGATTTTGGACATCATTCAAATTTCCAAATCTTTTGCTACTTAGAAAATGTTGAAACCATCCAAACAAATGGAATCAGATAGTACGACATCGGGCAAATACGGTGAGGCAGTACCTTCTACTCCAATTTAGTAATTTTTTCCAGGATTCGGCTTACGCAGTGTGATCTTGCATTTTTGTGTTGCAGAGTAACGCCTTTTCTGTTGGCTCTCTCAGGCCACTTTTCAATTAAAGATTGATTTACATGTTCCAATTGTTCACAATAAAGGTCTTCATTCACAGTTTGTTAAGGTTTCAGCACTTCAAAATGAGCAAATCTGGTAATATTCCACCAAACACACAAAAGGGCCTTTTTGGGGTGTAAACCTGGCTTATCAGTACTTTGTGGCGATTATTTTGGAGCGAGCCACTGCCTTTTGCATTTTGGATTATCATACAGGACTCATTTTTCATCTCCGTTGATCAAGTAATCAAAAAACGCTTCTGTATTGTGCCATTGAAGCTATAAGTTGCATGTGATGGTTTCCAAATCTGCTGCAGATGTTTTTACATGGTTGACCAAGGTTGGTTAAGACTGTTTGACAATGAACACGTCATTGTCTAAAATTTTTGGTCTTCCTGATCAATGTGAGTTGGAAAGATAAAAATTACCAGATTTGAACTTGAAAAACCTCCTTTGGCATTTAGTCTAATGCATTTGGATAAACATCGCAAATGCTTTTGGTAGCAACTTTTGCGTTACTACCCAGAAAGCAAGCAATTTCGGATATGTACCTCTTTTGGTATGGCTATTCAACTAAAAACTGCAAAATTAAAAATTTAATTCAATTATTTGCAACTAAACAAGTAACTCAAACCTTAGAATGTCTTTGCCGTGACATAGATGACCACAATGAGCTGACAAATGACAATCAAATAGTGTGTAATGTACACCTTTATTGGACGTTGGTAAAAAGGGTTTAATAAATTAAATCAATGTCCAACAGTTAAAAGGTTAGTTAATCTAGTTCTACTAGTTCAGGGAAAAGAAAAAATAACTGCTCTGTAGTTTCTCCAAAAAGAAAAATCTCAAAGAGGGGATGGAACAAAGGATTTGTTTTGGCAAGCAGTTGTGTGTCTGCAGTGAAGAGAGGATAGGAGAAGGGATTCAGGCTCCAGTGGGTAAAACCCAGTAATAGTATTACTATCTTGGAAGTTAGAGTTGAGTAGATGAAGTTGTTACCATTTCGGAAGATGTGTTTGGCAGAACATAGGAAAATGTTAAAAGACAAATGAATTCAGTGATACAAAGGAAGAAACAGTCTATATAGAAAAAAGGTTAGCTTGCCAATCCATACTTGACTTTATTTTCAAATCAAACAGTGTTTAGTGTAGTTAATATTAGTTTGTCTGAGTGTTTTGATCTGATTGTCAGTAACCTATACCTGAGATAAAAATATAAGAGATAATAATTTCAATTTAATATATTAATACTCTTATATATATAATTTTTTTTTTTTTTATTTAACAACCTCTTATTTATTTAGAAAGTATCCTAACAGTACAAAATGGTCTTCCGAGGTTATATTATTGTTTGTAAAATATAAGAGAGCTGTTACAAATGACATGTTCAAAAACAACTGCTTTCTGGTCCCCCTAATATATCAAAAACAGTCCTCATCAAAAAACATTAAAATGGTGACGTTATATAGATGAAGTAAAGGAATTTTCATGGAAAGTAGTAATAAGCATAGGGTACCACCAATCAACCGTTGTCATAGTTTTGAAGAAAAAAAAAAAAGGCATGGAGCGACTGGGAGGAAAAAAAAACAAATGAACAAGTTGACCACTTAATGATGTGATTGTTTTTAGAATATGGTTTCATAACTGGAAAAGAAATATCCGGAGATCTTGCTGCAGTAATCTGGTAAATAGAATAAATTTTTTACTGGGTGATGCAATTTCTATAATCGCGACTGTACACATAAAACAATTATCTAAGACCTAAGTTGTTTAACTGGTAACAGACCCCTTTGGATTCCTTGTAGCAATTGCCGGGTATTTGCGATACAGTTTTTAGGTTAACTTTACATCTATCTACTTTTTAGTTTTATTTAAAAAACACATTTAATAATAATCCTGCCATGGTTGAGACTTTCTGTATTGCTACTTAAGTAATTTTTGACGTAATGATGTAAAATGTACAAGGTCGACAGAGTACTTTATAAACTTATGTTGTTATTTATTTGGTTCAATATCTTTACAGAAAACAACTGAGGCAAATCTTGGTAAGGATTTTTTAAGTGAATGGCTGGATACATTTTTAAGTTTGATGGTTCAAAACATTCATGATGGTTCAAAACATTCATTGAGATCTCGTTAGTGTTTTGAAACAATATGAACTCCAAACACTGACCTGTAATTGAATAAAATTTTTTAAATCAATTTGCAAACAGATATGTAACAATTTTTTCCAGCCTACAGCTGGATCAATTTTTAAGTTTGGTATCCCAAATTATTAGATGAGATCTCCTGAATGTTTTGAAACAATTTAAGCTAAAAAAACTGACCCATTATTGATTAAAATATGTTAAATCATTTTTTTGAGCAGATGGCTTGACCGATTTTAAACTTTGACAGCTTTAATTACTCAATGGGACTCCATGAATGTTTAAAAAAAAAAAAATACTGAAAAAAAAGTATTATAGTTTAAGTATCTCGATTATTAATTGATTCCAAATGATATGTTATGAAAATAAATTCTTAATATTTTAAGTTCTAAAAATTTTAAAATTTAACAATTTTCGAACTAAAAAAAAAATCGACAATGGAAATTGAGGAATTCTATCCACCTTAAGGGAGGATATTTACTTCTATATCTTAAACATGTTGGTAGATTGATTGGGAAATTGACATCTATGAATATTTGAAGTTGGTGTCGTCGGGTGCCTACCACCTTCGAACAAATCTCAAGACTCGCATATTTATATGCAACGATACATGGGAAATTGAAATCTATTTTCCTGGTGCCGTAATGTTTAATAAATGGCACCTGACTCCTACACACTACACAAAGTTTTAAAATATCTAGATGTCAATTTCCCAATTTCTTTTTTTTTTTTTTTTTTTTTCTTTTTCTTTTTTTTATTCAGACATTTTTTTTATTTTATGTAAATAAACCTCTCTCTGTTTTAATAATTTTACATATTAGGTATATTGTTTCTATGCCAGTAATTCTTTTTATATTTTTACTAAATAAGAAGCATTTATATTACTGAAAGCATTTTATAATATCTTTTTTTTTCTTTACAGAATCTGGTGGCTATAAAAAAAAACGTAAGTAAAACTTGTTTTATTTGTTCTGATATTTAATCGTCATTATTAAAATTAAATGTGAATCAAAATTAAAATGCGATGTATATTATGGGAGTACCTGTGGCTTGTGTTGCTGTCTATGAACTATAGCGTTTAATTTTGAGGACTAATGGAGCTGAGGGTAAAACGATGTTGACGCAGCAGTGTGATGACTGAGTAGACATTTTTTAGATAGATCTTCTTCTGCTTTTTAATGATTTTGACCATGCCACCCTCTTTAGTGACGCCAATTCTAAAGTAGATGAATGATGCCAACTTTTTCTATGGTATTTTATCTCAGAACAAGTGGATCCTTGACATTGTTCGTTAACACGCATCTGTTTTGTTCAACTCGATGATTTGTCTTAGTGTATTTAATTTATTATATAGAACGTGCTTGAAGATAAAGATTATTACAATTTTTGTAATTTACTGCTGCTGTTTACGTTACTTTTGTTTTGATCTCTTATGGGTAATATTATTCTTTTCTGTGTTAGTACAGATTTTGTAAGTTTTTAAGTAACGCTAGACTTTCTCAACATTTGTTTTATATAAAGTATTGAGGTGAGGATGACTGATTAGAAATTAGGCAAAAATCAAATATATTCTCTAGTAGAGCCGAATCATAATCAATCAAATTTATAAGGTGAAATTTTGTTTTAAGCGTTTCAAATGAATAATTTAGTATTAGAAATTAAAATAAGTCTTCTCAGACATTTCTTTAAATTTTTTTCAGCTTCTGAAATGCCAAACCAAGAAGAAACTATTATACATGTGAGCCTTCCTATTGGTGGTAAGCTTACTACATAAAGTAATATATTCATTATAGTAATTGTAGGATTACAAGATTAGTCTAATAATGTATATATATATTTTCTAATATCTACTATTCTTTTTTTTTTTTTTTGTTTACCTCCTACCTCACCATTAATGACATCTAAGGAAGGGGGAAACTGATACAACAAAACCTATTCTAACCAGATTGGGCTAGTCGAGATTCATTCTGTTCTGTGAGTCAAACTAAATTTGAATTCACTCAGGCAGGATTCAAACTACCACTAGACTCAAGAATGTTAAAATATGTTTAACAATGTTAAACATTGTTCTGAAACAATTAATAAATAGTAAGGACTTTATGTAGATCTTATCAGAAAACCATTAGTGGTAGACACAGTTGATGAAACAGAATAAATAGTTACATCATATTATAATTATCTTATGTAGCCAGACTTAAACCTGGATCAATGAGAAAGTAGAGTGCCTTTCTCATGTAAATAACACAAATTTTTAGATGAACATTATTGTTCATGCCTATTTAAAAATTATAAAAAAAAAGATTAGTAACGTTTCATCATGAATCATACCGTAACTTCTTTCTTTGCCCTTTCAAATGATGTCTTAAAATTAAAGTCAATGGGAATCTAGACAGAACTTCAATCATGTTGACTTGACATATGTGTCTTTCTTGCTTGCTTGTTTTGAAATTTCTAAAAAACTAATGTTACCTTAATATTTTGAAATTTTTACTACAAAAATTATCTTAAAACATCCTTTCTCTCTCAAAAGTATTGAACTAAATTGAATGAAACTATTTTAGGGTTGTTAATAACAAATTCATATTAATATTCTGTGGGGGAAAGCAAAACCTTAAAATGTTATACTTATACCTCTATCTTTTAGCGTAATTTATACATTTGATCTTAAGAAATTGCCCAATTTTTTACTCCCTACCTATACTAGGTAAGGAAAGCATTGCGATCAGGTCAAATTTCTGATGTGCGGTTTTCGACGGATCTATACTTTTCAGAGCCCCCTGAGTCCGAAAAACACATTTTTACTCATTGGTTTTTCTGTTAGTGCCAAGATTTTCTCGGGAACTAGCGAACCGATTTTGTTGCTTCTTTTTTTATTTTGTAGGATTTTAACTACTGATGCCTGTGACACAAATTGGGTGTTCCATGCACCATAGCTGCTGCATAATTAATGAAAAACATGTTTTTCTATAGACTGTAGCACAAAAACGGCTCTAACGATTTTGATGAAACTTTCCTATAATGTTCAAATAATTGTCCTTTCAATTTTTGTACATACACTAAATTCTCAAGAAAAAAAAGTTATAATGAAAAGAAAAATGTTTTGCGGCCTAACTAGCTAAGTATATATTCTATGGTAAAATTTATAATAAAACTTTTGAAAGGTAATTAAATTACCCACAAAACAAAAAAAAAAAAAAATCATAGGAATCAAACCAGCATTAGCTATTATACAGCTTATTCTATTATCTACATGTTTTAATTTATTACTTCCCTACCTATACTAGGTAAGGAAAGTATTGTGGTCGGGTCAAATTTCCGATATGCGGTTTTCGATGGATCTATACTTTTCAGAGCCCTCTGAGTCCAAAAAACACATGTTTAGCCATTGGTCTGTCTGTCTGCAAAAAAAAACAAAAAAAAAACACCGTTTAGCCTGGTTTTTTTTTCAGGTAATTCGCTACAAAACCATATAAAAATCTTTCATTTCGGATAACTATTAACAAAGTTACAGCTATTTAATTTCCAAGTGAAAGTAAGAAAATATGTTCCTCGCATGACACAAACTTCACTATTTCCTCTCTTTTTAACAGAAATTATTGTTTGACAAAATCAGGCTATGGCAAAAAGTTTTTGATCAGCAATATTAGAGGGTACTGAAATTTTTACACTGATCTATCTTAAGCCAGTTTACATTCCTTTAGTTTATCAAATAAATCGTACTCAAATATTTTCTTTGATCAATTTTCAGGAAACTAAATATAATTCAATTTTTGTTTTCTCGATGGACATATGTATAGATATAAAAAGTTTTCTGAACTAGGTAGGAAATTCGTGTGAGTGGACACACCAGATTTTTTTTTTTATCCCGACTGAGAAAACTGACTGTGTTTGGGTTGTCTGCTAAAAGCTATATAATGATTTTTTAAATGAACGGCTGGATCTATTTCTAACTTTGGTGGCTCCAATTATTAGATGAGATCCCCTGAGTGCTTTGAAACAATTTGTGCTCAAAATACTGATCCATCTTTGAAGTAGATGTGTTTAATCAACTTGCTAAAAGCTATGTAACGATGTTTTGAAAGAATGGCTCAATCACTTTTTAAGTTTGTTATAAAAATATATGCGATGATATTGTATATAAAAATATATGAAATTGTAAATTATTCGGTCAGATCCTAAGAGTTATGAACGTGAAGCGATGACGTGAGGCTAAGGTGTTTTGGGTTGTCTGCTGAAAGGTATGTAGCAATTTTTCGAGTGAACGGCTGGACTGATTTTTAAGTTTGATAAATTAAATTATTAGGTGTGATCTCTTCAGTGTTTTGAAAGAGTTTGAGCTCGAAATTCTGACACATTTCTGTATAAAGTATAATTAATTAATCCGCTAAAAGGTATTTAAATGGTGGATGTCTTCCATAGCACATTACAGCTCTTACTGTTCCATGCATTTATGCATCTCAATATTCAGAAAGCTCCTCGAATCATATGTTGTGTAAACACACAGAAAGTAAATTAATATATTGTCAGAATAATTTAGTTTCATTCGGATGTGAAGGATGTGAACACCGCACCAAGTTTCAATATTCATAGACACTAACTAATAACCCACTTATTTATTTGTTTTATATGTATAATTTTTCATCCATTAAAAAGGGTAGTATTAGTTGCGTAGTCGGTTTTTTTTTTAAATTAAAATTTTTTTTTGGTTTATTATTTTCAATAATGAAACATTGTGATCGACCAAAAAATATAAAAACATAACTCCCTCTCAGAATTTGAGGTTTCACGTTTCAAGATGCGTAGTATTCGAAAAACAAATAAAAAATTTTTTTGTCCGTCCACTATCCACGCATTTTCTCCGCAACTACTGGACCGATTTTTTTCAAATTTTGATATAAAATCAGAGGTCACCCGAGGATGATCCTCCTTCATCGACATTACTCTCCGCCTTTAACTTTCAAAATGGCGGCCGAAAAACCTGCGTTGCTATAGACTGTAGCTCCTAAACGAATGTACAGATTTCAATGAAACTTCGCTAAAGTCATTTTCTTGACGCCCTTTAAATTTATCTATATAATATACTTCAACGAAAAGAAGCTGGAAAAAAGTTACGAGGGATGTTAAAATTAAATTCCGAATAACTCGAAAAGTTTTTACTTTTTTGTTGATATTGTATATAGTTTTTTAAAAGTTTATGAAATTTCCTAAAAAAAAAAAGAATCGTTAAAATCGGACAATTTGCAGCAAAGATATGGTCTCTGGTTTGTTTTTATGTGTTCTACTCCAAATGTTATATCCTTGGTTTGGTTTTTAAATTTTAAATGTGTTACTGAAATAATGCTATTTTTTTTTAGCATATTACTAATGATTAAAGAAAAACAGTTTAGTCTAATAATTGGAATCACCTTTTTTTCTTTGTAACTCGGAAGGTAATGTTACTTTAGATGTATAGTTGTTTGGAGATAATAAACCATTGTGAAATCATTTGCAGCGTTTTTTTATTTGAAACATGGTTAGCCTACTGCTATGAAAGAAATATATATATATATAATTTTTTTAAATGAAATGATCTTTTAATAAATTAAATGTTAGTTTAATTTAATTAAGTTTAATGTAATATATTAATATTTCTGTCAAGATGATAACAGTGATGGTGGCAGTACTGATTCCTACATACCTGAAGAGAGTATACAAGGTGATAAATTAGCTGGCCCTTCTGATGTTATTACTGAACCAAAGAAAGAAGATCCAAGTATGAATTTTTAAGTATCATAGCTATAATAAATAATTTATTGACCTTGAAGGTTTATATAAAATTGAAACAATTTTTTATGATGAAAGATGTAGAAATGATCGACCGTATTGTAAATAAATATGTTTAAAGGTTAATTTTAAATAATTTGTTTTGGCGGGAATGGCGAATAGCCTTCCGCTTTTATATCGGGGAACTAGGCTATTTACCCTCGTGAATATTAAAACAAAACCCCGGCACTGGGTATAGACTTTTTTGAGGGTGTTTAACTGTCGGGAATACGCGAATCTAATACCTTTTGTGACACTGAGTGAGAAGAAACAATAAGAATATATTTATAAAATGTGGGACTTATTAAATACACTTTGAATGAATTGAGGTGAGTCCCACACTGGGGGCGGCTCGAACAGAGTGCATGTGCCCCATTTTTTAGTTGTCTGTGAACGATTCGTTTTTAACGTACTCAACTTCATATGGAAATGGTTTGATTCACAAATGCTTGGTAAGTTCTAGGTAACCTGCTCATGTGTAGATCACTTAATTTCTAAGCTTCTTGCGATTTTGAAGATTCATAAATTTGAAGAGATGAAACTAGAGTTCATTTTTCGTCTCCTGTTAAATTTTTTAATTATTAAAATCAATTGTAAATAACCTACTAAAAGTTAATTTTAAATAATTTGTTTTTTGGCGGGAATAGGTGAATAGCCTTCCTCTTTTATATCGGGGATTTATGTTATTTACACTCGGTAATTATTAAAACAAAACCCCGACACTGGATATAGACTTTTTGAGGGTGTTTAACCGTTGTTGGGAATTCGCGAATCTATTTAAATATATTCCGGGAATAATAAAATATATTCTTCTGTGACATTGAGTGAGAAGAAACAATAAGAATATATATATCTGAAATGTGGGACTTAGTAAATACACTTTGAATGAATCGACTCACCTGGTTTGTTATTCTTCAATCATGAGCCATAAAGGACAACTAAATAAATAAATGACTTTTCACTCCTGTATAAGAAAACAATTTATTTTAACACCTGATAATAAATGAATATATTAAAGTCTTATAACTGTAGGCTTGATATTCTTGGTCTTCAATGTCCTGCCTCTCTCATATCAGGTAACGTCCTCTCGCAGGTGCTCTGTCCTTTTTCCAGCGTCCTTCTTCATCGATTGTTTATCGATGTGAGACTTTTCAACGAATAATTTGTCCACTGCATGATTGAGTACAATTCATCTTGCAACCTCACCTTCCTATAAATTCCTTCTCATTCCCTCACACCATGTCACATAAAGGAGTAAATACAGTGGGCTATCTACTACATAATTTCTGATTAATGAATAGATAGAGGTTGATAGTCAATAATCACATACCATGTTGGTTCAATATTTATTTATAGCCTATGTTTCGACTTACATTAGAGCTAAAAAATACTAAAAAAAAAGAGTTGATGTTAAATTAGAACAAGTTACAGATATTTTTAAGCGGGTGATAAATGATAAATATTGGGTTGTTCGGAATATAATGCAGGATTTTGAGTTTTCTTTAAAATGGCCCTCTATATAACAAACTGTTTACATTTACTTGATTATTCATTTGTATGAATGTCAACACTTATTAATCCTATTCCAAACAATTATGTTTGTTTACCTCTGTAGCATTTCGCTGCTTAGAAATAATTCAGTCTTTACTAAGATGTCAATGTGTGATTTTTGTATAATTTTGTTTAACAAATTTAAACTCGGCAGGAATGGGACCCAGACAGCTAGAAACATCAATGAAGTGTAGGGCGAGAGCTGCATTAATGAGTGCACTGTTGACATGCTCTTAGGCCGCAAGTACGTCACAGAGGCAACGGTTCCCTACCGTTATATACTATCCTCATATATTTACCTTATTTATAAACTCGCTCGACAATATTATTTATAAAATGATAATTAATCTATCAACTATGTTAGACTCTATAATGAAAAAAAAAAAATCATTTGATGTTCTAATCGAATGTTGAACTAACAAGTTCTTTAAGTTGGACATTTATCATGATTCCACAAAATGCTTTTAAATTACAATTTTAAATACTCTTCTTCTGAACTATGTTTCATTATCAATTGTTCTATGATACAGCTTGTTTTAGAAGAAATGTCTATGCACATAGTTTTATTCTTAGGTTTATGAAAATTGAATGTTACAGTGCTGGAATTGTTTAAAAATGCAAACAAAAAACAAGAGGAAATTTCGATGAATTTAAAAAAAAAGGCTTCGGAACCTGAGGATGGTTCATCTGTATCTCCTGAGGAATATATAAATAATTTCCCAATGGAACATCGAAAGGAGTCTACTATTCCTCAGCAACAAGTACAAAATACTATTTATTTTAGAATCACATTTATTTTATTTTTAAGATACTTTTTTTTTTTTTTTTTGTTTGTTATTCCCACACATTTAGACAATCTTCAGCCAACAAGGGTTTGTTCTTTTTATTTTCCATTTTCCCAAAACATGAGTTACCAACCTCTATAATACTATCCCTGATCCCTATCTATATCAACAAGATCTATGTCAGAAAGTTCCAAAACTTCAAACCTAAATTTAAATTTTAGCTTGAATTGATTTTTAATTGATGGATTTTCCAATTTATCGAAATTGTAATTTTGGAACAAAAACTGTTTTTTATTTCTTTTTTTATATTACCTTTTTTGAAAGTTTTACGATTAGGAATTCGTGATCTGACCTACATTCTGCTCTGTAATAAGATCTCATATGTTGTATTAAGAATATAGGATAAATAAGAAGTGTAAATAACCTACGGAAGTTAAATGTAAAATAAAGATGTTTTGGCGAGAATAGGGAATAGCCTTCTGCTTTTATATCGGGCCTTAAGGTTATTTACACTCGTGAATTATTAAAACAAAACCCCGGCACTGGATATCGACTTTTTGAGGGTGTTTAACTGTGATTGGGAATTCGGGGATCTATTACCTTTTGTGACATTGAGTGAGAAGAAGCAATAAGAATATATATTTGAAATGTGGGACTTAGTAAATACACTTTGAATGAATTGACTCACCTGGTTTGTTATTCTTCAATTGTGAGGCATATAGGACAACTAAATAAATAAATGACTTTTCACTCCTGTGTAATAAAACAATTTATTTACAACTGCGATAAATGAATGTATAAGAGTCTTATAACTGTAGGCTTGATATTCTTGGTCTTCAATGTAGTAAGCCTCTCTTCCCAGATGACTACCTCTCGCTTCCGTCCTTTTGCCTCAAGTGTTTGGCGTCCTCTTCACCATCTGTTGCCAGCTACCTGATCGGACCTTTTGTTCTTTTCGATTGTTTATCGATGTGTGATTTTCCAATGAGCAATTTGTCCACTGCACAATTGAGTACAATTCACAGTGCAACCTCACATTTCTATATATTGTATATTCCTTCTCATTCCCTCACACATTGTCATCTAAAGGAGTAAATACAGGGGGATGTCTACTACAGAAGAGGAGAAAGAGCTGAGCAATTGAAAAGGTTAGATGATAGATACCCCTTTAAAATTGATAAAGAAGCAAAACTCAGGCCTATTATAGAACAGCCACTGTGACTGAACAAATGACAATGGTCTAGACAAACACATACCTGGAAATCACCAGATGGTCATTGCATCGAACCAAATTGACCATATCCTCAATATATATAAACAGACACAGTAGTAGAGTAGTTGACGTCAGATCTCTCAAAAGTTCCGACATCGACTCAGATCACTACCCTTGTGGTAATGAAGCTGAAACAGAGTATTAAAAGCACTTCTAAAGTGAACACTAATAGAAGTTCAGTATGGAATCTGGAGCGCCTGAAATCAGAGGAAGGAATAAAGTTATTCTAGGATAGCGTCAGCAAATACCTAAAGGAAATTCTGGTGGAGATAGATAAAGACAAAAGTTTTAAAGAAGAGACTGGTAAGATGTAATGTTAATACTGATCAAGACCACAAAATCTGTGGGAAAAACCAAGTTAGTGTTGGAACGACTGGTTTTATAACGATTGTAAAAATGTCAGTAAGCCTGAAAAATCGTAAAAGAATGAGATGGCTGGAGAGAAACACGAGCAGAATCGGAAAAATTACTAATATGTCAGAGCCCCTGCCAAAAAAAATAGTTAAAAGGAAGAAAAGAGAGTCTATAAATAAGGAAATATAGGCAATAGGGAATACCAGAGCAAATAACGGGACTAGAAAATTTTACAAGAAAATTAATATGGTCAGGAAAAGTAATATGAATCAGGGAACCATCATAAGGAGTAAGGAAGGAAGGATACTAATGCTCTAGGATGATGCATAAGCCAGGTGGAAAGAACATTTGCGAATTTTATTAAATATAAGTGAAGAAGTATCCATAATAGAATTCCCATACCTACCTGACAGTGGAGCAGAAATAGAAGAGATTCAATCAGACAGGGTCACAGAAAAGTTGAAAATAATAAATCGCCTGGTCTAGATGGAATACCATCAGAACTCTTAAAAACTTACTTTTCGTAATTTTCATTATTATACAGCTATCAAACATCACATAAGGCAATATAAAAACAGGGTGGTGACCAACCTTTAGGCATTTGCCGACTCTATCCTAGAATCACTTTATTCCTTGGAAAGTTAGGGAATTTCCAAAACAGAGAGAATCAGGAAAAAAATTGTTAAAGTCAGGGAATTGTTTCAGTACATAAAACATTTTTTAAATTGGAAATAAATATAAATTGGATGTTGTTTATAATGATCTTGAAGGGATAAACTTCATCGTTAATGACGATGGTTGCTATATTCATCCTCCGTTGACTGACAATAATGACACTGGTCGTTACATTGAAATTAAACAAGGGTAATGAATACAATTTAATCAAAATGGACTTAAAATAGTGTTTTTTTTTTAAAAAGAAAAACATACCAATAATATTTACTATTTGACGTAGTCTCCTCTGCATTGGAGCGCGGAATGTACTGTACGGGAGTCTTTCTCGACGTTGAACAGGCGTTTGATAGAGTTTGGCACCCGGGACTGCTGTACAAACTCCGAAAATTCCTACCACCTACATACTTCCTCATTATCCGTTCCTACCTTACTGATAGATACTTTAAAGTAAATCACAATAACGCCTATTCATCCCTTTTTTCCCAGTCTGCTGGTGTTCCTCAAGGTAGTATCCTAGGTCCTATCCTCTATACAGTTTATACAGCTGACATCCCTACCTGTCCCAATACTGTCATCACCACATATGCCGATGACACATGTATCCTATCAGTAAACAATGACCCAGCAATTGCATCCCAAATGCTTCAATCACACATCATAAATCTAGAAGAATGGTGTAAAAACTGGAGAATTAAAATAAACTCCAATAAATCCCACCAAATTACCTTTACCCTTCGTCGTAAACCAACGACTTCCTGTCCTACAGTTTCCTTTAACAATACTCCACTTATCCCTGTTGAGCAAATCCGATACCTAGGACTCCACCTGGACAAACGACTAACTTGGAATCCTCATACTAGACTGAAACGACAAGAAACCGCTCGACGTTTCCGATTACTTCAGCACTTACTAGACAAACGCTCTAAACTTCCCATTAATTACAAAAGACTTATATACTTGACTATAATAAGACCTATTTGGACTTACGGAGTTGAGCTATGGGGCTCCACTAAACCATCGAATTCCTCTCGCATCCAATCCTTACAATCCAAAATCCTTCTTAAAATCCTCAATGCTCCTTACTTTGTCACTAATAAAATTATCCATAAAGATCTTAATGTTCCTTATGTTTCAGATCTGGCCCAATCCAGATACCTATCCTTCCATAATAAACTTCAGAATCATCCCAACCCTCTCGTTTCTAACCTTGCTTCCTCTTCAATTCCTGATAACCCTCCGAGGCGTCTGAAAAGAAGATGGCCCCGTGATCTCCTAATATAGTCATATCATTAGAGTGCTACCATTGGGTAGTTACTCAGCAAGTGTATTCATGTCATTTTATCAATTATGTCCAAATTTACTTGATGTATTTATGTAATACAGTTGTAAATGTCATAAAGAAATAAAAAAAAAAAAAAAAAAAAAAGACTGATTATTTTTGTTTTTAACTGATATCTTTTGTAGTCAATTTTCTTTCATGTGTAATAAATACATTTAGTTATAAATTATACGTTTTTATTATTTGTTTCTCCAGACATATTGGTTAGGGAAATCATTAAATAAGGATATATTTGCCTTGGACTCTCAGATTATTAAAATAATAATGAAAGTACTTTGCCGCATTTTTATTAGATTTTAGTCAACCATTACTTAAAGATTAAGTTACATGGCCAGAATTCATCTATACCATTGGTTGTTGGGTAAATGTCCTCTTTTGAAAGAAACTGACACTTTAGGAGTACATTTTCGAAATGAACCTTTAACTACTTTAAAGCTAAATTTAACCTATTTATGTCCTTTCTTTTTTATACAAATTGATTTCAGTTTTGATGACCTTTAGATTAATTTAATTTACTAAATTCTGTTTTTAAGTGTTATTTTGTTTTATTTTAGACGCTCAAGAAAGATTGGGTTCATGAGTTAGTGGAAGAGTTTAACAGTCCCCAAAAGATCGCAGCGTTGGATCGTGCTTCTTGTTTGGCCTCTGTAACATCAGCGTACCATTTTATCAAAGAAAAACAAAGAATGAATGCTGAAAATGAAACAGGTACCTTTGAAAGTTCCAAAAAAGAATCAGATGATGAAGAAAATGAAGAAGTAATACATCAATTCTTATGCCTCATTATTTAGTTTAATTAGAAATATTTTTATTATTTAATTGTTATTCTTACAAACTTTAATTAATAATTTTGTCATTGATAAATTTATTGTAATAAATTTTATAGTTTGTCCAGTATTAGTTGACATTCCCAGAGCGAACTCGTGCATTACTACGTTGGAATTAATGTCCCCTTACCAATCTCTGAAAAAGTAATTCCTGGACCCTTTAACTGATAATGGCGGCAATAGCTGCAGCAGCTGAAAGTGCCCCTGTTACTAAAGCCCTACTCCTACTCTCAGTGCCAATGTTGGCTATAGTCGTTCCACTGCTTTTCTTTCTATTTGCTAATGTCGAGTATATTCACGCCGACCTTGCTATATTCTATTTATTTCCTAGTGAAATGAAGCTTCTAACTAGAGCCTACAGATGATCTGGAGATTTATTTTGGAGCTTTTCTTTGTAGAATTCATCAACCTATCTGCTACAGCTTTTCTCTTGCTGTCTCTACTATTTTCATATAAAGGATTATAAAATTTTAAAGGAGTTCATATTGTTTATCAAAGGCCTTTTTTACATTTGGTTATGTCTATGATTATATAAAAGATTACTAAATTCCCTACAAAAAATTATTAAAAATAATCAAAATCGGACAATTATTAGCAAATATACAGCTTATTGAAATTTTTAAACATGTTGATTCCAAATATTAAAGAAGTTTTAAATTAATTTTGGTTTCCTTTGTCCATTATATTTATTGTGAAAGTAACAATTGATTTTTTTTATGATGGTTGCATTATTTCATTTTCTTATTATTTATTATTTGATCACTGAACAATATAATGTGCGAATTTTCGCTACTAGTTACTACTAGTCTGCTAGTTATTCAATAATTTCTAACAATATCCAGATATATCATTTTGACTGTGAGTCACTGTATATCTTACCATATCATATTGAAAAGTTAAATTAGATTTTAGAAGAATTTAATACAAATACTCTTCAAATAATAAATTTGTCATTAAAATCCTACCAAAGCCTTTATAAAGTATGAAACAAAAATATTACGTTTATTTTCAAGGTTCCGTGTTGGTCACCATGTTGTTAGTTTACAACTGTATGCTACAGATACTACTGTATGCTGGAGAAATGTATGCTATAGATAAGTTTCAATATATTCGATATGCATTGTTTTAATAGCTTACCAACTGCTTTATTTAGTGGATATACGGTTTGGAACTTTATATCTTATACATCTTGGTGAATGGAGTCGACACCTGAATCACCACCAGAAAAACCTAAGTTGACGAGAGGAAGACCATAAGAAGTCAGCCAACCAAGAAATTGTGCACATGTTTTTATTCTTTCATTAAAAAAAAAATTTAAGTAAATCTAAAATACAAAGTAATTCACATGATTAACTAGTGCACAGGAGCATCATCATCAAAAACGATAGCTATAATTAAGAAAGAAGGAAAGAAATCTTTTGAAACAAATTGTTCCTCAAAAGCCTTGTTCAGTACTCCGTCTCAAAATAGTGATCATCGAAAGAAAGTAGAAGATGACTTTACATGTTGCACGAGTCGTTAGAAAATTCACGATTTTAATGTGTTAAAAAAAGGTGTCCAAGTACGCAAATTCTTCTGGAATATTTAAAATAAGAAGTAATTGTAAGTAGCAGTCATACATTTTTGACAGGGGAAATTAAGAAATTTGTTATAACAAAATGAAATGTAATTGTTACCAAAAATAAATTTAGTAATCAAGTAATTTTTATTTCCATTGAAATAGGTTCAAGAAGTTTTCAAATTAATGATAAAATTGAAAAGAATATGTGACTTAAAGTATACTGTTCATTTTGTCAATTGAGTGTCTGGAGGAGGAAGAGAGGTCTTCTGTTTCATCTGTTAATCAACTAACTATGGACGAGTTATAATTCGTGAATCAATTATTTCGAACATAATATAAGTCACAAAATTTGAATTTAACAGGAATCAGTGAAAACTATGTCATTCACATGGTAAATGGATTTTATAGAACTTTTTTTAAGACTGAATATATTGTTGGAAATATAAAATTATGGAATAATCGTTTAAATAATTAAAATTACTGAGAAATTCTTCGTAGTTTTAGTAAACTATTATTTGGTATATTTAAGTAATCAAAATTGAAAAGTTTTATATCAAAATAGATAAATGTCTAAGGAATTCAGCTGTAAATTCCTTAGCTATAATAGGCCTTTTTTCTTTTTTTTGTAAAATTAAGTATAGATAGTATTACATACATATTGTAATGTAAATATTACATAGTGATTTGTAATAGTGGTGCGAAGGCAGTGACATCACCAACTACTGTCAAAAATAGACAAAGACAAATGGAACGGTAAGCAAATGCCGTAATCAGTAGGTAGTCAGCCGGCTAGGAAAGAGGATTGAGAGGAGTAGAAAGTGACCAACAGGCAAGAAAAGATCATCGAGACCAACAAGTCGTGATTGTCTAGACAAAGACAAGAAAATAGAAGAATAAGAAAAGGTTGTACAAGTTGAATACAACAAAACAGAGGAAGATTCACTGCAGAATAGGATGAGTGAAATATAAATAGTGACGGTTTGAAAGCGCACCAAGAGTAGACCCCGACAAAATGAATGAAAATTCATAAAGATGTTATATATAATTAATGTGTGGACAGAATGGCCGATTGGTCTAACGCATGTGCACAGCAGTACCGTTGCCCAGCAACCTGATATAAGATATAGTTATTAAATAATAGTCACTAGTTCGTGTCCCAGTGGTGGGAGAGTCTTTTAAATCCCAGCCCGAAAATTCGCACAGTATATTGTTCAGTGATCAAATAATAAATAATAAGAAAATGAAATAATGCAACCATCATACAAAAAATCAATTGTTACTTTCACGTTAAATATAATGGACAAAGGAAACCAAAATTAATTTTAAACTTCTTTAATGTTTGGAGTCAACATTTTTTTCAAATTTCAATAAGCTGTATATTTGCCAATAATTGTCCTATTTTGATTATTTTTATTTCTTTTTGCAGGGAATTTAGTAATTTTTTATATAATCATGGACATAACCAAATGTAAAAAAGACCTTTGATAAACAATATGGACTCCTCTCTCAATCATCAGGATCTCAAGTCGAAGAAATGAGACATGTATTCCATGACAGTGCTACAATTAATGTAAGGTTGTGTGGATGCGAACCCTTCGCCTTGTATTATCTCAAAAATAGTATGGTTTCAGACTTAAAAACGCAGGACCCGATAGTTCCGAAGAAGCGCATGGTGTACGCATCAAAATCTTCAAAGCGCAATTTGTCCCATATTGATCTGCAGACTTACCATCGTTCCAGTGTTGAAGCTTAGCTAAATTTGTATATCAACTTTATTTATTTTAGAAAGAAAAACAAAAGTAGAGAGTACGATTCGTTAACTCCCCTCCCCTCACCTCGTGAGATTCTGAATCCAACGGTACCCCATTCATGGTATTTGAGCATGACAGGAGCTTATATTTGGTGCAAAACCGATTTCGAGCCTTAATGTAATAATATATATGTTGATATTTACCGAAGAGCTCCTAGTTTCGGACAATGGTGATGTTTGTGGATGAAAGTAAATTTAATATTTTTTGGTCCGGTGCACGTTTCTGTGTGTAGAGAAAACCAGATGAAGAGTTTGCAAAAAACAATTTACACCTAACTGAAACATGAGAGTGGCATGGTATGGGGTGTATGGCAGCTTCTGGTGTAGAAAATCTTCACTTTACAGATCGTTTATTAAATAAATATGTTTATGTACACATTTTGAGAAAAAACTTGAAGGAAAGTGCAGCAAAGTTTGAGCTCATAAATAAATTTTGTTTTTGTCAGGATGTTGACTCAAAATACTGCCATGTTATTTAAGGAATAGCTGCTTTATAACTGGCCCAAAATTATTTTTAAAAAACCCTCCAGTCACCGGATCTTATTGTGATAGAACACCTGTGGACAAATTTGGAGATAGAAATTAGAAAACATGGCATTTCTTACAAAGAAGACTTAAAGAAAACATTTGCTCATAAATTAGAAAACACGATATATTTCTAGCAAAGAAGACTTAGAAAAACATTTGCTCTAAGAATGAAAAGGGCCAAGCCAGGAATTTACCAAAACATTGGTCGACTCCATTACAAAAAGAATGAAGGAAGTGGCAGAAACTAATTTCTTGGCTACTATATTAATAGTACATAAATGTTAATCTGAAGTAAAGTGTATAATTTTAACTGTGAGGTAAAATTATCCAGTTCTTTTTTTTAAACATTTTTTTAAATATTCATAATTGAATATTTTAATTTTATTGAGTATTTAAATTGAGACTATAAATAAATTTGTTAAAGAGTTTCTGGTTTTATTTGTTTAATGTAAAAATTTAAGTCTTCTTTTTTTTTTTTACTGGGTGTATCAATTTCACTGTAATTCATAATTTTTTTTAAAATCCTGATTACAGGAAAGACATCACAGAGAAGCGTGGATCAAAGGTTATGAGAAATTGAGAAGGATAATGGAACTGGAGAGGTTAAGTGGGAATTCTTATCTTCATTTGGAATTGGACAAAGAAAATGATAGGATAAAAGTAGAAGTCGCTCATGAGGTTTAGTAATACTTTATCAAGTTATATTTTTTATTTGTTGTAAATTGTATTGGAAATACTAATATGGGAGTTAACACATTTTAGCATGAAAAAAGATTTTCTGACTGGGTCGGCTCTGTTATTGACGAACAACAGAGAATTCAGTCCGTGCACGATTCCTTCTTAATTGGTGAATCTCTTGGTGATTCTAAACAAATTGTAAGTGAAGAAAATGGCGATTCTACCAAAAAGGTATTCAGCACTTTATCTTCTTCTTATTTATTTTTATCTTTTTGTGCCTTTTGCTGTAAAGAAGCAATGTCATCAGTTCTAAAAAAGTTTTATTATTTCATTATGGGTTTTATGTCAAGATACTTTTTACTTTCACTTACCTATATATGTAGTATATAGTAAGTGTAAGTATTGTGATCGTGAAAATTTTCCTGTCTGAGTTTTCAACGGGAATACATGTTTTGAGGTTTTCTTTGTCCAAATAACCAAGTCCCGCAAAATGATCTGTGTGTATGTTTGTTATTAGTCTAGCTCAAAAGCAAAAAGTTGTGTGAAAGTGAAATTTCATATTTGAAGTTTCTCTAAGCTTTTGATGTGACAGCAACATTTTCGTCACAATCGACATTTGGTACAATCGTACAATATACGTACAATCGTGGTATTTTATATAATCGATATAACACATTTTTACAATTTTCTCATAAACGGCTGTAACAATTTTTATTAAACTCAGTATATCAGTGTATTATCAAGCAGTTTTTAATATAATGTAGGTTTTATTCTCATTGGTGTTCTCTATCAGGCCTTAAATGGCTAATTTTCAATATTGGCTTCCTCTGAAGTATCTTTATTTTTTTAATTTGAAATAATTAACCATTTCACTTTAATCTTTGATTTAAAAAATAGTTAAATATGAAAAAATATGATAATTAACTAAAGGAGAATACGAGCTTGCCCGAGCCCATCCGAAAGATTACAGCAGGCTTCCATACGTAACATGAGCTTCATATAATATGGACTCCGACAATATTATGTTCATATACATATAAGGTTTTTATAAAGGCTATTGTTGGTATTATTTATTATTAATTGTATAGAATACAGCGATATAAAAATTAAAATTTGTATATATAAGGGTATTTTGTAAATAACCTACAGGAAGTTAAATGTAAAATAAAGATGTTTTGGCGGGAATAGCGAATAGCCTTCCGCTTTTATATCGGGGCTTGAGGTTATTTCCACTCGTGAATTATGAAAACAAAACCCCGGCACTGGATATCGACTTTTGAGGGTGTTTAACTGTCGTTGAGAATTCGAGAATCTAATACCTTTTGTGACACTGTGTGAGAAGAAACAATAAGAATATAAATATGAAATGTGGGACTTCGTAAACACTTTGAATGAATTGACTCACCTGGTTTATTCTTCAATTCTGAGGCCTATAGGACAACAGAGTTCGGCTCTGTCCGTTGAGTGTACTAGATCGTCTCCATTTCAATCTGTTGTAGAATCGGTCATAGTGATTTAATCAGATCACCCTTTAACCAGAGTGTAGATATGTGATTAGTGGACCAAATTACCAAGTTTGAAAGAAATTACACAGCTGGAAAGAACTTTATAAATAAATTAGATTTTAAAATATTAAGGTTAATGAGACTCTTATTATCTTTGCAATCTTTGTGCGGATTAGGCGATACCACCCCACCAGCTCTACCACCTCCCCACCCTGCCACCACTGTCACTTCATTGACAACTTCAACTCGATACGTATCAGCTACATAACATACCTGAAATAATAGACAGAAACTGAACAGACTTCATTACCACATCTAGTTAAATCAATCATATCTAGTTTAAATAAACTTTTATATTATAATGGCTACAATAGAAGAAAAATTCAATATATTAAAAGAAAAAATTACAGGATTGGAAACTAAACTAGACGAAAATAACAGATATCATGAGAAAGAAATAAATGAAATGAAATCACAGATAAACGAACTGTCTCGTAATATAGAAAATTATAGGAAAAGAGAAGAAAATAATACCAGAAGAAAAAATATAATAATATTTGGATTAGAAGAAGAAAAACCAACAGAAATGAACAAGATGGTTCTAACAGTACTACAGTTCATCACATCAGACCTCAGAACATATGACGTTATAGATGTAAGAAAAATTAACTTTAAAAATAAAAATGGTCCTATATTGGTAAAATTAAATTCTATATTTTTAAAAAGAGTCATAATGAGAAACAAATATAAGCTTATGAAAGCTGAAGAATTTAAACAGATAAAGATTAAGGATGACATGCCGAAAGAAGTCAGAAGCAATAGAAAAGAATTGTATCCTTTTATGAAAGTACAGTGGGAGAAAGGAAATAAGGCGTCCTTAAGGTATGATAAACTTCTTATCAACGATCAAATTTATTGTTTGGAAGAATTACAATCGCAAGATACTTTTAGGAACAAACGAGAAAGGAATGAAGATGTGGAAAAAGAAATGCTTATAAAAAATAAATATAAAATATCAGAACAAAGACCTAAAGAAAAAAAAATAAAAGATACCAAAACTCACCACCGTTCTGTAAGTCTAGATAGATATTTGGTGCCACATGAAGAAGGAATAGTGGAAACAAGAAAAAAAGAAACACCAAGTACTGGCACATAGCAAATTGAGAACCCAATTTTTCATGGCAACAACAAAGGCATTCTAAAGGTATGTACACTAAATGTCAGGACATTGTTAGGTGAAGAGAGGTTGGAGGAGCTCATACATAGTCTCGACGGCATTAAATGGGATATTATTGGTCTAGCAGAAGTAAGGCGAAAATATTGTTTGATTATAGAACAAAAATCAGGTCATATTCATTATGACTACGTCTTATTAATTATGCATACGTCATCTAAAAATGGGATGTATGGTATTGGTTTTATTGTTTCGAAGCATTTGAAAGATAGAATAATAGATTTTAAAGAGATAAATTATAGAATAGCTGTGCTAGTTTTTAAGATTACTCCCAGTAAAAAATTAACAATTATACAGTTACACACCCCTACAATGGATGACTCTAATGAAACTAAAGACCAATTTTATCAAGAATTGGAAATATTACTTTTCAGTTTCAAAAGAAAAAATAATTGGATTGTGGTTATGGGAGATTTTAACGGCCGCATCGGGGTCAAATTAGATGGTGAGGAAAAAATTATGGGAAACTGGGGTTACAGAAAAAGGAATGAAGGGGGCGACAGGATAATAAATTTCTCTTATAGTCAACAACTTCAAATTGGAAATTCGTTTTTCAAGAAAACATTTAAGGATAAATGGACCTGGTGTTCACCAAAAGGCCAAAAATTTGAGCTTGACTATTTTCTAACAAATCAAATTAGCTTGATTAAAAATGTTGAGGTCATCAAAGCATTAAATTTCAATAAGGATCACAGAATGCTAAGAGCAGAGATATATATTGAAAAATATAAGAGAAGAAGATCATTTAAAGTAAAAAATAAAACTCTTTTACTTCAGGACCAAGCTCAAATTGAAAAATTCCAAAATGATCTCTCAACATATCTCCAGTCTAGTCATGAAAACAGTGAATCTCCCCGTACTGTTCAAGAAAAATATGATCTCATTTCAAAAGTCATAGATGATAGTAACAGATTAGGTACTGGAAAGACTAGAAAATCAGAGAAAGGAAATCACAACCAACCGAGAACATATTAATAAAGTGGATACAGAATACTTCAGGAAACTGTATGATTGTAATGAAACATCCTTTGAATCATGCGAGGAAGGAATGAGGACTAAAAATTTGGAGGAAGTTCCACCGATAATGGAAGATGAAGTTACTGTTGCCTTTAAAAGGCTTAAATCTGAAAAAAAGTCCGGGACCGGATAACATAACAAATGAAATTTTAAAAGCAGGAGGAAAAGCTCTAATTAAAGAACTGTCAGAATTATTTAACTTAATTCTCCAGGAGGGAAAAATTCCAAAGCAATGGAGAATCGCAAAGATAATCTTACTCCATAAAAAAGGCAATATGCATGACATAGAGAATTACAGACCCATCTCCCTTTGTTCAACCATGGCAAAACTTTTTACCACCATAATTAAACAGCGACTCACAAAAAGAATTATGGAGTGTATAGCAGATGAACAGGCAGGATTCAGAAAAGGATTCTCAACAATAGATCACATCCAGACGGTAAATCAGATGATCGAGAAAGCCAAAGAATATAATTTCTCTCTCTACCTCTGTTTTCTTGATTTCAAGAAGGCTTTTGACACCATTTCACATGCAAGTATAATTAAAGCACTTAAAGCAATAGGTACGGAAGAGAGATATATAAAGATTCTAACAGAACTTTATGCAGAAATGTCAGCATACATTATGACAGAAAAGAAAGGTCAAAGCTTCAGGGTTAGGAAAGGGGTTCGTTAGGGAGACCCATTATCACCTATGTTGTTTATCTTGGTGTTGGAGCTGGTGTTTTGGAATCTTGAATGGGGGAATGTTGGTATAAGGGTGAATGGTAAATGGTTGAGCAATTTACGTTTTGCCGATGACATCGTGCTCTTTGCCAAAAACAGTCGACAATTGAAGGAAATGATTATACAACTTTTAAGGTTGTGCGAACAAGTCGGTTTATATCCAAACTATAACAAAACCAAAATAATGTCAAATAGGGAGCCAAAAGAAATAGAAATAAATAAATACACCTTAGAATATGTGTATCTAGGCCAGCTGGTGTCCTTCTCGGATAGAGCAACAAAAGAAGTACAGAGAAGAATCGCAATGGGATGGAACAAGTTTTGGTCACTGAGGCACATAATGAAAGGAGATTTAGATGTGGAACTTAAAAGACAGACCTTCGATAGCTGTATCCTCCCAGTAGTGACATATGGTTCTCAAACTTGGTCGTTAACTAAGGCCCACGAGAGAAAAATCTAAGTGTGGCAGAACAGTATTGAGAGGAGTATTATGAATGTAAAGAAAAGAGACAAAATAAGTTGTACTAAACTAAGAAAAGAAACAGGCCTCAAAGATACAATTTTACAGTTGAGGAAAATTAAATGGAAATGGGCTGGTCATCTCTTACGTAGCACCGATGTTAGGTGGTCGAAAATAACAACCGGTTGGACGCCATATGATCTAAAAAGGAAGAGAGACCGACCAGTGAAGAGATGGTGCGATGTATTCAGGCTGACGATGGGACCCCTCTGGTGGAGAGACGCTGAAGACAGGGTTATATGGAAAAAGAAGTGGACAGAGCTCACGGACCCCGCTTCTCAACAGGGCTAGTCACCCAGAGAAGTGCTGACTACTACTCCCTCACGGGAAGGCCTGTGCAGGAAGAAAGACATAGAAGAAGAAGTGTATAATAGTGTATGTGTGTATGTGTGTGTGCGTATCCATGTAGATATGCATGCTATTTTACATTAGTAGTTATATAAAATAAAATTAGTAGTTATTAAAAATAAAAACCATTTGTACATATGTAACTACTTATTTTGCATAATAAAGGCTATTTCATTTCATTTCATAGGACAACTAAATAAAAGGACTATTCACTCCGGTATAATAAAATAATTTATTTTGACAACTGATATAAGTGAATATATTAAAATCTAATAACTGTAGGCTTGATTTTTTAGTCTTCAATGGAGTAAGCCTCTCTTCCCAGATGACGTCTTCTTGTGTTGGTGTCCAGGTCTCAAGTGTTTGGCGTTGTCCTCGCCATCTGTTGCCAGCTACCTGATCGGACCTTTTCTTCTTTTCGATTCTTTATCGGTGTGAGATTTTCCAATGAGCAATTTGTCCACTGCATAATTGAGTACAATTCACAATGCTACCTCATATTCCTATATATTATATATTCCTTCTCATTCCCTCACACATTGTCATCTAAAGGAGTAAATACAGGGGGATGTCTACTACAATTTAAATAAATAAAAATACCCACAATGAATAGTAAATAAATATAGCGTCAATAATTTTCTGAGAATACTTCTTTCTGCTAAGAAGAGGGTGGTAAATGAAAGTTATGTGGTCCCCGCATCAGATTTTTTAGAATATTTCTAAAGATAAGCAATGTTTATTCCACTGCAATATATGGTAGTAAAAGACAAACTGGCTGTTGAGAGTGGTTCTGGCTCGATCACCTCATTGCACAACTGTTGCCCTTGAAACAGTACTTCCTTATATATTGCTCAACTCAAAACCCTTCATGGATTGTAATGGTAAAGGTTTTTAATTTTAATTTTTTATTATTAATTAAATAATAAAGTATGATTAAATTAATATTATATATAAATATAAATTGTCAGTTCTGGTTCTTGTGAAAATAATGAATATCTTGGGTTGTATTTACCTTCATATTGTAGTGATTTAATTTTAATTAGTTAAAAATTTAGTTCTAGTTTAAATTTTCCCAGGAGGGTCCTGGGATATATTATATATTATCCTGATAGTTTTTAGCTGCTGTTTTAACTCCTTTTTCAAAAAAATGGAGCTTTGTGGTGCCATCAAAGCAAACTTTCTCCCCCCTCCCTAACAAACCATCTCTGAGGAAGGGCGATGACCTCTTTCCATTCTAATTTTTTTTTAGGGAAGTGATTAGCCTTTGTCCTGTCATTCTTCGAAATGCACCCATCCTAAGGTCACTCTTTATTATGCAAGACATTGATCTGACAGATTTTCCCATTCCCTGAGGCATGATTTGTTGTTTTCGAGTGGGTTTTCTTCTGAATTTAGCAGCCACTGCTCTCACTGCAATTGCCATTCTCACAGTGGGAACGGCCCAGTCTAGGTCTTTCACATACAGATAAGGCCTCATATCTATTTACAGTGTGGTACACAAACATACGGCTGATACCCAAAGGTTTCAAAATGTTGAAAATCACTGACCTACATTTTCCATCTTTGTGTAAGGCGATCACTGCTATTCGGTTTTCTTTATCACCCCACTCCATGTTAATTGAGTGGAAAAAAAATACAAACTAATTGGGATTATTATCCTGGCATGTAAAGAAAATAACCTGATAAAGGTAAGGATTAGCTAAATAATACCCAAGGATGTAAACAAAGTTCAACTTTTGTAACAGTTTTTATGGCAGAACTGGGTAATAATTTAATATAAATAATAGACAAAGATTTTTTTAATCTTAAAAACAATTATTAAAATAATTCAATCATTCCAGAGAAAAGTTCCCCGGGATATTGTAGACGCCCCTTTTATGTTTCTAATCTAACATTACACGTTATTTAGATAGATAGATAGAAAATAAACTTTATTCTGGGACAAGGTCCCTTATGAATAACAGATATGAACAAAAAAAAAATAAAAACTACATCTGGCCAAAAATTACATTAGTCAATATCAAACAATATATACAGTATCTTTTTTAAAATTGGTAATTGGTTGACTGTCGTGGATAATGAAGAGAAGAATAGTTGGGGTGGTCAGTCAAAAAGGAAGGGAAAAATAAATGATAATATTTTTTTTTACATATGCCGACGTTTCGACCTGAAGTTCAGGCCTTCATCAGGGCTAAGAAAATAACCAGATAACAAGGTATGAGAAATATAAGTAGTGATGGTAAAATAAAAATAAAAATAAAATAAAATAATAAAAAATAAAATAAATAAATATAAAGTAAAATGAAATTGTTAGAATAATGACTAAGAACTAAGAGATAAATAATAATAACCGTTACAAAGTGTGGAATGATGAAGTAGGCATAATCAAAAAATCTTGATAGACTTTACAATATTTCAATTTTCTATCTAACTACTCCATTCTCAATGTCTTAATTTTTCTATTTATTTTCATTTCTTATATAACTTCATATTTCTTTTTTATGTTTTACATTTTATTCTAAGATTCCCATTGTAACACTTATGTCACCCTTTTTGATTATGCCTACTTCATCATTCCACACTTTGTAACGGTTATTATTAATTATCTCTTAGTTCTTAGTCATTATTCTAACAATTTCATTTTACTTTATATTTATTTATTTTATTTTTTATTATTTTATTTATTTATTTTTTTTTTTTTACCATCACTACTTATGTTTCTCATACCTTGTTATCTGGTTATTTTCTTAGTCCTGATGAAGGCCTGAACTTCAGGTCGAAACGTCGGCATATGTAAAAATAAATATTATCATTTATTTTTCCCTTCCTTTTTGACTGACCACCCCAACTATTCTTCTCTTCATTATACAGTATCTTCAGTGAAATTATATTAAAAAAAGTAAAAATAACACCATTTTGAGAAAAAATGAAATAAAAAAAAACATTATTTAAATGAAAAGAAAACAAAATAAAATAAGTATAGGTTGATTTTTAAAATTAAAACTCGAATAATTTTAACAACCATTCACCTCAGTCAAAATCTGTTTCGCAATATTTATTTTATTGTATAACGTCATTTTGGGATGTGAGAAGGAATTGGTAGAGATGATATTTAAATGAGGACAAGGAAGAGGCATGGCGGATATCAGATGGCAAGGAATTCCAGAAGGCCGTGGATTGGGCAATAAAGGAATATTCAAATTTCTTAGTTCTATGGGAAGGGATATAAAGGTCGGAAACACAGGATCTTGTATTTTGGGTGTGGACCACGGGTTTAAACTGTAGGAGACTGTAGATGTAGGAAGGGTGTCGGGTATTGATCGTTTGGAATAGGAAAGATCCTAGGAAATATTGTCTGCAGAAAGAAGGGAAGAGCCACTTTAACTCGTCGTAAAGGTGGGATACATGAGACCGCCTCGATGTACCGAAGACAAATCTTAAGCACGTATTCATGAGCCGCTTCAATCTATCCTTGAGTACCATCAGGATGCCTCCTTACACCACACAGCCGTAGTCAAAGTGAGGGAAAATGAGAGAGGATACAAGGAGCTTGCGGATGGGTTGTGGGAGTAGGTGACGGGAGCGATGAAATAGCTTAAGGTTACCTATTGACTTACGGGAGATGAGGGCGATATGGGGTTTCCAGGAGAGGTTTTTGTCTATGGTGATTCCTAGGTTTTTAACGGAGGAACTGAATGTGACAGGATGATCGTTGATGACTAAAGGAGGAAGGAAGGAGATGGATTTATTATCTTTATTCATTGTGCTTCATTACACACTACACTAATATTACTGAACTTGTCATTCCTTTCATTGCAACAACTGCCACAGATGTTTTAATGATTTTCATGACAGACTGACTCTTAATTCAAACCCACTAACTCAAGCTCTATCGACTGCCACAAATCCATATGATTCGCTGAAGACTGATGAGGCCCTGGTCAAGAGACTTATTGAATTGAGCTACTTGCTGTGTTATCTTATACTTTTGTGCTATTACACTATTTTATTTTTAATTTAGTTTTGTTTTATAATTTACTTTTATTAATTTATATTTTCTTAACTAGTTTTGAAATTGACATTCTTTCTTGCTTGGTTTATTTTTTCTTTGTTCTCTCCTCCTTGATATCATATATCAATCTTATAATGTATCTTATAAATAAATAGATTATCTTAAAAAAAAAATTCTCGACGATTCATACTTGCTGTACCGAGTCGCTACCAAGTTACTTATAACCTCATAGTTGTTTAAATAAAGAAGGACAGTTTGTCAAATTAATAGAAAATATGGATCTATTTTTTAATTACTTCTTTGGTTTGTATCATCTGTTAACAAACTATTAAGTTATTCTCTATTCTTAATAGACTCTATTTTACACTAATAACTATTTTGGGGAAATTTTTCTATTTCAGATTAAAGAACACCGTGTCTGGATAAAACAGATGATAAGGGAAATCATTGTGGTAGACCAGATATATGATTTAGAGAAATTGATCCAATCTGTGAAGTCATATAGTGTGAAACTTCCTGGTGATGAAATATTGAAAACTGTCGCAGGTCCCCATAGTGAACTTCGGTTTTCTATATTGGTAAGAATGAAAATATACATTAATATAGCAGTAAAGGTAAGGGAGAGAGTCAATCAGTGTTATAACTTCATTAATATATTCATATTGGTATGATTATCATGTAATTGCCATAGTAACCTCAAGTTTTTTTTTTATGATTTCATAACGTATTGAAAGAATTAAATTTTTTTTTTAAATAGCTGCAAAACAAATCTCATTTTAAAATTGTATGAGGATACTGAATACTTGAGGTTTACAATTTAAAAAGTCATAACTTTTTAGGAAGATATAGGAAACATCCTCAAATCTAATACAGGAGGATCAGATTTAGAAGACGAGATTTTAGAACCATCCGATGAAGATATTCCTAAGGACGAAGAAGATTCTCACGATGAGCAACACATGGTAAATAATTTATTACATATATATATATATATATATATATATAGGTTTCCATTTAAATCTAATGGTTTGTCCTTCAGGTTCTTTTGATAAACAACAAAAACTAAATGCAGCAATTTACTGATTATTGTTATCAATGAGTTATTGTGTTATTATTTTAAGATACCATTATCTTATTATCTTATCGTCCAAAAATATTATATTTCTGTAACAAAAGTTAAATTTAATAAAAAACAAGAGAAATTATGAAATGTTAAATTAAATTACTGAAAAAAAAACTGAAGATTTCCAATATTTGAACAATTTTCACCGATACACTCAACTTTGTAGAATTTATACAATGACGCTTGCACTTTAACAATAAGGTATTATCCAGAGGATATTAGAACATCAACACAATGGATTGATATCTTGGCTTGTTGTTAATTGAATATAATGCTAATTTAAATATATCAAAAGCCATACTGCCGAAGCCTGTAAGAACAAAAACTAAAAATTTTCATGAGATGAAAAAAACTTTGTAATTTTTGTTGGATTACATTTTCGGTTCAATTTTTTCTGCAGCCTTAAGACAAAGATGTAATGCTCTATATAACTTTTTTGATGGTATTTCTCCCAAATAATCTTTTAAGAGCCATTACTTCTAACTTACAGGTTTTTGGTTACTTTGAAGAACAGTTATTAGTTAGGTGAAACCAATCAAATTTATTTTATTAACACCCATAACTTTGTTAATAATGATCAAAGCATGACAGAAACAAATTCTGTTTCCAAAATGTTGAGAAAGGATGCTTCTAATAAAAATTTGTAAAATATTTTAGTAGAAAGTAAAATATTTGATCACACAGGTTATTCACTTTTTTGTCTCCCACTCTGGTGGGGAGGGAGGGGGTCTCGAACAGAGTGCATGCGCCCCATTTTTTAGTAGTCTGTGAACGATTCGTTTTTAACGTACTCAACTTCATATGGAAATGGTTTGATTCACAAATGCTTGGTAAGTTCTAGGTAACCTGCTCATGTGTAGACGACTTAATTTCTAAGCTTCTTGCGATTTTTAAGATTTATAAATTTGAAGAGATGAAACTAGAGTTCATTTTTCTTCTTCTGTTAAATTTTTTTTATTAACAAATTCAATCTTATGTCTCTCACTGTCCGGAATTTGGCGGCATTGTAGCTTTTTTTCAGTCAAGCTCATTTTCCAATTTCCAGGAGTTTTCTATTGTTTTGAAGGCCATTTAATATTATATTCCCACTTACCACTCTCTTCTTTGCTTTGTCTAGTTCCATGGTAAGCAGTGTCGGCATCAGGGTAGGGAAACTAGGGCATTTGCCCAGAGGCACCGCGCTGGAAGTGTCTGCTACTTATTAGACAGGGTAAACACGGGTACTTAAAGGTGACTGGATAGTGGGCGGGGTGGCCGAATGGGCTAACGCGTGTGCACTGCACCACTGTTGCCCGGCAACCTGATAAATGAATCAAAGATATAAAAATAGACACGAGTTCGCGTCCCGGTGCCGGGGGAGTCTTTTAAATCCCCGCTCAGAAAAAAAAAAAAAAAGGTGACTGGATAGGAAATCACATCATTTCTTTACACAACTTGAGGTGAATCTCGAAACTTTCACTATTAAACCTGAACTTAATTAATATGTGCTTATTAAATGAGAATGTTTTTGGAAAAGTGGGGTAATCCTAGTACCGTTGAAAGGTGATAAAAATAAAAAATCACAAATAATTTACGACTTTTTTTTAAATGGAAATTAACTGTATTTATCTGCTCAAAAGTGCTCTTTAAACAGTTTTAATAATGACAAACTTTACTTTCATTTAAATTAATTTTTTTCTAGTTTACTATTGAGCATTTTTTAATTACTTAAATAAAATATTTTTTAGGTTACCACTTCCTATTGAACAAAAAATGTTACTCGCTTAAATAAAAACAAATCTTAAATTTCCTACTTTTCTGCTGGAAATTGAGCAATTGTTTATATGAACTTTTTTGTAGATCTTGAAGTTTACTATCAACCCTTCAAATATTCCTCTCTACTTACGGGACACCCTATATATATTTATGCGTGTGTGTGTGTGTGTCTTTTGTTAGGTTACGTTTCTGTTGAAAATTAAACAAACAGTTTTTGAACCAAATTATTATTATTTCACACAATAATTATTTTAAAGACTTCAAATTATTTATCATGTTGGGTTGTGACAATAAAACACACATTCCTCAATTATATAATATAAAAGCACTCATTAAATTTAAATACAACATTTATCGATTTCCATTCAGTTTGTCGGGGTCTACTCTTGGCGGGTTTTCTAACTCACGATTTATTTTGCATTCACCCTGTTCTGCAGTGAATCTTCCTTTGTATTGTTGTTGAAGGTATTGCTATATTCAACTTCTACAATGTCTTCTCTTAATCTTCCATTTTCCTGTACTCGTCCAGACCACTAGCGGATCCAGGATTTAATTTTGGGGTGGCTTCAACCCGAAAGATTTTTTTTTTCATATATAGAATGATAATTACTTTGAAAAAAAAAATTAAGATACTAACTACCTCTACGAAATGGCATTTGTGTGATTCTTGAAGTCCTATTAAATGTAATTACATGAACAATTATATTTTAAGAGATCATTTTTTAATATTTTTTTTCCATAAAACACGTATCCATTTTATTATTTGGGGGAGGCAGTTTATTATTTGAGCCCAAAAGCCCTCCTTTCGGAGTTGGTCCAGACACTAACTACTTGTTGGTCACCTGTCACTCTCAGCCAGTCTTGATGATCTTTCCTTGCTGGCCATTTATTTTCTTTATGGCCTTAACATATGGCGCTTGCTTCCCCTTCTATCTGTCTTTCTCCGCCTCTTTGTCTATTTCTTGACAATAGTTCGTGACATCACTGCTTTTATGCCACTATTTAAAATTCTATTGATCCATTAAATTCACTTTGTAACATTTATATTTCAATATATATATATTCATATAATATTTACACTTACAATTATAGGAATCATAATTTGACTTGATGAAAACCAATCAACAGAACATCTTTTGTGCCTTATTTAATAATTCCTGTTTCGTTATTAGAAGTGCTCTTCTATCTTGTGCCATTTTGCCAAGCAGATTATTGTTCTCACCTCTCATTAATTAAATCATATGATTGATAAGATTTTTTTTAACGATATAGATACTACGAGAAATAACAAAAACTGAAAAGGAAATAACAAAAGATTGTCACGATCTGCCGAGCTACATTCAGAAGTGTCGGGACAATACAAAATTGTATTGCCTCTACCGAGGTGACACGCCGCAGGAATGGAGATTTCTCAACCGCCAGCCTAATGAGAACAAGTTGAGGTTTAAATATAAGGCACTGATTCACATGTAAGTTTAAATATTTATTTTACTTTATATGTAGATATATGTCCAGTCATAAAATGAAAAAAAATAAATAAATAAGTTCTGTTTACATTTCATTTAAATTCTTGAGTAATCAATTTTTAATTCCTCTATTTAGTAATTATCTTATGCAGGCTATGAAGAAATTAGTATATGACTGACCCAAAATTAAATCAATTACAAAGACAAACAAACAAATATTAATAGCCCCAAAATAAGTTTATACAAAACAAAAAATAATAAAGTTTGTTTAACGTTACGTGGTCGCAAGCAGGTGACGGTCCTAGAGAATGGCTGGTACTTCAATCCTTCAACAGCGACTAAATGCAGATTTTTTATAATTTGATTGATTTTATAAAATAATTTGTCCCGGTCTAAACTTTTGGTTCTATCCCTCTGTCAACATAAATGGCATTGTTAGCACTCACCCAAATGTTTACGCCTGCCAGCGAAATAATCTCTTCTTACTTACGAATGTCCCGTTTTCTGTACCACTTAATTGTTTTCTGCTATGTTGTTTTCTTCCAACATAAAATAATCTTCACTAGTGGCCTCTATCAACACTCGAACCGGCTAGGACTCCTTTTTCTATTTTCTCAACTTGCTGGTTGGCACCTTCTCACTTGGCAGCTCGTCACCTTCCCTCTTGTCACATTCTGAGTAACATGAGGCTTGCTTCCCTCCCCATCCGCACGCACTTTCTCCCCGCACTTTCGCGCCACTATTTAAATGCCATATAATGTTGACATTACAATATATATATTGTCACGTTCTCAAAAGCCACGCTTTGGGCGCCATGTTGTAACGGTCCCAAAAGCAACAAAAACAAACAACGAGTTTCCTTTTTCTATATATTATTTATTTTACACATATAACATAAATTCTCAGGTTGGGTTCTGACAACTGAACACTCATTCAACATTAAATAACTATAATTTACCAATTAATAAATACATATAAAGAAACTAGATACATACATTAAGAAATTATACATATTGTTTTCAAAAACCTTGATTGTCCCAGTCTAAACTTTGTGGCTCTTTCTATTTTCTCAACTTGCTGGCTAGTACCTTCTCTCTTGACAGCTTGTCACATTTTCTCTTGGCGGCTCATAATCTCCTCTCTTTGCCGCTAGCACCTTCCCTCTTGGCAGCGTGGCAGTCTGAGTTACATGAGGCTTGCTTCCCCCACTTCCTCCCTGTAGTTCATGCTCTTGCCACTATCGCGCCACTATTTATATACCATATAATGTTGACATTACAATATATATATATATAACTATGAACCAGCCTATATCGAATATGAACAATATAAGCTATGCTATGGCCTATGAATATATACCAGTGTTCGAAATTGGACCATAGCCATTAAAAATTTGAGGAAAACACATAATTAAATAAAAAATAAATTAAATAAATAAAGAGTAAATCACGATTCAAAAATCCTCATTTATTAATACTAACAAAATTTCAATTTCAGTTAAAAATCGAGCTTAAACCACTTCAAGTTATTTATGAGTAATACAAAATATAGACTAATTCAAAAATATTTAATGTTATTATCACAATAAATTAATGTTATGATTAAACAAGTAAAAAATAAATTTAAATTAGCAATTTCAATACACTTTAAATCCATTTTTATTCAGAACTTCACTGTAAACAATGTTCTTTTTGAATGTTCTGTTATTGTTTAGTTCATAGCCATGCCCATTGCCATTGAAAATATAAATTTCAATATTTTAAATGAACGTGCTCCACTTGCTTTCAAATATAATTGTCCATGCGAAATTACTGGATGTCGCAATAATACACACATTTTTCCAAAACATTTACCCTGTGATTTGATTATGGTCATAACAAATGCAGCTATTAATAGGAACATTGTTCTTTGGAAGTCGAATGTAAGTATTGTGTCAGAAAATGTTAAATTATTTCTTGGAATTAAAATTCTTTAATTTAAAGTAGCTCCTGTCAGTACTTCACTCTCATTCTTGTTCCATTAACTAATGCTTGTGCAGTATTTAAGTTAACATGAGTATAACTATAGAATTTATTTTTAAATTTAATTGATTAGGTATCATTCCACTAACATTAAATGATATCATCTCTTCAAATAATAGTTCCAATTATCTCAGTAAATGGAAAGTTTTTGATTTATCATAAACCAAAATAAAGGAAATCGAATTTGCAAAAGAAAAAGTACTAAATGTTTAAAATGATATATCTCTGCAACAAATAGTCCGATTTCGATGATTTTTTTTTTATTTTGTAGAGAATTCATTATGCTTTCAAATAAATATTGGTATTATCCATAAAAAAAGTGTGTACTTTTTGAGTTATTTGCAAATAAAATACTGAATTCATAAAAATGTATGCAGCTTGTTTTCGGGAAAGTATGTTATATAAATAAATTATATATGTTTCAAGGGGAAGACTTTAGCCAAGTTTCATTAAAATCGTTAAAGCTCTATTGGAGCTACGGTCTAAAGCGAATCACGTTTTTCAGCCGTCATTTTGAAAGAAAAGGTCTGATGATAATGAAACTTATACAAAAAAAACACTTCTAAATATTATTGCAACGTTGTGTCAAAATTCAAAATAAATCGGTGAAGAACTTTCGGAGATTAGCTGTTTTGAACAAACTACCATTTATATTTTTATTTACATACCATTTAGTATTTTTATTTATTGATAACACTAAAGCTCGTCAATATCTATTAAACAAAAAAAGAAGGAAGAAAATCGGTTGAATAATAGAGGAGTAAAAGGGGCTGAACCCCGATTTGTGTTTGCCTTTTTATATAATGATAATTAATAATTGATTTCATTTTGAGTAATTAAACCATCAATTATCAATTAAATAAATTGTTATTAAAAATAAATGAATTAACGCTGTGGCGTTAACAGAGACGTCAAACCTAGACTGCCGTGTAGTGGCAACAAAATTTGCTCCTTTCTATTCAGCTAAAGCAGTGCTCAACGGTGGGCACTACCAGAAAAATAGTACCTTAAAATTACTCTCATAGAATTATAGCTGTGTCGTTTACTATAGGTTTCATTTTATTTTGTTATATATTTATATATAATTTTCATTTATTTATTTCTGAAATGTTGTTCAAACAAATTTTCAGAAATAAATATAGGCTTTCAATTACACAGAAATAACTGTTCATTAATAACTCTATTATTTTTAATTCAATGAAATTTTTATTTATAGAATGCTAACTATGGCCAAACTTCAAGAAGACTTCGAAAAGGAAATGGATGAGCTACAGGAACAAGAAATCGATTTTACGAAAATATTATCCGATGAAATAACTGAAGAAGAATTGATTAGGTATCAGAATAAGCCAGGTCCTAAACGTAAATTTCCTTCTGGCGTGCATTTCCGCTTCTAAACCATATTTAATAAACATATTTAATTCTGTCTTTTGAAGTACCTCTATGTTGTTCTTTGTATTAATTTTTTCCCTTATAGACATTTAGTTTTAACACTTTCAGCATTCTTCCAGCAGCTTGGAAATTCACAGAGTTCCTCCTGGCCACACCTGTGGTATATTTTATTGCCAAGTCAATAAAAATGGGTTCCAGAGCAACGCAGGTCGTGTTTAATAAAATTAAATACAGTTAATAAATATAAAAACTTGTAGTGGATGGCCTACGCTTAAGTGATATTGAGTGAGGGAATAATAATAAATGGGTGGATTTAGTGCAGTATAAATTAGAATTAATTTTGTAGTGGGCAAAATGTTATGGAGAAAATGTTAAATATGCATATAAAAACAATTGGTGAATGAAGTGCAGAAGAGCAAATTAATGATAGAGTTTGGAACTTTGTGAGGCTGGTGTCAGCAGCTGGCCTGGAAGAGAAAAAGAGGAGCATCACTTGAGGCTGGGACGTGTACAAGAGAGGTTGTGGAAGCATCGCGCGAGAGGACTAACTCCATTGAGGCGTTGTATCTAAAAGAGGAAGGGTTTAAGAAGCAAATAGAAGAAATATTATAGGACTTATAATTATTACTGATTATTTGACCTATTTGTTAAAGTAAATTAGTTATGTTGGTCAGAAGTGAATGTATCCCCTTTTATTTAGTTTTCCTACATGTCTCAACATCTTTTCTGTCCACAACTAGCTGAAGATCAACAAAACCAGGTGAGCCCAATTCATTCTAAGTAATTATTGAAGGAAGCTAGTCGACTGTTCTATATGTCTTGAGTGACAAATATTCAGGATGCAGTCGTTATAAAATTTTTATTAATGACGATGTTTCAACCCAAACAGGCGGGTCATCATTAGGGCATGGTTCTAGCACTGAAGGTATTCAAGTACCCGAGTAATTGCTTCCTGAATATTTATCACCCATTAGAGACTCATCTAGCTTCATAATTTGGATTTTTCCATTTATAACAATCAAAACTAGACAAAATCTATTAAAAATGAAAGTAGAGTTTGTCATTGTTAAAACCATTTAAAGAGGACTTTGACAAATCATGAATCATTTGCGATTTGTTTTTATTCCCCTCCAACTATACTACAAATAACCCACATTTATAAAAACTTTCTTGTTTCATAAGGTTTTAGATGTTGTTTGAATGAGATTTAATAAGTTGAAGATTTATTAAGAAATAAATAAAAAATAATCTCAAATTGTGTAAAAACATGTGGGGATTCGATATCCCATCCCTCAAAAGTAACCATGTTTTCAGCGAAATGAGTAGAACAAATCATTTCAAAACTTTAATTTGTTTATTTTTCCATTACCTGGGATGTATTTTTTTTTATTCTAATCTCTATGAGTGACCAACTAAATTTTTCCGATCCTTATAATTATGTTTAAAATAAAGAAACTTCCTGAATTATTTTCATAAAAAAGTTAATTTCCGGATTGGTACATACCAACATTTAGTTGGTCACTAATAAATACTGATACATTTCTATAATTACATAGTATGTATTCAAATTCTATATTTAAATTGTATTTTTTATTAATGTTTTTTGTATATTACGAAAATAAGCATATAGCTAGAAAAGAGACATAAATTGATTGTTATAAATGGAAAAAAATCCAAATTATAAAGCTAAATGAGTCTCTAATGGGTGATAAATATTCAGGACGCAATTACTCGGGTACTTGAATACCGTCTGTGCTAAAACCATGCCCTGATGATGACTTACCTGTTTGAATTGAAACATCAGCATTAATAAAAACTTTATAACGACTGCGTCCTGAATATTTATCATCCATGATATGTAGAACAGTCGACTAACTTCCTGCAATTTGAGTGTCTAACATACAGGTGAATAGTTAACCTATCTTCAGTTTTATATATATATATATATATATATATATATATATATATATATATATATATATATATATATATATATATATATATATATATACACGCAGTTGTAAGATAACAATAATATACACATGAATCATTATTCTAACAACTTCATTTTACTGTAATTTTTATGTTTCTCATACCTTGTTATCTGGTTCTTTTCTTAGCCCTGATGATGGCCTGAACTTCAGGTCGAAACGTCGGCATATGTAAAAATAAATATTATCATTTATTTTTGCCTTCTTTTTTGACTGACCACCCCAACTATTCTTCTCTTCATTATCCACGACAGTCAACCATTTACCAATTATAAATAATATACACAGTCGTTTTATATATATATACACATATACACATTGTTTTTTTCCCGATAAATATGAATTCATTATTGTTGCTATGATTTTTCTTTCGTTTCTATATAAAATTAGTAATTATCTGAAAAATCTGTTGTATGCAACACAACTTTCATTTACAGTTCTACTTTGAATAGAAATTATTTTCTGACAATGTTGGACTATTATAAAATTTTTTAAGTGTATTTTAAACCAAACTAAAGCTTTAAGCTTGCAACTAACAAATCATTAATACTATTTAAATAATGAAAATCCTATTTATTATATCTATGGTTGATTATGGATTGTATGACTGTTAGTTATTAAACTGTTATTTTCTATTGGAAAGTTTACTAAAATGTAATTAAGATATTTGCATTGCTTGTCATAGATAGGCCAAAAGTTGTCACAATAATTATAAGTATATACTGTTGGTATATCACAAAGGGAAAATTAATCAAATTATTCACTAATTTAATTTTCTAAAAGTTTGAACTATTGATTTTCCAAGATAAACGGACGATAAATACCTAATTATTTAAATATAATATCAGATCTAGAGTTATTAAACTACAGTATATGTATTTAAGGGTACATATCCATGAAATATTTTTATATTTCTCATTTTCTTTCACACAAATACAATGAACTAGTATTTTAAGCAATTCATTGCCTTGTTTCGTTGGATTTTAAATACTTTTTTTACACTTAAAAAAAAAATTTAATCGTTTACATTCAGTAAGAAAATTCCATTTGACATTCATGGAAACATGTAATTTAGGTTGAATAATTATAGTTATCAGAAATTATTATTTGCATTTTTTTTTCATCACCATCTACAACTTTATTTATTTGATATTATTTTTTCTAAAATTCTCCTCTTTCCAACGATATATTATAACTATACCTTCTGGCTATTATTTCCGGAGATTCATTTTCGACCTGGATTTTTCTTTTTTTCTCCTTTATTCAATTATCAAATTCTTCCAAAAGTTATATTTAGCCAATTTTTATAGTTACTAAAAAATAACAGAGTTATTTTTAAACATAAAAAAAATTATTTAAGCCCTGTGCAATGACATCAATATGGATAAGATCTAGCTGATATCATAGGCGAATCTACGGGGTGGGGGGCTTTCGGGCTGAAGCCCTCTCCCCCTTCCCCCCAAATGGTAAAATATAACCATGCTTTACAGAAAAAAAAATTAAATACTATCTCTCTTGTTCGTGTAATTATATTTAATAAGACTTCAAGAACCAATTTAACACTATTTCATATAGGTAGTTAATTTCTTTCCTTTTTTTAAAAAATTAATTATCGTTATAATCGCATCGGATCCGGATGATGTTAGCTATATGATGAGGAAGTTGCTAGACACGTATTCCAGATGGGGTCTGAAAATCAGTGAAAGTAAAACAGAGTATATGGTTTTCAACGCTCCAAATTTGCCCCTTGAAATTGATGACTGGACGCTAAATGTCAGCCAGCAGTTCAAGTACCTCGGATACTGGTTATCCTCAAAGGGTGGTAGTGAGGTTGATATCGAACATAAAATAAATAATGGGAAAAGAATAATAAGTTCGATAAATTCAACCCTATGGAGTAAAGAAATAAGATTAGAAACTAAAAAGAAGATATACCACTCCTTTGTAGAAAGCGTAGCCCCTTACGGATCAGAAGTCTGGACACTGACAAAAAAGATGGAAAATAAGTTGCTTTCCATGGAAATGGATTTCTGGAGAAGAAGCTGAGTCATATCGAGAATCGAGCGGATCCCAAACGCAGCTATTAGAGGCAAGGTCGGATGTCAAAAGAACATCCTTCACCTGATCGGGACCAAACGGCTAAAGTGGTATGGCCACTTAATGCGGATGGATGAGAACCGCTGGCCAAAGAAAATTTATAACTATATGCCACCTGAAAGAAGGAAGCGTGGAAGGCCAAAGAAGAAATGGATAGAGGACGTGGAGGAAAGCATGGCAGCCAGAGGGCTTCGTGAAGGAGATTGGATGGACAGGAAGCAGTGGCTTTTGGGTGTTGGGGATATGACTCCTTAAGTTGTATGAAACCCAAATATAAAAAAAAAATTATCGTTATATGTATTTGAAAAAAAAATCTTTCGGGCTGAAGCTTCCCCAAAATTAAATCCTGGATCCGCTAGTGGCTGATATTAAAAACAACTTAATACACTGATACACAGAGTTTAATCAAAATCGTTAAGCCGTTTTCGAGAAAATCCGAAAAATATGTATTACCGCTGATATCAAGTGGCACTGGCACAAATTTGCTGTCACATTGGCATCATGGTCTCCTCTCTTGTTTTTCCCCACTTCGACTATGGCTGTATGGTGTACGGTGGACTCTCGGGAGAACTCGAAACTGAAACGTTTAAAAACCTCAAAGTACGCCCAGAAACTCTTATTACTTTGTGATTCATCGATATTTCGTTTACTTAATTACTTTCTCAGTATATTTTATATTTACACGTATTTATATCTTCTTATTACTTATAACTTTATTGTATTTCTAATCAACCTATAAATATCAAACTGTATTTTATGAACACACAAAAATATTAATATATATATATTCTGTATTTGTAGCTTGTTCTAAAGGGACTCTAGTCCCAGAATAATAAAATTATTTTCATTCATTCATAAACAAACCTTAAATATACAATTTAAGTTCACTCACAGATCATTTTGCGGGACTTGGTTATTTCGACTCAGGGGACCTTAAAACATGTATTTCCGTTGAAAACTGAGATTCGAAAATTTTCACGATCGCAATACTTCCCCTTACTATGTATTTCATTAAATGTAAGTGAAAGTTAAAATATAAAGGGGGCAATTTTAAATCGCTTACAATATTTCTTGTTCTATTAGAAAAATAAAAAAAAACATGTCGGGACGTACGAAGTGTATTTAGACAAGAGTAGTATGTTGATGGAGGTTAGCTTCCTGATGCCTGCTACTGATTCTTGGCTTTCACGTTTTTGTCACCACTCTCTTCTTCCAATCCAGGATTCCAGGCGTCTTGGAGAACAGGCCAGAACCGGAACCAGCTAAGGACAGGAAGTGCGAGGACGATGATGCTCCCTGTCACGCTCATCATGAAGGTCACGATGCAGCCGATGCAGACCATCCTGATTTGGAAATTTGGTGATTTAAATTTAGTGTCTTGTGCTTCTGGTGTGTATATGTGTGTCTATGTTCTGTGTTATCACAACATGTGGTGTTCACGACATATGTTCAGATCTTAACTTAAGTTTCATGTTTCCTCCAGATAATAAATGCTACAATATATATACGAAAAAAAGAAAGAAAAAAAATTCTAAACAGAAAAGGCATATAAATATTTAAAACAAGTTCGAAACTCTTAGATCACCAAATTATTTTTGTGTTTGTGTTGTTTGAAAAAAAATATGTCAGAACCCGGAAAAAGTTTTGTTGCGAGCGTAACACTTGTAAATGAAATGAAATTGTCCTTGGAATAATATTAAAATATCACATCTTTTTAAACGTACATATGAATATGGAGGCCACAATAAAAAAATACTGTACAACTCTAATCGAACAAAATTAACAATCCCCATGTTTTACCATTAATTTAAGTTAAAAAAAAATATGTTTGGTAAATCACAAATTTTACCTAACTTAGT